AAAAACTGCCTGTACCCCATGCACATTTCATAAAATTATCTGAAACATTTACTTTCTTCCGGACTCGGGGAGTCCGCCGTTTTTTCGCTGAAATGAATAATTTAGGCGACTAAAAATATTATGAAAAAGCTGGGGAGGATCGTTTTCATCGGGAATAAGAATAACATTATTAACCGCCTTCAAAAGCCCCGAAGGGCTCGGGAATTTGGCGCAAATCCTCCGAAAAGGGCATGCGTTTTACCATTCCGTATTTTAGCAGTCTATACAAGTCCTTGAAGGGAATAAAGGAAGGAAGAAAAAACACCAGTAAAGCTGGTAATTTCACGGATTTTTGAGCGTAAAAGAGCTTGCTAGAAAGTTTTCATGGCCAAATTGGCATTAAGAATTTTTAATTACCACTGCAAAACAATAACAGGCCAGTTGGCAAAGGGGGTAATTCAGCTGGAGGCGGATTATCTGTGAGTTTTGTGGCAGTAAATAAAAAGGGGATCTGGAAGATAAATATTGAATATGTTTGATTTGAAGGGTAAGTGTAATAAACATAATTTTTGAATGGGGTGGTAAAGTTGTGATTGAAATTTGTGGTAACTGCATTCAATTCGTGTAAAACTTCAATTCAAGGTCCTATAAGGCATTTGGAAGGCATTTATTAATCAAGTAATGGCATTCTTAGGTCCGGGCACGAAAACTTTTCATAGCGGAGATTTTACTTCATGATGTCGGACAAAGCATCCTAAGGCTATCTGGACTACATTAGCCTCTTAATCAGTCAAAAAAATCAAATTTCTTACACGTATTTTAGATAATTTTAAATTTTTTCGGAGCTACAACCAAATTTCCTCGGATTTTCCCTTCAACTTCGTAAAAAATCGTCCAAAAATGATCGAAGAACCTAAAGCACAGTGCAAACCAGTCCATCCGGACAGTATTTCCCCTTCGGCATGTTTTTCCAAAAAACCGCGAGTATTAAAAACCCCGACAAGAGAGCCGCCAGTAAACGGGATTATGCCATTCCTTTCGGAATTAGAATTTCCGAATTGGAACAGAATTAATAGAACAGTACGAAATTTGCCGCAAAAAATGATTGTCTCAGAAGTACATTGTTGCGCCAAAAACATGCCCTTGCATCAATATTATCTTCACCGAGATAACAAGATTCCGAGAAAAGAAAGTGTCGGCCAAGACGAAGATGAATATTCATGGGGTGAATCGCGGGCTAATTTACCTGCGTCCATGTAAATTTATGGTGAAAACGACAGCTCATTATTTATGTATTCAAAGAGGATCTTGAGGTGAATCGAGAACCAAATTTTGCAGGGACATTTGCGGTAAACATTATTCACCATTCTACTGTAAGATTTACTAAACGTTTTCGTTTTAAATGCCCAAAGGATATTGCTCCGTTTTTGCCAAAATTTTGCCTATATAGCGTAGCTGACAAATGGTGAGTTTCGGATCAATTTGCAAAGGTTTCAGCTAGCCCTTGTGGAGATGTATCCGAAATATTTATTTAATGACTTCTAGGAACGAGACAATAAGCATGTATGTAAACTGATTGTAGAGGCTAGAGGAAATTTGCATTTTGGCAAGATCTCCGCGACTTTTGCGTCACAAACGCTAATTTTTTGCGATAAGGATGTACTCCGCACGTTAAAAAATAAGTCAAACAGGAGAACCCAAAGTGCGACGCTCAGATTTTGAAGAAACTTGGCACAAATTTAGAATATTTGTTTCTAAAATATATGCGAGAATCCCAGCTCGCACTTATCGAAAGTCGGCGAAAATTTGACACTTTTTGCCGAATTTTAAATTTTCATGCTTATTTCTACCATAGTGGGCAATTTTTCCACAAAAAATCCACTTTTTCCGCACGAAACTAGCAAAGTTATAGCCAAAAAGTGTTTTTCTTTCTGACCGTTCTCCGCGTTTAGCGTACTCTCTCGGCCGCAAATATCGTTCAATATCTCGGCTTCGCCTTCAAAGCGCGAGATAAAACTTTCAGGATTTGACGCTTAGTTTATGATCAATGTGTGTGCAAAATTTAAAGAAAATCTGAGCGGCACATTTGGGGTAGCTCGCTTGTAAGTAAATTCTGTATAGCCAAAAAAATGGTCAATATCCCCGATTCAAAGCCTATCTACCGCTTCTCAACAAATCAAAATTTATGTAAAAACACATCCCTTTTGCTGTACGACCAACTCCAATTACCATACAACACTTGTAAACTCCCCATTTCAGCCAACCTGCCTCACTTTTGACGCCAAAAACTTGCAAGTGCCAATAAAATCCTAATTTTACAGCCCAATTGGAAAGTAATAAAGAGCCGGCGCCCGATACCTCGTAAAATGAAATCCCGGCCCTCGAAACTCATTGTCACCTCCATAAAACGTTGGCATTATTGTCACGCGATGCAAGGGGGATTCGTTTTTGAAAATTTTCAAAAATGCACTCGGGGAACAAGTGTCGTTCTCACGCTACAGGTAAGGTTACTGGTGGGGGTATTTACATTCCTCGAATGTTTATGGAAAAAAAATATCGATGGAGGCGGAATTTTGGAAAAGGAAGAGATATGGGGTTAGGTAAGGAGAAGGGAAGTAAAAGTTATTCTTTAAAAGGACTGGAAAAAGGAAAACGATTACAATAAGCAGATGTTTTAGATGCTGGACTTTGATATTACACAATATAACGATGGAATAAACTTTTTGTAAAAGATGCAAGACCCTTATCTTATTATTTGCAGTAACCACAAAAATTTTGTTTTAATTAAAGATTGTTGAAGATATAACCTGTGTTTGGGAGTCAAGAGCAGCTTCACAAACTTGCTTACTGTATAATGGCGAATAATAAATTTCTTCCACAGGAAAGTGGCAAAAATATTGATAAAAAATCGTTGTACTTCTACAGTGGGGACCTGATCCAGTGGCAAAAAACGAACCATTTTGCATCCAGGAAGCATCAAAAAATGTGGCAAAATACCTCCCTCTATAAGTGAAAAACTCAGATTTCAAAACAGCGCTCGCTCTTTTTGTGAGAAAAAAAGGGAACGCCCTTCAAAACGAAGTTTTTTTCACTTGGAGAGGGAAGTATTTTGCCACATTTTTGATGCTTCCCGGATACAAAATGGTACGGTTTTTGTCACTGGATCCGGTCCCCCACTGTATCAACTCTCCTCACTTTATATACAATTTTTTCTGTCTGCAATGAATGATAGAACATCCAACTAAAACCGCCATCTCTGGATCAAAGCCTCGTAAAAACTACGGTCTCCCGACATTCTTCACTCCTACAGTAACCTCCTCAAACCCTCCCCCTCCTTTCATTTGCAACACAATTTCACCTCCTTCCCTGTCATCAGCATACATCCTACTCGCATATATAACGATTTTGCGTAATGTTTACATATTCCCAAGTATCAACCTGTCAAATGCAGTTAAGTGTGGGAAAGAGAAAGGTAGGAAGGGAAATTATTTATTGGATAAATGCCAAATAAAGGCCTGGCAGAAAGCACTTTCATTGTCCCCGAACAAAGACTAAATCCCATTGCAAACCGCAAAAAACAGTTGTAGAAGAGATTAGTGAAGGAGAGGGTAGGTACAGAAAATAGATTTAAGAAAGGGGTAGAATGTATTGGATAAGAATAAATTTCACCTTGCTGAAAACAAAGCTGTAGAAGCGTAAGCCAAAAAACAAAAAAAATTAAACCAAGATTTTGTCGTCAATAAGAACGCTGGATTGTAGAAAAATTCTGTAGAAATAGTCCATGTATGGCACAAACTCATCAACAAAAATTTTAGCTCTTTCTCCTTTGTAACTCTTACATATTAGTCGACTGTTTAGGTGCGAGTGATAAGGCATGTGAGAAGAGCTGGTCGGAGAAAAAAATAGCATTATAAAGGTTCATTTCTACAGAATTTTGACTTACAGGAGAAGTCCCCCAAGTTCGACGTTCAGATTTCGATGAAACTTGGCACAAATTCAGAATAATTTTTTCTAAAATATATGCGAGAATCCTAGCTCACACTTTGCAGAAACAACCGAGATTTTTAAACCGAAAGTCAGCAAAATTTTAACAATTTTTGCCGAACTTCGGCACGAAAGTTTTCACACCAATTTCTACCGTAAAGGGTAATGTTTCCACCAAAAAATTAATTTTTTCGAGCGAAACTGGCAAAGTTACGGCCAAAAAGTTTTTTTCTCTCTGACCGCTCTCCACGTTTAGTGTGTTCTCTCGGCGACAAAAATCGTTCAATATCTCGGCGGCGCCTGAAAATCGCGAGCTAAAACTTTCAGGAATTGATAGCTAGCCTATTCCCAACGTGTGGGCAAAATTTAGAGAAAATCTGAGCGTCGCACTTGGGGTATTTCCCTTGTTAAATAAATCGGCGGTTTCTACAAAGCGCGCCAAAAAACTCATTCAGCACCTGTTAAAATTTAACTTTATTTTGTACCAAGCTTCAGCAAAATCAAAACGACCTAAAAAATCCCAATCCTCCCGTTTCAGCGCGGAAAAGTTCCGACTTTTCCTTTCTTTCGCCCTCACAACAATGGCAATGTCGAGAAATCAAAAAAACAAAGAAATCTGATTACTCGGTAATCTTTGCGGTTTTATTCTCCGTCCTTTTCCGCGCGCCGAAACAAATCCCATTACTCTCGGCGAATGTTCTCTGCGGACAACGGGGAGAGGGGGGAGGAGAGAGAAAGGGGGCCGGAAAAAAGGTTAGGGATTTCAGGGAATAAAGGCCGGCTAATTTTAATCAGCAAAAAGGAAAACGGAAAGCGTATGTGAGGAATGAGAATAGGGTATCTTAAGGTTCAAATATGTGTGGAGCAGATCGGCTGAAGCAAAACTTGACTTGTTACAGGGCTTTCCGGAAGCTCCAGTATTTGTGCTGGACATACCAACGCTCAAAGCACTCAAAAGAAATAATCAAATACCATAAATTATGTACGTTTATTCGAATATGACAAAAATGAATCTCATTTAAAATACATCCAACCGATCAAAGGCCAACGAACAGAGCGGCAATGACCAACAAATTGACGGCCGATAGGACGAACAGGATTCCAGATACGATCATTACAATCCGTTGTTTCGGACTTCGGACGGGTTTTTGTTGAGGTCGACGCCATGGCGTCACTTCCTGCTCATAGGCTGAAAATCAAAAAGATAAAAAAATAGGACGAAATCTAGTGAAACTTACAAGGGAAGTACCCCAAGTGCGACGCTCAGATTTGCTTTAAATTTTGCACACACTTCGAGCATAGGCTAAATATCAATTCCTCAAAGTTTTAGCTCGCGTTTTGAAGGCGAAGCCGAGATATTCAACGATCTTTGCGGCCGAGAGAGTACGCTAAACACAAAGAGCGGTCAGAGAGAAAAACACTTTCTGGCCATAACTTTAGCAGTTTCGTGCGGAAAAATTTGATTTTTTGTAGAAACATTATCCTTTACGGTTGAAATAGGCATGAAACTTTTCGTGCCGAAATTCGACAAAAAGTCCCAAATTTTCGTTGACTTTCGAGCTAAAAATCTCGGTGTTTCTGCAAAGCGCGAGCTAGGATTCTCGCATATATATTTTAAAAAATTATTCGAAATTTGTGCTAAGTTTCATCAAAATCTGAGCGTCGCACTTGGGCTACTTCCCCTGTTCGTCCGGTAAAACTTTTTATGGCATTATGAAGGATCGAAGGTCAACTTGATCACCGCAAATTTGCAAATCTCTTTTCCGCAACTCACAAGGCACCACAGACGACATGAATGATCCACCGAGAGGCCGAGGCGTTTGTTGAGGCAATGCCGGAGGCGGCGGAGGCGGCGGTGGGGGCGGAGGAGGAGGAGCACCTGGAGCCGCCTCATCTCCATATCCAACTGGCTCGTAGTCTTCGGCGCCCATCTTTTACCCGATTTCCAGCTTCCACTGGAGCTCCAAGCAAATTCCACGACCGCACGGTGCTATGGGAAGATGAGAAATGGGATTTTTTAATTGAAAATTTGGGAATATTCAGACAAAAAAGTTGCGGAAAATTTTAAAAATTCGAATTTTTATTCAAATTTTTGTGAATGACAAGGATCATGCCTCAAAGTCCCCGATCATCGCTCATTGTGTGTTCTGCGCTTCGAGTGTGCGGTCAGTTCGAAAGAAAGGTCGGTTTTATTATGTGGAATATCTGATGTCTAGTGTAATATCCTCAGAGCATTTGAAAGGTCGGAAAAATTTACAGTCTCTCCGAGTCCACCTGAAGATTTTTTTAACCCAAAATTCCGAGTTTTATCCGGCAAACTCAATTGAGACTTTTCTTCTTGGCCAAAAAAAGTTTTCGTGCCGAGACCTTTACCGTATTTTCCAAAATTTTTTTCCCAAGCTCCTGTGAAAAAACGTGGGAAAATGGGTTTGCACGTGGCATGTTAGCATTAGTTCTGTAACATCTGCATGGTTGAATCGCAAAAACGGCTGATTTTTCTAATTTACGTGTTCCTTGAGATGTGACCTCTAGTGCAATATAAATTTTTCTTTTTCACCTTCGTTTTTCATGTTCTCCTAATTTCAGCTACATTTCTACGATGTCAGAAGGCGAGTCGTCGGCCAAGCCCGCTTCTTCCAAGGGTAAATCGAAAGGTTTCGACACCAGGAAGTTTGCCATTGATCTCGTCACTGGCGGAACTGCCGCCGCGATCTCCAAGACCGCCGTGGCCCCCATCGAGCGAGTGAAACTCCTGCTCCAGGTCCAAGATGCCTCGCTATCCATCGCGGCGGACAAAAGATACAAGGGAATCATCGATGTGCTTGTCCGCGTCCCCAAGGAACAAGGGTTTGCGTCGTTGTGGAGAGGAAACTTGGCCAATGTGATCCGCTACTTCCCCACTCAGGCCCTCAACTTTGCCTTCAAAGACACCTACAAGAAGTTGTTCGTCGCTGGGTATGTGTTTTTGATTTTTGTGATTTGATTTTAGGGTTGATTTGTATGTGTTAAAAGGAGTGATGTAATAGAGGTCAAACTCGATTGCATTTGAAGTTAGAGGGCATTTTGAGACATGAAGTATAGAGTGAAAAGTCTTGTTTTTGATTTGTCAATTACATGGGAGGCTTTTGAGTTTTTGCCGATATTGTTTTAGAGATTTTAGATATCAAACTTTTTTGATTTTTTTGCCATTTACAATTAGCCAAATTTGCTCTTCTTGAGCAGTAAAGCGATACCTTACATCAATGTTGTAAACGTTAGAATTTTTTCCTTTTTATAAAATTATTAAAATTTCTTGCAGATACGACAAGAAGAAGGATTTCTGGAAGTTCTTTGCCGGCAATTTGGCCTCTGGCGGAGCTGCTGGAGCCACGTCTCTGTGCTTTGTCTACCCTCTCGACTTTGCTCGAACCCGATTGGCTGCGGATGTTGGAAAGGCGGACAGCCGCGAGTTCAAAGGCCTCGGAGACTGTCTGGTGAAGATTGCGAAGTCGGATGGTCCAATCGGCCTCTACCGAGGATTCTTCGTCTCCGTGCAAGGTATTATCATCTACCGTGCCGCCTACTTTGGAATGTTCGACACGGCGAAGATGATATTCTCGGCCGACAAGAAGCTCAACTTCTTTGCTGCATGGGCTATTGCTCAGGTGAGTTTTTGACTTGATTTATCCTTATTTGTTCTGGGTTTAGACACTGTTCGAGTTAATATATATTAACCATGATAAAAATATTATTTTAAGGTCGTCACTGTTGGCTCGGGCATCCTCAGCTATCCGTGGGACACGGTTCGTCGTCGGATGATGATGCAGAGTGGCCGCAAGGACATCCTCTATAAGAACACTTGGGATTGCGCCGTGAAGATTGTCCGGAACGAGGGAATGAGCGCCATGTTCAAGGGAGCCCTGTCCAATGTGTTCCGTGGAACTGGTGGCGCTCTGGTTCTGGCCATTTATGATGAAATCCAGAAATTCCTTTAAATTGTATTGTGATTGTAAACTGAATCTGGCAGATAAATATATTTTCAGAATTTTTGTTTTAATGATGCTTTTATATTATATATAAGAGAGTCGCTGAGCTTTATCAACCGCACAGAAAAGCTTATCAAACCGGGCCTTTGTTTTATTAGTAATTAATTGCGGGCCTTTACCGATTTTTCCTCAAGGTTTCCTAGCTCACATTGCTGTTTTTGGACGACTTTTAAGGGCTTAAAAAATGCCAAGGACATGTGATTTCTGCAATTTGAGAAATAAGCGGTTATCGTGTTATCAAGAGTTCCTTGTTGCCCTAACCGTTTTGGTCTTCTATTTTTTACAACACGACGTGATTATCATGATGTTCTGTTCAGTTCGCACGCATTATCTTTTGATAAAAAATTAGGGTTTTGCTTTGGTTTTGAGGAGAATCGAACTTTTGCGGTAAATATTTACCACGGATTGACTGGGTTTTAGCTTTCAAAATGGGCAGCTTATATTTTGAAGCGGCTTGGAAATTTGAAAACTGGGTTTCATAGGCTTGGGGTCTCGTAATTTGCGAACGTCTTGATTTCCGATGCGACAGAGCGCGCACTATTTTTCCGACAGGTTGGTATAGTAAATATTTTGGCCCTTGTGCGTATTCCACTGTATTGACCAGAGATTGCCACGGCTCCGGAGCCGACTCTTGGCTCCGGCTCTGAGCGGATCCGGCTCAGAGCCGGGAGCCAGAGCCGGAGCCGGAAATTTTGGGGTCGGCTCCGGCTCCCGAGCCCAAGGCCGAGAGCCCAAAGTCGAAGCCAGGCTTCTCAGCGTTCAGAAAAGTAAAAATTTCCTGATCTTGTTAAACCAAATTGCTTGAAAAATACTGGTGAGGATGTGTTGCGTACGACTTGGCTGAGAAAACGTTAGCTTTATGATCTCTGGCACTAATAACTTTTAGTTTCGGAAAAATATAAAAAATTTTTGCATAGAAGCCGGGGTTCGGAGCCGGAGACCTTTTTAAATTTTGCACGGAGCCGGGAGCCGGAGTCGAAATTTTGACCGTGGCAATCTCTGGTGTTAACCAAACCCACTGTTCTATCCAAAAAATGTTTTTGAATTCCTCCGTTCTCTACCTTTCCTCAACTCCCTAATTCCACCACCGAAGTCAATAAAGCTCGACAGTTTTACCTGAAAAAATTAATCAATTTTCCGGGGAACCCGTTCCTTTGAACCCTTACCGAAAAACAACCCCAATAAAACTGTTAAATGTACCGAGAAATGTAAAACAAAGAACCGATGGAGGAATTGTAAGGAAATGAGTTCTAGACGTTCTTATCGGTTCAAGAACTTTTTAGAGCGAACTTTCCAAGGGCTTTTTAATTGTCTGACACTAAAAATTTTCTTCGTTATCACTCGATTTTATTCAAAGTTGTGTGGGAAAGTTGTAAAATGCCTCCAGGGTGGCGTCATAAAACCTTGCAAGGAATGTAATAATCAATGATGACTGGGATATATTAATAAAGTGGTATTCGGGTTTTGGTGGTTGTATGATTGTTATAATACTTTCGATTGACGTTTTGAGAGCCTTTGAAAGTTGGTGATAAAAGGCAACCTTCAAATTTTTTAATTTTTAGACAGTGTTTTAAAGGGAATTTTAAAGTTTTGAATCGGAATTTTTAACCGTCATTCTTATGCCTTTAATTTCAGAATGGGCCTCATCACAAATCCCGGTAATGATCATACGATATTGATGGTCAGAACAGACGCTGAAGGCCTCAAAACTATGCCAATTCCCTCAACACATCATAAAATCAGAAATCGCAGTAAATTCCCTGAGAAGGTCAAGTTGTCTGTCATGATCTTGATGACCTTTTTCTTCTTTGTGGTTGAGCTTGTTTACGGCCATATATCGGGGTCCATGGCGCTGATTGCGGATTCGTTCCACATGCTCTCCGATGTGTTGGCGCTGATCGTGGCATTGAGCTGCATTATTGTAAGCATGACGCTGCTTGTACTCCTGACTCTTCCAGATCTCAACAAGACAAAACGAGACCGGTCCCAGCAACAGTCGCGTTGAGCTTCTTGGAGCCCTAGTTAATGGAGTTTTCCTCCTGGCTCTTTGCTTCATGATCTTTTTGGAGTCCATTGAGCGTCTTATTGTCCCGCATGCCCTCCATGAACCGAGGAATGTACTCATTGTGGGATTTATTGGATTTGTCATCAATCTAATTGGAATGTGCATGTTTCATGGTAGGATATCTTGGTCGGAAATTTGACAGCCGTTTTAAAATTTTAGGTCATTCTCATGGGCACAGTCACGGAGCTGGTGGAGCTCATGGACATTCGCATCATGAAGTCAAGGCTTGCAATGGGCATGATCATGAAGATGTGGAGAAGAAGCCAGGTAAGGATATAAATAAATGCCATAGAATTTGGCTGATTTAGTAATTTTTTTATAAATACTCGATTTAGGGGTTTTCGATGGTGCTGCTTTCAAATCAGAAAAAATGAATAAGATTTTCGAAATCAACACCCTCTATTATCCTTATTTCATTTTGAAAAAAATAATACTTTTCGGTTTCTCCAATCGTACTGTTCCCTAATCGTCCAACTCCGTTCTTTTGGCATAAAGACCTGGTTTTGGGCCGTCTAAAATTGTTCGTTATAGACAAACTTTGTTAACGGAGTTTGTAGTATTGAGGTGCCACGGTAGTTGAAATCTTTTGCAACGAACAGCTACCCAAATAAATACCTCACGACCACTAATTTTTTCTTACTTGAAGCCCTCCCTTTCAATGTCAGGCGGTGACAGAGTTCCCCTCCAATCTTTCTTAAATCATCATAAACAATAATCGTTTCAGAATCCGCCACCCAGATGAACATCAAAGGAGTCTACCTCCACATTATGACCGACTTTATTGGCTCCATCATTGTTATCCTAACAGCCGCCGTATCTCTTTATCTACCTCAATACCGTTTCCTTCGTTACTACATGGATCCGTTCTTGTCGCTGATCCTGGTGTTCTTGATCATCAATTCAACCTTTCCTTTAGGTAAGTTTTTATTACAGTGGGGGACCTGATCCAGTGGCAAAAAACGTGCCATTTTACATCCGTGAAACATCAAAAATGTGGCAAAACGCTTCCTTTTCAAGTGAAAAAACTTTGTTTTGAAGGGCCCTTTTCCTCAAAAAAGACCGGGCGCGCATTTGAAATTTTTCTCACTTGGAGAGGGATGCATTTTGCCACATGTTTGATCATGTTTGATACTTCCCGGATGCAAAGTGGTACGTTTTTTGCCACTGGATCAGATTCCCCACTGTGGAAATTTTTCTCAAAATTGTTGTGTTTTAGTGAAGCAGACAATCTGCATTCTCCTTCAAGCCGATGCACAGGACGTTGACAAATCTGCCGCCGAGAAGAAAATCACATCAATTCCGGAGGTAAATTCAGTCAGTAATTTCCAAATTTGGAAACACAATGATGGAAGAACAATGGCTACAATTCATGTTCAGTTTGACACATTTGAGAGCTATGTTGAAAGTCTCGGGAACATCAAACAAATCCTAAATGACCATGGAATCGACAACGTCACTGTGCAGCCCACCTTCCACAGTGCAAATGATGTTCAAAAGACAATAAATGTGCAATAACGGTGATGATTATGAGTATGTCTAGTATAACATTAACTTTGGTGAAAAAATTTTGTTCCAAGTTTCATTATGTATTGGGTTGTCCAGAAAGTTCGTTCGTTTTTTTATTCTTTACTTTTACAGGAATTTCTTTGTTGTTTGGCAAAGAGTATACATTTATTTGAAAGGGCTTTTTCCCCTCTACAACACTAGTGTTACACAGTGTTGCAACACTGTTACAAGGGAAGTACCCCAAGTGCGACGCTCAGATTTTCTTTAAATTTTGAACACACGTCGGGCATAAACTATATATCAATTCCTGAAAGTTTTAGCTCGCGCTTTTCAGGCGCCGCCGAGATATTGAACGATCTTTGCCGTCGAGGGAGTACGCTAAACACAAAGAGCGGTCAGAGAGAAAAACACTTTCTGGCCATAACTTTGCCAGTTTCGTGCGGAAAAAAAAATGATCTTTTGTGGAAACATTACCCTCTATGGCATAAATAGGCACGAAACTTTTCGTGCCGAAATTCGGCAAAAAGTCTCATATTTTCGCCGACTTTCGATCTAAAAATCTTGGTTGTTTCTGCAAAGCGCGAGCTAGGATTCTCGCATATATTTTAGAAAAAATTGTTCTAAATTTGTGCCAAGTTTCATCAAAATCTGAGCGTCGCACTTGGGGTACTTCCCCTGTTAGTTTTTTTTTTGGAAATTTAAATTTTTTTTATTTTTCTGGCTCAAAAACGAACCATTCAGAAAAAAAATAAAAAAAAAACGAACGAACTTTCTGGACGACCCAATAATACTAGTCGCGGAAAAAAAGTCCTGGGAATTTTCGGCGACTCTGCACTGTGCATGAACCCGAAAAGTGCATTTGCACAGTGCAATTTTGTTGATTTTGCCTTATTGTCGCGCGCGATTCCCGCGACAAATCGACTTTTCGGAGCACGACGGAATTTGGGGGGCGCGAGAAATTCCCAGGACTTTTTTCCGCGACTAGTATATGAGCTCACAATGCCCAAAATTTTCTCAAAATTTATCTGCAAAAATTCAAAATATAAAAAATACGGGTTAAAAATACTTCACAGTAATTACAATAGTATTCGTAAAAAGTTTGAGAATTTTAGCGTTGGACGAGCGTAGTGATAAAAAAAGGGATTGTGGCACGTTAAGAAGGAAAACAAATGTTACTCGGAGAGTTACAATTTACAACTTAGCACTGGTAACATTCCTCGGTAGGCAAGCTCTGAAGACATAAGTCAAGATTGACTTTAAAAAAAGTGTTCAAAACCAAGAAAAGCCGCAAAAATTGTTTTCAAATGAGTATGGAGATAATGCGAAGGGGAATAATGACTATAATTCTTTTAATTACTGCAAGACAATACTTACAATTAGCAAAATACAACAACATATCGTTAAAAAAGTGGTTAGAAAATATGTTAGAGCGTTGAGAAACACCGGAGATTAGCCAAGATATTCGACTTCCATAAAAATAAAAATCTGGGATAAAAAAGTTCGACCGGTCGATTATGTGAAGATAGCCGATGGGACAAGTCCCTCTTTGGTCATGATTGTTGGGGCCAAGTCTTCGTTGGAGAGGAAGCTTTCCGGGAATTGGACAATGTTTCCCCAGAGCTTCTTCAGATGATGGCGGGCCAAGTCCGGGTTATATTCGGCCATGGGGAGTTCGTCGCGCCAGACGACCAGCTCGTCTTTGGAGGAGACCTAAAATACGCATAAGTGTCAAAAAAAATCATGAAATAACAGTAACCTAACACAGAGGTAATTTCAGAGATTTTATGATTCGGCAGCTCGCGCCCAGAGTTAAGTCTTCAGATTTAGTTGAAACCGCAGAAACCATCTCTACTACTCTTATTTTCAATCAAAAACCCCATTTCCACCGCTTCCAGACTTTCAATTAAATCTGGAGATCAATTAAATCTGAAGCCAAACTCTCGGGCGCGAGCTGCCAACACCAAAATTAAAAATTTCCATCAAAAATCAATTTCAAATCTCACCAAATTCGTGGGGAATGCTCTGAAGACTTCTTCAAAGATTTCCGTGTTCCCCTTCACCGCTTTCCACCAAACGTCATGATAAAATGAGTCATGGACCGGGTCGTCCAGATCAACCACCGACGGTTTGATGGGGGCTTTGTGGAAAGCTTCGGGCAATAGACCAAGATGCTCCTGAAATACAAAATTATTATTCCAAACCTTTTATAAACCCTAAACGAACATCTCAAAACTCAAATTTTCCCTCAAAAAAATATCAAAATTCAAAAAACCCTAAATTAATAGGGTTTAGGGCTCCTCATACCTTCATGAGCCGTTTCCGCAGGGTGGACGCGAATTTCCCGGCCATATATTCTTTCCCATTCATTCTCGAGGGTACAAACTCTCGATCCGTAGCCAGCACACACACTTCCGAGTCCCTCATTCCCAGCTGTGACCGGTCGTTTATATTCGCGGACCCAATGATCACATATTTATCGTCCACAATCAGTAATTTACAGTGGATGTAGACCATCTCCGTCACCAACTTTCCACAGAGCTCATCGTACGTTCGCAGGGAGCAGAACGAGACATAATCGAAGGGTTTCTCGATTCCGTTTATTTTCAAATTTTCGATCAGAGAATGGGGACCCTTCGAAATCGAGCTGAGGGTCCAATGAAGGACTGCCATTAGGGCTGAGTAATTGCCGCTGCCGAGGTCGCCTTCGAAGCCGGGGAGCAGAGGGATCAGGACGTATACGCGGAATGTTGTTCCTTCGCTGAAAAATCAAAGAAATTTTTTTTTAATTTTAAAATTTATAAAAAAATCGACCAAATTTTTTATAAATTTTTTTTATAAAAAAATACTATGTCTAAACAAAAAAAAAAAAAAAAAAAAATCCGAAAATTTTTTTGGTTCACCCTAATACATCAACGTCTCAAAAAACCGCTTACCGATGTGCCCGACAGATCCGATCACACAGCGCTTTGCATATCTCATTCGTCACCTCCGAGCTGTTAATCATCGACACAAAGAACTGATTCTCAATGTACACAAAGTGTTCGGCATTCTGAATCAGCTTGACGTATGCATCTTGGATTGAATCCTCTTTTCCGTCGATCAGGGCACTCCAATGAGCGACTGAACGGAGCACTTGGATGTCACAATTGTGAGTGTCCTTGTTGATGAAAACTCTGGGAACTTTTACTGAATCATAGCTCTTGGGGAGGAGGTAGGGGTAATCTTTGTTGTTTTTGTGCTTCTCGGTCTGAAAATTAGAAAAATTTTTAAAAAAAGTAAAAATTTTGAAAAAAAACCAACATAAATTAGTAAACCCTTCTAAAAAAAATCCACAAAATGATAAGAAAAATAATGAAATATCCCACCAAATCACTGGCAACCAAAAAAAAACCAAAAAAATTTATCAAAAACCAAAAAAAAATATCAAAATCTAAAAAAATGTTGCCTAAAATAAGGTAAAACTATAACAAAATAAAAAAAATAACGCCAAAACTCAACATGAAAATCCTCTACAATCCCTGATACTTCCCCAAAATCTCACTTTAGTTGCATTCCAGCGTTGGATAAAATGTCTGGCCACATCTCTGGCCACTTCCCCATAAACCACCGAATGTATGTCGTGCCACGGAGTTCTTGGGACTCTGTAGCGGTCAATAAAGTCGGAGTAGGCCTCATGGACATCCACAAAGTCCTTCACCAGATAATTTACATAGTCTTTGCCTGGCCAAAGTTTTCCGGCGCCTTGAAGGCCAGACACGTCCACTTCAGTTTCTTGAACCTTGCAGTAGCTGAAAATTGTAAGATAATTAGAAAATTTTTAAAAAAAGTGGAAAGATAGGGCAAAATGAAGTGCCCAAAACAGAAAAATTCTTGAAGGGAAAGTACTTCTATGGAGTATGGAGTTACAGGTCGAGACAAACATCAAAAAAAAATTGCAAAATTTTTCTGATTCAAAATATGTGAAAGTTAGCTGCCTAATTTTGGTCTGTAAGGGCGAAAAAACCCTCAGAACTTTTCTCGCAACACCACACACATTACTTTAGCTCAAAACAAAGCTTCTGATTTGGCAAAAACTTGGCCAAAAAGGCATTTGCGTGGTGTTGCGAGACAAATTCTGAGGGTTTTTTCGTCACTACAAACCAAAATTAGGCAGCTAACTTTTACATATTCTGAATCAGAAAAGTTTTACGATTTTTTTTGATAGATGACTCGACCTGTAATTCCACAAACCATAGAAGTACTTTCCTTGTTGAATAAACAACATTTCCAAGGCGGTCCATCGACGATTTCAAGCAAAAAAAATCGGTAAACAACCCAAATCGACAATTTTTTCAATCCACGTGACCTCCATGGACCTCCTCCCCCCAATCTGCCTCTAAATCCCCCCTCTAAATTTCCTTACTTGATCACATATTCGTCCGTTACATCCTCCGGTTTATCCTTATCCAGAAGCATCTTCCACCTTTTGGCATTCCGATTTGTCTTTAGATTTGAGACCACCCTCCTCATTACCGTCCTGTTTTTCGGTTCATGGATTATCTTCTTCAGAGGCAACTTGTCTCCTTTATCTTTCGTCGGAGTTATCGACGAGGTTGACTGTGTCACATCAAACGATTTGGGTTCATCTAAGGGGCCTGGACTGTGGCTGGGATCGCTCCCAATCACCACGGAATGCCATCGAAGGGTCTTTGGTTTCCCAAATGGCGATTCTCGGATTACCTGCTGATTTTGATTAGACAAAAGTGACATTTTGGGGATTCAAAAAAAGTCAAAATTGGTGTAAATTCTTACCTGTGGACTCCTGACATGATGTGGATTCATGAGGTCGGCAGTGATTCCGGCTGGGCCCGATGGGGTCCGTTTCACATTTGCCGGTTTCTCCGTTGATTTGGGGACATTATCGAAGGGGGTTGGGGAGCGAGATCTCTTATTCGGGGAAGCTTTTCTTGCTTTTATCTGACTCATTACGTCTCGGAAAGTTCTTTTGTGCTCTGAAATTGCAAAAACCATAAAAAATTAAAAAGAAAATATCAAATCCAATAAAAAAATATCAAAATTCATATCCCAAAAAAATAGAAATCATCATAAAAAAATTACAAAATCGCCACATCTACCCGTTTTATTACCCAAATCATCAAAAAGCTTCCAAAAATTACCCTTTCTCTGATTATTCTCCTCTTCCTTAGCTTCAGGCTCATTTTTATTCTCTTCTTTCTTGTCCTCGTCCTCTTCTCTGGATGTCTGAACAATCGAAGTCTTCGTTTTTCCAATTCTATGACCAGTTTCATCCAAAATTTCATGTTTTATATGGCTGACTTCAGCTTCTTCATCATCATTATCCTGTTCCTCTCCTTCATGAACATGCTTGTCGCTTTTGATGACTTCACTGGCCATTTCCTCCACTGCACTTGCTAATCCCTTCGTCTGAAAGTTAAAAAACATCAATCACTACCTAAAATAATAAAAAATCTACACAAAAATGGAAGTTTTTTTCTAAAATACCCAGATTTTTGGATCTCTCTTACCAAAGTGTGGCCTTCCGCGGTTGGTGCGTATTGAACTGATCCCAAATCTGCTAACACATGAGTGGAATTGTCCCATCTTCCATAGCACAAATCGAGACCTCCAACAAACGCAATCAACTGGTCGATAATCAACAATTTCTCATGATGGGACCAAAAGAAGGTGCCGGTTCCAAAATAGTGGTCCGGATGGCGCATAACCTGCAATAAATGCATTAATTTTACATTGTACTTGTTCACAATTTAATAAATTTCACGAAGAAAGTACTTCCATGGGGTATGGAGTTACAGGTCGAGGCATATATCAAAAAAATCGTAAAATTTTTCTGATTCAGGATATGTAAAAGTTAGCGGACAAGCCTAATTTTGGTTTGTCAGGGTGAAAAAATCCTCAGAACTTTTCTCGCAACACCACACAAATTATACATTCTAATTACGAATTAAGGTGTAGTATTAATCAAATTTGATAATTTTAAGGCTTGTTAAGATACCAGGGTTTACTTTAGCTCAAAACAAAGCTTTTGATTTGTCAAAAACGCATTTGCGTGGTGTTGCGTGAAAACTTCTGAGGACTTTTTCACCTGTACAAACCAAAATTAGGCAGCTAACTTTTACATATTCCGAATCAGAAAAATTTTGCGATTATTTTGATATATGACTCGACCTGTAACTCCATACCCCATAGAAGTACTTTCCTTGTCAAAAAAATCATCAAAATTTTTATAAAAAATCTCAAAACCCCCAAAAAAATCTAAATCTCACCTTGATATTTGGATGTAATTTTTGCAGAAGCTTCTTGGCATACACTGTATTCAAATTTAAGGTCAATTCGAACTCCTTGTAAATCAAAATGAAGATCCGAACGCCTTTCTCGGCCTGTCTTTTGAGGACATTGTCCAATCGCCAATGATTTCCTTCGGCCATGGGACGTCTCATATAAATTTCGGGGCACAGCCACCAATCAGCGATGAAAATCTCTTCCCTGGCCAGTTCAATCATAGCCGCCGCTCGCTCCCAATAATCTTTGGCATCCACAAAACTGAAAAAAATTGTGTTCCTGTGGGCCAAAATTCACTAAAAATCAAAGAAAAAATTCAAAAAATAAAAAACTTACTATTGAATATATTGATTTTCTCTTGTTGGATATGACGATCCAAAGGGTTTTGGTTTGAGCCAAACTTGTCCAGTGCTCTCAAGGACCTGTCGAATCGCTGCTTTCCAATAAAACGCTTCGTCTTCGAGTTGCAATTTCATCGCCAACACACTGAAATAATCAAAAATCATATCCAAAATACCTAGTACAATATAATTTTCTCCACTTTTCTTCCAATTTTCCCCTTCAAACTTACTGCGAGGCATTTGAAAGGAACATATATTTCGGCTTCGTGCTTGTCACTACATCTGGTGAGTCGATTTCGAACTGTTCGTCAAATAAAAGCACCAATCTTACTGTCTCATTGCTGTTGATATAGCACACATAAGAATCTTTGAGGATGAGGTATCTCTCCATCCAGGGGAGGATCCACTTGACACAAAATTGTTTACAACCAATGTAGACCTTGCCTCCGCCGGGCCGTTTTTTCATCGAGCCTTCTTTGTGTTTTCCGCCGAGCTCGTTGATGAAAGAATAGCGGGAAACCTCGAGAAATTCGGCCTAAAAATTTAGATTTTAAAAATTTTTTACCTAAAACTAAAGTGTGCAAAATTTCAAAAAAAATTATGCACAGTGCAAACAAATTTTAGCGATCGCACAGTGCGGAAATCGAAAATCTCAAAATTTCCCTCGCACAGTGCAAATTTTTCAAATTTGTCGTTCGCACCGTGCAAAATACTCGGCCTTCCGAAAAGTCGCCGGACTGAAATCGGCGATACGCACTGTGCGAAAACAAAAGTTTTGTTTGCACTGTGCAATTTTTCATTCGGCTTTTTTCGGCTGTCGCTCGCACCCTGAGTTTTTTCGCACGGTGCAATCGCCAAAACTCAGTCCGGCGACTTTCCGGAAGGGCTAAAAAATTGCAAGTTGAAATGACCGCACAGTGCAAAAAATTTTTATCACTGCACAGTGCGAAAATCGCATTTTTTAAATTGGACATTGAAAAAAATCCTCATTCAATCGCAATCATCCAAAAATAATCCCCTCCACCTACCATTTGATGATAGTCTCTGTTGACCGGCTCCGTCAGCGCATGTCTCAGCCATTTCTCCAGTTGTACCCTCCGGCGTTCCATATGGACTTCGCTGATCATCGAATCCGGAAGTAAGGGAAATCTTGGAGGGCCATCGTCATCTTCATCAACCTCCTCTTCGGGTGAGTCGGGGGTTTTCCCATTCGATGTGGGCTCGTCTCCAGAATCTGTGTCCGTTCTGGGGGTTCCAAAGTCTCCGAGTTCTTTGCCTTTTTCGAGGATTTGAAGTTCATAATCTTTCGTTTCTTGATCAATGTCTTGGAAGGACATTTCGATCTTGTTCCGGGCTCTGAAATAATCAACAATGAAAATTCAAATGGGAAATGAAAAAAGATTTTTTCTATACTAGACTAAATTAGGTAACAATTCTCATTATTTGGACAAACGTCAACATATCGTAATTTACTCTAAGAAAAAGCCACTTCCTTACCTTCTAAAAGGAGATTTGATCTGTTCTAGTCGTCTATGGCCTCCCAATGACTTGGCTAGCTGGGCAAAATCAGCGTATCTTTTGAAAACTGTCCATTTATATCTTCCGTGAGTGGCTTCGACGGTGTATCTAAAATGCATACAAGCGTTGAAAGAAATCGAACAGCTTATTTTCACTTCAAATCATCTTCTAAATTCAAAACAAAAAACGAATTTAGCATACTTACATCCATGGGTTGAGTAAATGAAGATTAGTTGAAGAATCCTTTTCGACTTTGGTTATTTTTGCTGTCACTGCGACTCCAGGGATCCAGTACCCGACTTTCTGGAACTCATCTTGTGTTTTGTAGATCAGGCCGTACGGAATGTAACCTAAAATTGACCATTTTATATTCTCATTGGGAAATTTAGGTACCAATTTTTAAAAAACTGAAATTTTTGCATTTTTCTACGCCAAAAATTGCAGAAGAATAATAAAAAACGAGTAACAAACCTTTTTTCTTGACAAATTTCGGCTTCGGGAGTTCGGAGCCACCGCAATCGCAGGCCTCGGACTTGGTCGGCGAGTTGACCATGGCTATTATAAAGTAAGAAAAACGTTGTTTTTACTCGGTTCGATGCATTGGTCGGGCTGGAAATTAAAAAGTCAAGGGTAAGTTGTAATAAATAATAAATGGATCGTGACTTTCACGGCGATTAGACACGAAAAACAATAAAAATAAATATACACCTGAATTACTGTTGAACACGAAGATTAGGTCAAACTACGTGAAATTGTAAACATTTCAAGCTTGAAGAATACTAAATAACTTGAACTTTAGAATTCTTGAATTAAGACAAAAAAATTCGGAGATCTAATCTGATTTTAAAATTTTATGCGGGAAAAATTTGAAAACAATGTCGTGAACCTTGAATTGACGTGATAAAAACGTAATAAGTCCTTGGATACCCGAGATGGATGTTTTTTTTTTGCATGAAATATGCAAAAAAATGCGGTGAAATTTCAAGAATTCTCATAAATGCACATAATAAATAATGTTTTTCTTTGGGGTTTCTGTAGTCTTAAAACAACGACGACAGTATCAACCTTCATTTACAGCCACATAAAGCCGTAAGAAAGTCATATATCTGTCAAAAACACATTTATTTTCCACTTATGTCATCAGATTGATCATGGATAACATATTGATATCCCAATTACCCATAATCCCTCATTCTGTATAGAACAGGAAGTTCATACTTTGCAATGGGTAAAAAACAATACGAGAGGAAGAAGCCGTCTATAAAAGTTTGTTTACGGTTCAAAGTTCGAAAATTTTTTCAAAACCGTCTGCTGGATGGATTATCATATTATAGAGTGCAATTCTCCCATAGAACGAGTAATGCAATCAAACCGACAAAGATAGGAGAAGTCTATTATGCTTTCTAGGGAATTATGAACGGAATTGCGAGATATTTTAGTCATCATCTACTCTAATCTCTACTGCAATGTCCAATATTCCCTTTTGCAACCGTTTGACCTCTCAATCACCAAATAGTCAATCCAAAGGAATTAAGACATCAATTCTGAGCACTCAAGCGCCGCCACCTACACAAACGAATTCATTTTTTATCCAAGTTCACGTTGAAAAAAGAGAAACAAAAAAGGTCGTAAAATTAGGGAAGAAATTCATAAATTCCCTCACGAGGATGCCAGATGTCCAACATCGAACTCGAAATAGTTTGGACGTGCTTTTTATGAGCGCTTCAGTTATATACATGAAGGGACTATAAAAAAGGTCCGGAAAGAGTGACAAAACGACTTTAAATAGACTCTGAATTTGGTTGCACTGGGGGAAATTTGGGAAATCTTCTATGAAATAAGCCAGAAGTCCTTTTACAGACTAAAGATTAAAAACCCACTCATTAACTTGTAAGAACAATAAAGAAAGACCAAGATAAACAAGAATAATCATCTGTCTTCCCTTATCCCTTTTTTGAAATTCCCGACGATTATGACTAACGCAGCTAACAACAAGAAGACAAGTCAATGTCCAACTTCCCCGAAAAACAACGCCTAACTATCCCGAGCCAAGAATAACAAAGTATCTTCCTCCAAAGCCTACAAATCCCTAATGGCCGCAAGTTAAACACAAACTTTTAGCAGCTTATCTGTTTTTTCGACAAAAACGTAATGCCTTTTCAAAACCTTCAAAGCAAACCCTTCAATCCAATGCATAAACAATATAAAAACCGCTAGACAGCGGATCTCAATTCCTCAAGCCGAGAGTGCAATTTTCGGAGTTAATGGCAAAGGCGTTCCGGCTTAAATTTTCCCGAAAAATTTGAAGAAAACAATGTGAAAGACAATGCTGGGAGAGCCGTTCTTATCAATGCCGAGAGATTAGACATCCTGGAAGTGAACGAGTTAGTGAGCAATCACTTTTTGCAAGAAAAGTGTGAGTCATTCGGGGAGGGTGACCGTAAATGGTGAGGGAGATCTCGAGGAAGGCTTATCGTGAATCTTGTTGTCAATACGAGGAAACAGAGGAGTCGATAATCAAATAAATAAGGCAGAGGGGAAGGTTCTAACATTTCGGCAAAGTATTCAGCGTTACAAGTTCTAAGAAAATCGAAATTTGGACAATGAGAACTACAGTGGGGGACCTGACCCAGTGGCAAAAAACGTACCATTTTGCATCCAGGAAGTATCAAAAAATGTGGCAAAATACTTCCATCCTCAAGCGAAAAAACTGGGATTTCAAAAGCGCGCCCGCTATTTTTGTGAAGAAAACGGGCGCGCCCTTCAAAACGCAGTTTTTTTCACTTGGAGAGGGAAGCATTTTGCCACATTTTTGATACTTCCCGGATGCAAAATGGTACTTTTTTTGCCACTGGATCAGGTCCCTCACTGTAGCAGCTCAAGTAAAGTTAAAACAAAATGGGAAACCCAACCTATGGGTTTCATTACAAAGCCAAATCCGCACGACAGTGCCCTGCTTGTAATCGAATGCTTCAAATACCCAAAATCTCCAAGAAAATCACTATCGTACCGTCAAGACCACCAATGACAATATAATTAACTAAAACAGTTTCTTACCGCCTTTAATGAACGAAGAAATCGACTTAAAAATTTTTAGATCCAAGATCAACCTTTCAAACCCCTTTCTCTCCTTTTCGAACCCCACAATTATCCTCTATGATCAATTACAGCTTCAATTTCAATCGCAAACTCCTCAATTTTCGCAATTCCAAGCCGAACTTCACTTCGATTATTATCAAAATCATCCCTCAACGAAAAGTCAGCTAACGTTCCAAGATTTGAGAGCGCTTTTCACGTGTTTACCACAAACAAAAATTGTGCGTCTTTTCAAAAAAAGCCTCTCCGCCTCTTGTCGAAGGGGGTAATCAAGAGGGCCGAGGGAAAAATTACCCCAAACTGAGTCAGAGAACTGTTCCGAGACGTTGAATTCCGTAAAGTGGAAGGAGAATTAGTGCATTCATATGATTCTGGGAACATTAATTTAGTTTTCCCTTCAAATTTTTGCAAAATTAACGCCATTTCCGGCCTACAATAAAATAAATTCTGATATCACAGCTTCTGCAAAGTCGGAACTTTCGATTCTTCAACGAATTCAGGAAGCAAATGTGACATCAAACAGGATTCATTGTGTATTCAGGCCGAATTCTCGAACAATGAATAAAATTTGTGATTAAAACAATATGGGAGGTAGGACACGCGTCCTTCGACTTCCGCACAAACCTAATCTTGAGATTTTTTAATCAAGTTTTGAGCAGGAACAAGGAAAATTATTAGACTGTGGGGGAGAAAAAAGGTGAATGTCAGCAAAATTGAAGCAACGCACTTTTGGTGGCATTTCACAGTCAAAAAATCTTATTTTAAACCCAGAAAGAAGCCGTGAAAAGTAAAAGGTCGCTATAGTAAGGTTGATCATACGGCTAATCCTTGATTTCGATCGAGGAATAGTTTATAGGCTTACAGTGGAAGTACTCCAAGTGCGACGCTCAGATTTTGATGAAACTTGGCACAAATTTAGACTAATTTTTTCTAAGATATATGCGAGAATTCTAGCACGAGTTTTGCAGAAACAACCGAGATTTTTAGATCAAAAGTCGGCCAAAATTTAGGACTTTCTGCCGAAATTCGGCTCGAAAAGTTTCATGCCTATTTCAACCGTAAAGGATAATGTTTCTACAAAAAATCAAATTTTTCCGCACGAAACTGCTAAAGTTATGGCCAAAAAGGTGTTTTCTCTCTGACCGCTCTCCACGTTTAGCGTGCTTTCTCGGCGGCAAAAACCGTTCGATATCTCGGCGGCGCCCGCAAAGCGCGAGCTAAAACTTTCAGGAATTGATATTTAGTCCATACCCGACGTGTGTGCAAAATTTAAGGAAAATCTGAGCGTCGCACTTGGAGTACTTCCCCTGTTAGTTTGATTTATGATTTACAGAGAAACGTTTTCCCTCTGCCAGCTCTCTACACTTACAGTGGGGCAACTGATTCAGTGGCAAAAAACGTACAATTTTGCATCCGGAAAAGATCAAAAATGTGGAAAAAAGCTTCCTTCTCCAAGTGAAAAAACTTCGTTTTGAAGGGCCCTTTCTCACACAAGGGCGCGCTTTTGAAATCGGAGTTTTTTTCACTTGGAGATGGAAGCATTTTGACACATTTTTGAAACTTCCTGGATGCATAATGGTACGTTTTTTGCCACTGGATCAAGTCCCCCACTGTAACCGTTTTTTGGAGAAATCGAGGTAAAAATCAGACAATGCTTTCAAAAGCTCTACTTTTTCCCGTAAAAACAATAGTATAGCTGGCTAAAATTACTTTACCACCTCCAAACTTTAAAAGTAACTCCCATTCTCCACAAAAATCTCAAAATTTTTAGACCTACCACCAAAAATTTTTCAAAAACTCTTGTCAACATCTATTTATCCTCGTAATCGTGTTTTCTTTGACGTCAAAGGCTAGCTCGAAACGTTTGAACACTAAAATAACTTTTGCAGCGACTGTTCGTCAGCAATAACCTTGGTAATAGCCATTTCACAACCACCGAGTATCGAGGAAAAGTCCTCTGACTCATTCCTCAGGCAATTCTTGCATCGCCTTTTTTGGAAAGTCTTGTTATGAAATTTGTTTACGACCCACGCCCTCCCTTCTTTGGGCCTACGTTACATTTTTTTTCGAAAATAAAAAATGTCAAGTCTAATATGAAAAAGTCAAGAACAGGCAAAATTTTTGCCAAGTCTATCATTTGTTTGTTGTTAACGTGAAAAAGGCCGGTCTCAAAAAATCTCTAAATCGGCTGTTTTCGAAAAAATTCCAGACTCAAAAACAGCCACGAAACTTTCGGAACGCCCAAAATAAAACCGAAAAAATAGGGATTTGAGCTGTCCCGAAGAAAATAGAGATCTCAGTTGACATTCATTCTTCCTTCCCGTGAAAACAGAGACCACTTGGGATGAAAAAATTTGACTTTTACGATACTGCACTTGGCAAATCGTCGAAAAATTCGCGAAACGGCAGTAAAACGCCCAGATCTGCAGTCAAATGAATTAAAATTATGTAAAAAGGATGCTAATGGCATAATGCATCGCATTTTGACATTATTTTAGTTAGCATACACTGTTAAAATTTCCATCCACAAGAAATTAATTAAAATTCGTGTCAATCGAAAATTTGATAAACAAAACGGCTCAAATGTCCTTTATTTCCACGAGTTAGAACACAATAAACTTTGGAAAAGCGGTGTGAGGGCGGAAAACAAAAAAAATTTTTATACCAAAAAAGACAAAAGCCCATGCAAAAATTATTCTCCTGCACTTCCACGCCGATTATGACTCATAAAACACTCCAGAATTCGAGAGGAAAGCAAGTAAATACCCCTCTTTTTTATAACCGCGGGATAAAAATAAAACTTTCGGGGAAATTACGTTAAAAAATTATATTATTCATGATAAAGGCTATAAATATCAGACCAAAAATAGATATCCGATCAAAAACAAGGGACGAGAGTCGGAAAGCAGGATTTCCGATGAAAAAGGGGGCTAAAATAACATGCAAATCGTCGAAAAAACAATCTTACGAGATAATTCTTGGAATATTTTTGCGAGAAAACAAGAAAATCAATTGTGACATTTCGTCCAAAATCTTATTGGTTTTTCCGGACGAGTCGCAATTCGTCCAAAGATTGAATGAGTCGGAGAAAACAATGATTATCTTGGATTATCAACATTTACGAAGAATATTTGAGTAGAGAAATCATATTTTTTTCAAAATATATATTTTAGGGGATACAAATAACTTCTCACTGAAAATTTGGAATTTGTTGATCGGAAAATTTATCCTGTCGGATTTGTGGAATTGAACTTGTCCGATTTCCTTGACCAGCCCTCTTGACTTGACCGGTCAGGCCAAATTTCGTTTCCAATCCATAGATTTCCTAGCTGCGTATCTTCGTTTTTCCATCCTGATGCAATAATATCAACCGCCTGAATGTTCAATGGTACTTTTGAAGATTGCAAAGCGTTTGTGTTCAGTCGTCGATAGGAAACGAGTGGAGAGTATAAGTTGATCGATCGTGGACTTTGCGGTTGTTTACCACGTGCTTATCGTTAAAAAACTTTAGCTTGGCATGCTGATAAAGTGCAATTTGGGGCGGATGCCTTGTGACAATTTTCTTGATTGTTTATGTAAACTGTCCATCAGTATAAAATAAATCGGTTGTTTAAAGTTTGCAGAAATCTTGACATTCCTTACCTTAGGAATTCCTTTCCAAGGTCAGTTCTATTTACCCATACGTTTTGATATATACATTCATACTATTGAAAACTAAGTCTAGACTTTCTGAAATTTGTATTTCATTTATGTTTAACCTTCGTATCCTAGCCGTCCATTGAGCAAAGAACGTGCGGCTTTTTAAAATTAGAACTGCCCTTTTTATCATGGTGGTCTTCAATTTTCATTGAAAAATGAGGTTATTGAATGGGAAACCAATGCCTAGAACAGCTTGAAAAGCAAACCAGAAACGGCTGACAATCATTCTTGCTGATAAATAGTGACCTAAAGCGTCTACATAAGAAAGCCGCGAACACATTGTTTGTTCTTAAACTGAGATTACTTTAATGCTACTTCTGGGCCACTAATTTTTTCGTTTCATCGATAATAAATAGTACATACTAACGTCTGGAAAGGCTATTATATAAACTTACAACTTAAATTAAAATTTTTACCCAAAAATGATTCAGAAAAAGAGCCAAATTCATTAAAAATCGTGCGTGATGACTTTTTGTTAACCTCCGGCAATAGAAATTTTTAGCTATGTCTGAGAAACTGCCCCAGGATAAGTCGGCTGCGAAAGAAGAGTGGAAGACTTTACCAAGTCTCCGGTACACAAAGGTATTGCGAATCAACAATATTCCTATCTTTTTTACTTACAGTATGACCTCGGCAACATTGCTCTAACAGCTCTCGTTATGGCTTATTCAAAACTGGTGTCGATGAGTTCGGAGAAGAACGTTGTCTTGCCCAGTGAGGATCCATTATTGAATATCAGTGCAGTAAAGGCAGCCGACGAGATTCGACAGGGAAAAGTAGGTAAACAAATTTTTTCCAAATGATTTTACCTTTTTTCTTTCCAGCTAAAAAGTTTTGACCTAGTCTCTGCCTATTTGAAGCGTATTCGAGATGTAGATCATTTTATCAACGCAGTCACTGAACTCTTTGAAGCCGAGGCTTTGAACAGAGCGAAAGAAGTGGATGATTACTTGGATAAGATTAGAAATAATCCAGAGGAAATTGAAAAGGTAAAAAGATTTGTTAAAGTTATCCTCTTTGTCAAAGACGCATGATTATTGATAGTGATTACAGATCAAATCTGAAAAGCCCCTTCTCGGTCTGCCTATCTCTGTAAAGAGTAGTTTTGATTACAAAGGCTACAGGAATGTTTGCGGGTTAGCCCATCGACGACATCTTCCGCCAGCCGAAAATCACAGTGTTGCTGTCGATCGGTAAGCTTTCATTAATCAAAATCTAACCAACAGTCCAGCGTAATCAACGCCGGTGCAATTCCCATCTGCTACACGAATGTTCCACCCGGTTGTATGGCCTTTGAAACTCACAATCCTGTCTATGGTCGTACCAGCAATCCTCATGATACACGCGCAACTTCTGGCGGATCCTCCGGGGGAGAAGGCGCTTTAATTTCGGCTCAAGGCTCTTTATTCGGAATTGGGACGGATTTGGGAGGGTCGATTCGAATCCCATCAGCTTTAAATGGAATCTACGGACTGAAAACAGGGATTACAACATGTCCTTTGGATGGACACCAGCCTAATGTCAGCGTAAAGGATGAGAATCGAGGACTTCTGGTTATTGGGCCAATGTGCCGATATGCTGAAGATTTGCCATTACTCCATCAGGTACTTTGCTTTTATTAGTGATGACTAACATTTATTTTTTAAGGTTTTGAGCGGCATAACGATTCCAAGGCCTCTTGAGACGTTGAAGCCTTCAGCGGTCTTCTATTCGCTTGCTGAATCAAAGCCCTTGATCAAAATTGCGGACCATGTCAAAGAGCATGTCCACAATGTAGCAGATCATCTTTCCGAACAATATGACGTCTCCAAGGAAGAGCTCGACCTAGGAAAAGACCTGACCGAGCTCTTTATTTTGTTCTTCCACGGGTTCTTTAAGCCGCACCTGGACTCTAGAGGGTTTTTGGCGCCGATAAGACAAATTTATCGTTTGAAAAAAGGCATTTATTTATTTTAGAACCGGCAATTCAACGTGTTGAAAGAGTTCTTCAAATGTGTCCTCGGGTCATCGGAAATCTCAGCTGTCACGTTAGGAGTGTGTTATGGCTCCGGCGCGAATCTGTCCAACGAGAGTGTAGAAGAAGCCGAAAGGCATGTTAAGGTTATCAGAAAGCATTTGGAAGATACGCTAGGAGGTAAAGTTAGGCGATCGGCACTGAACATACTGCTCGATAATAATCGTCAGCAGAAAATTTCTCTTGATTTTTAAGTTATGAAATCATCATTTTCAGACAACGGGATCTTGATTTTCCCAGGCATGCCAGAAACACACTACTTCCACAACGGATTCGCTTTGCCCGCAAGTGCTTATACCGCCATCTTCAACGCAATGAGCTTGCCTTCTTTGGCAGTCCCCTGTGGCAGATGTGAACAGGGCTATCCGATATCAGTCCAGATTGTTGGAAGCCATGGATCCGAGCCTCTGTTGATGGCAGCCGCTGCGCAAATGGAAGAGCGGTTTGGAGGCTGGGTTAAACCCATTCAAAAATGATTATTTTATTTTGTACATGCCAGATATACGCGATGTATAAATAGGATATTTTATAGCAGTTAATGCTACTTCTAGTTTCAAACTACGATGGAAATGAGTTAAACTTGATGAGCAATTATATTAATCATTCTATCATAATAAAATCTCTTAAAAATATTACAACTGAAATGTTGAAAAACAAGAAAAAATTTTGATTCTCCAACCCTAATCTACGTTCCCTTTCAATCTTTCTTTGAGCTGAAGACAGAATTAAAATAGCCAAAATTCGAAGAGCACAACAAGGTAGCCGTCTGCTCCCTTGATTTAACTGTGTCGACAGATGAAGGGAACACGCAACTTGAGTTTTGTAGTCTTGTTTATGATTTGGGACTTGTGCGCCACAGCGGACGCTATAAAAAGAAAGTGATTTCCTGATTGAATTAAATCTTGATTTTTTTTGTGGGAGAAAGCTCAAGCAACAGAAATATAACCATTCAGCGGGGATGAATTTTAGAGTGGACCTGACTGATGCTCTTGTCCGGCCGAGTTTCGTTTTTTTGTAGGGTGGGGCATCTTTGTGGCCCGATTTGAATTGTCTGTAACTTCTTTAGTTTTTGGTCAAATCTTAAAATTCTTTTTTTCACTGAATCCTCAGACAACCCCATTTTGTTTGATACAAAATATGACAAAGATGCCCCGCCCTGTACTTGCTGACTTTACTTTTACCCGGCATGTGCCATGTGTGCTGTAAACCCAGGGGCCTGTTTCACTAACATAAAAATAAATAAAAGAGAAGTAGGGGGGAGCGAGAGAGCATCGAAAACGCGTTTGCGAGCAAGAGAAACCGGACGAAAAGCAAAAGTAGCCTACTTCTCTTTCGGAGTGACTTTTTGCGTCCAAAAACCGGAGTTGGCCGCAGAATTTTGGCCATAACTTTTTTCTCAATTGGTATAGGAACACCCTTCAAAAAACCAAATAAAGCTGACGGTTGAGACTACAACATATCCAAATTTCGTTGTTTTATTTTCAAGAGTAGATTAGCTATATAGCTTAAAGTACAGAGTACATTTATACTGAAGATACGAAATGTTTTATTTCTCGGTCAATTTCAAAATGTTGACGCTTTAATTTATACCAGTCGATAGCCCGTCTTTTTTTCTATGAGGCTTTTTTAGAGGGCCAATTGTAGGTCTTATTATGGCTGAGTTATGGCAAATTTACCTCCATTTTTGTCATAAAAAGAGCCCTCAAATCAAAGGAAGAGGAAAAGTTCGCCCCTTTCGGAACGACTTTTTATGGTCAAAAATGGAGGTTACCTTGATTTAATTGCCCGTAACTCTATCAATTTATGATATATCGCCACCCCTCAAAAAACATAATGTAGCTAAGGAACGTCTTTAGACACTGATATGAAATTTGTAATTATTCTTATAAAAATTGGTGAGAAAAATGCGTTTTTATTCCGCGAAGAAGAAAAAACGAGATGGTTGGCCGTACTACTGTAAAATTAGCGGTCCACCGGGCTATAAAAGGAATTCAAAACACATACTGTCTAAAACTACTTAAAAAATTCTATGTGTTGTTTTTTGGAGGGTTTCAATCCGAGAAGTTTTACCCAAGTTATGGGAATTTTAAGCTCAAATTTAGTCGGTTTTCTCAAAAATTACAGCACGCGTACTTTACGATTTTTTTAAGGACGGGTTTTGGCACCACAGCAATGAAAATAATCTTGGTGATAGCTGAAACTGTCAGCTTCATTCTAAATTTTGAAGGGTGTTCCTAGACCAACTGAGAAAAAAGTTATGGCCAAAATACTGCCCCCAACCCCGGTTTTGGACGTAAAAAGTCACTCCCGCAGAAGTAGGCTACTTCTGCTTTTCGTCCGGTTTCTCTCGCTCGCAAACGCGTTTTCGATGCTCTCTCGGTCCCCCCTACTTCTCTTTTATTTATTTTTACGTTAGTGAAACAGGCCCCAGACTTTATTATTTAGATGATTTTTTACCGTGTTGGAATACCCAAAATCAAAGTTAAATCTTCTTTTTTTTTGTTGCAGAATAGACCGTAATTCAAGATCTCCAACTGTTTCAAAATGGATGAGGAGTGGAAAAACTTGCCAAGTCTACCGTATTCTAAGGTAATCACCATAAAACAGTTCATAATTATACTATCTGCTTACAGTTCGACCTCGGTCGTATTGCATTGTCTTCGCTAATTATGACTTACTCAAAATTGGTCAAAATGAGTTCTGAGAAACATATTGTACTCCCTAGTGACGATCCGCTATTGAACATCAGTGCAACAAAGGCGGCCGAGGAAATCCGAACGGGAAAGGTAAGAAAAAATTATAGTAATGATAAAGTTATATCTATCATTTGTAGCTGAAGAGCTACGACCTTGTATCAGCGTATCTGAACCGGATTCGAGATGTGAACCACTTTATCAACGCCGTGACTGAAGTTTTCGAAGCTAGTGCTTTGAACAAAGCCAAGGAAGTCGATGATTATTTGGAAAAGATTAGAACCGATCCAGAGGAAATTGAAAAGGTGAGTCGAGCTATAAAGTTGCGTCTCTATAGCGTAATTTTATCATTCAAGACATTTTTATTATAGCTCAAATCAGAGAAACCTCTTCTTGGCTTGCCGATTTCTATCAAGCACAGCTTTGACTACAAAGGCTACAGAAATGTTTGTGGTCTCACCTACCGGCGCCATCTCCCGCCAGCTGCAGAGCATAGTGTTGCCGTCGAACGGTGAGTTTTTTCGTCCAGAAGGTTCAATCTTTTAGTGTAATAAATGCTGGCGCCATTCCTATCTGCTACACGAACGTTCCCGGCGGTTGCATGGCATTTGAAACGGATAATCCAGTCTATGGCCGCACAAACAACCCACATGACACGCGGGTAACTTCCGGTGGATCCTCCGGAGGGGAAGGGGCTTTGATCACTGCTCAAGGCTCGTTGTTTGGTATTGGTTCCGATTTGGCCGGATCAATTAGAGTTCCATCATCATTGAATGGAATCTACGGGTTTAAGACCGGGAAATTAACGTGCCCGTCGGATGGACATGAGCCAAATCTCAGTTTAAATGAGGAAGATCGAGGAGTTCTGGCGGTTGGGCCAATGTGCAGATATGCTGAGGATTTGCCGCTACTGCATCAGGTAATTACCGTTTCCTATCCGTAAAAATCATCTTTAGGTGTTGGGTGGAAGAACTATTGCAACCCGTATTAGCGTTTTAAAGCCCTCAAAGGTTTTCTTTTCGATCCCAGAATCTCGGCCGGTATTAAAAGTTGCTGATTATATCAAGGATAACATCAATGGTGTCAGTGACTATCTCTCCGAAGCTTACGAAACTCCGAAGCAAGAATTTGACATTGGGAAAGACATTCTCGAGCTCACAGTTCTGTTCCTCCACAGCTTCTTCAAACCGAAATTGGACTGTAGAGATCTATTACTGCCGGTAAGAAATCTTTGCAAAGTGTCACTTAAAAAAGTCTGAAGACATTTTCAAAGTGATACGTTTCAGAACAAACAGTTCAATGTGTTCAAAGAGTTTTTCAAAGGTGTTCTTGGCACCTCCGAAATATCTATTCTAAATTTGTCGGCGGCCCACGGAGCGACCTCCAATTTAACCAACAAAAGTGTAGAAGAGGCTGAACGACACATCAAGGTTATCAAAAAACACTTTGAAAACACGCTGGGCGGTAGGTTACACCATTTACTTTGAGGAAAAAAATTCTGGTCGCTCTTTATTTACCACGAATTTTAGAAGACGGAATCTTGATTTTCCCTGGCCTCCCAGATTCCCACTACTTTCACAATGGCTCCACACAGCTAACAGGTGCTTATACAGTTATTTTTAATGCATTGGGCTTGCCATCTTTGTCCGTTCCATGCGGCAGATGCAAACAGGGCTACCCAACGTCCGTACAGATAGCCGGAAGCCACGGATCGGAGCCTCTTCTGATGGCTGCTGCTCAAAAAATGGAGGAGCGATTTGGAGGCTGGGTTAAACCCATTCCAAAGTAACTATAAATGATTGTAAATACTTTTTTGTTGACTTCCCTACAATGCTCACAAAGAGATGCTAATAAAGTTTATAAAAAAGTTTGGATTCTGTACAAAAACACACAAAAGTATACAATGTGAAATTGAGCTGAAGACGAGCTCCTATGTATCTTTATTCTTGTTTTTCATTTTTCTTTCGGTCCCTCATTCTTTCTTGGAACTCTTTGGCCACATGCCACGGGAATTTGAATGGGTTTGCTGGTCGCCAATCTCTCCATTGTCGATTAATTTGAATGTCATGCTCTTTTAGTCGGACTCCAACAACCTTCGACAAAAAGAAGGCCAAAAGAAACGCGGATATGCAGACAATCAACGCAAACATGTAGAAGGTTTCCTGCAAATTGAATTGCAATTAACAGAAGCCGTAGTTGAGTATGTCTTCAACATCAAACACAATATTAGAGATTAATGTTTGGTAATTAAAATCTAAACTCAGAAAAAGAGGAATAACAAAAAAGCACACCAACCACATCAATTTCACACCAATCCAACCTCATCGAACATCTCGCTGAAGCCAGGGATCATCTGGTTTATCGAATGGACACTTTCCAACAGCCACGGTCGCTTCTTTCGACCACCAACGTAGTAGTCTCCCCACGCACGAGGCGGTCCGGAATTACGTTTTAGCGTCATAGGCACTGAAAAAAGAGGTATTTTATTGGGACAGTAAAATTAACCGGCTGAAAAAAGGTTTGTGAAAAATAGGCATGTTCTAGATTTCAAAAAAACTAATAACATACCAGTTTAAAAATCCCGTTACAAAGAAATCAATCCGATATTTTAGCGAGAAGAAAAATAAAAAATATTAGGACAGAATGCCAGTCTTTCGCGTCGCACTTTTTCGTGGTCGGAGAGGGGAAAGGGAACGAAGAGATAAACTGGATGAAAATGTTGTTGTTTTATGTTTGTAGGTTTATTCAGCACATGTGAGCATTCGGAATATTGTAGATCAGTTTGATATTCAATAAATACCTTTTATATTTTTGTTGCATAGACAAAATAAGTTATTATACAGACATTTGGCTGGTTCCGACTTTTGATTTTCCAAATTTCCTCCATGTTTCTCGTTTTTCAAGGGAATACTTTGGTATAAGTGATCGTTGTGTGCTCGCGCATGCCATGTGTTAATGTCTGCATGTCCAATCGACTTTCCATTGTCCTCGAATCCAACAAAGTCCACTCTCGGATAAGCTAAAGTTTTGGTCTTTAGTTTGCTTGTTTCATCGCTTTTTCATCACTTTTAATTAGCAAAATTCAATTGAATTGTTGTCTCTAAACTCGACTTACATCATGAACGGGAAGATCCCGCGAGAAGCTGAGTCTTCCAATGTCGACTAATCGGAATTGGATCCGATTATGGTTCACTTGTCCCTCCTCGATCGTGGCGAATCCTGCAAAAATTGCGGTGATGTGAGGAAACCAAAATTAAAGTTAATCTTCGGCTCTATCTCGCTGCATTTACATTCGATTTCCCATTTTTTGTTCCTGCGTTTTGGCAATTAGAAGATTAGCGTTAGAGGTTCAAAAATAGACGGTTTTTAGTCCTTCAAACTTCAAGGTCCCTCCAGAAATAAGTGTGGGCGTCAATGAGGGATTAGTTTCAGGATTAGAGCTTTACAAGGGAAAAGTTGTGGCCATTAATAGCGAGGTTAAAGATGAGAAAAGTTTGGGCTCACCATTGCTCATCACCGTGTTCATTGAGACCAGTCTCGAGTCGGGTTGAACTGTTAGGTATCCGTTTTCGGCGTGGAGTTCTTCTCGATCAACCATGCTCCAGGCAAAGGCGCTGAAAATTTGTTTGGTAATGGTAGCGGGCGAGTTTAATTCGACAATTTATTAATATCTTAAAGTACGCACTTCCGCTAAGCCAAAATTGGCTTTCTCCCAGCAAAGAAATTTTTCGTTTCGGGACCCGCAACCGGTGGGCGTGTCAATAAAAATACAAATATTTTTGGGTATTCCAATGTAAAACTGTTGCCCGAATGGAATTTTTACAAAGGTAAGTCAGTTTTTATACCTAGTTTAGCTTGAAAATGCAATAATTGTTCTTCTTTGTCCAAATTTTCGACATCTTGCGCAATGTTACATGATTTTTGATGCAAATCAAGGTTGGCTATGGAGAATTTTAGTTTTTTGGGTTGTAATTTCAGGAAAAAGCGCAAAATCGTCCATCCCGACACCGGAGTCACCTCCAAGGTCATGAACACCGATGGTTTCTGAACCGATCGGTATGTTGTTTTAGATCATTATTGAATTATTTTTTTTAGATTTTTGGGTAAATCTTTGGACTCCTCACTGCTAAAGCCTCTCACATCCTCCAGTTGAAGAGTTGCTCCGCTATCTCCACGCGGAATCCGGATGTTGTTCCGTCTGATCTTGCCCAGAGAAAATTGGCCATGAAGAATGTTCCCGAAGACACCAAGCCATCACCAAGTACTCCTATACCAAGGAAAATGGATTGGTCTCCTAGCCCCCCTTCACATGTTGCTGATCCCAAACGGCCCTCTTTAGGGCCACATATTACACGAATTTTTTAACCTGTTTTTGATGTTTTAGGTATAAATATTTTTATTTCAATTTGTCGTATTTTAGATGGTTTGGAGCTTATAATGAAGGATTCTTGACCAGTTGTTCCTTTTTTAGTCGTATTTGCCAGGATTATCTTCTACAATCCACTAACAAGACAAATTCTTTATTCACGCTCAAGGCAGATCAAAGAAATGTGGCCCTAAAGAGGGCCGTTAGGGATCAGTAATGTGTGAAACACCAGGAAAGCAATCCATCTTCCTTGGAAGAGGTGTATTTGATGATGGTCTTGGTGTCTTCGGAAACATTGTTCATGGCCTGGGCAAGATAAGACGAAGCAAAATCCGGATTCCGCGTGGAGATAGTGGAGCAACTCTTCAACTGGAGGATGCGAGAGGCTTTAGCAGTGAGGAGTCCAAAGATTTACCCAAAAATCTAAAAAAATAATTCAATAATGATCTAAAACAACATACCGATCGGTTCAAAAAACATCGATGTTCATGACCTTGGAGTGACTCCGGTGTCGGGATGGACGATTTTGCGCTTATTCCTGAAATTACAACCAGAAAACTAAAATTCTCCATAGCCAACCCTGATTTGCATCAAAAATCATGTAACATTGCGAGAAATATCGAAAAATTGGACAAATAAGAACAATTATTGCATTTTCAAGCGAAACTAGGTGTAAAAACTAACTTACCTTTGTAAAAATTCCATTCAAACAACAGTTTTACATTGGAATACCCAAAAATATTTTTATGTTTATTGACACGCCCACCGGTTGCGGGTCCCGCAACGAAAAATTTCTTTGCTGGGAGAAAGCCAATTTTGGCTTAGCGGAAGTGCGTACTTTAAGCGGCCTTTCTATCTCACAATTCGATGGCACCAAAAAATAAAAATTTTTGTTATCAATTTTATTACTTTGTCATGCCTTCAGTCACTTACAGTGAGGGACCTGATCCAATGGCAAAAAACGTCTCATTTTGCATCCCGGAAGGGACCAAAATGTCTCTAAATGCCTCCCTTCTCTAAGCTAAAAAACTCCGCTTTGAAAAGCGCGCCATTTCCTTCAAGGCGGGCCCTTCAAAACGGGGTTTTTTTAGCTTAGAGAAGGGAGGCATTTGGAGACATTTTGGTCTCTTCCGGGATGCAAAATGGGACGTTTTTTGCCATTGGATCCGGTCCCTCACTGTAGGGTCGTATTTTTCAAGTCGCAGCTTATACCATAGATCCTTGTAGTTTACCATCTAAACCATACAGTATCTAACATATAAACCCATGTGCCACCCGGAATCCCCTCTACAAATCCCTTTTAAATCCTCAAGAAGTTAATTAATACACCGGATGAGTAACAGTAGATTTACCGTTTTCGTCGGAGGAAATACGTCAATGGAATTATAATTGTAGGTCTTCTAATCTCAAGTGGATTTGAGGTTACTGAAAGTGCAAGAAGAATGTCTAGTCATTTCCGGCTTGTTAGAAAAAATGTTTAATTACTGTTAGATTAGTTGCCGTAATTACCGTAAGATTATTTTCTAATAGCTTTAGAATTTTACTATTTTGATCGCGTAAGGAATTGTTGTTGTTGTTATGTAACATTTGTAATCTCGGCCCACTAATCCAGACGATAACCATATAGCTACTTTAGTCGAACAAACGATTATTTAGAGTTTTCATACATAATTAATGTGGATAGAGGCGTTTTAATTACAGCTAAATTTGGTGATCTATCTATAGCAATTATCATTTAAAAAAAACTGTTTATTGCACTCTATATCGGAGATGTCTAACCTCTATATTAGCCTATGGTTGCCTCTAAATAATTCGTCATTTCAAAGCTAACACTCAAATCTTACGTGTAATTGAGCGCCGGTATGGCTCCCATATGTTTATCAGACAAGGCAAACTCTAACTGTTCGCCGTAGGTAAATTTGGGAATGGTTGGGAAGAACGCCTTGCCTCCATGTTCGGACCGCCAAATTCCAATTAAAAATGCCAAATGTTGCAAGTTTGAGGGCACTCGGCTAATGTCGAATTCTGAAAAGAATTGTAAAATACGCGTTTTCTCTCTATTAAGTTATGTGCTGTAACCCAAATGCATAGTGAAAACTCACTTCTTGGCAAAAATTTGCAATAGCCACAAGACTTTCGACAACTTTGTTTGATGTAGGGAGTTTTGTCGCAGATTGTCGCGTCTTGCGCCACCCAGTCGTTGCAATTGAAGTCAAAGTCTTTACAGTCTTCTGAGGTCTCAATTGCAGCGAAAATCATCGAAGCTGAGAAAAAGAGGAGTGCTGATATTCTCAATAACTTTCTGGGCATCTTTGGGGTCTAGAATAACAGCAAAGAGTGATTAAATGCTATAAGTTATGATAATGCCCGCGAGTTGAATCAGCAAATTTAAAAAAATCTTTGTACAACGAATTTCAAGGGACCACAAAGTTTATTTGTTATGGAAAATTGTCGTTATAGAGAGGTTCATTTTGGCCTAATTTGACTCTTGGGGCCTTAGGAACTGCCCGTATTAGATAGGGTTTTTACAGGGAGTTTGTTGTGGAGTGATATTGCTGTTTTCATACAGTAAGAGGGGAACGAAAAATGAGCCATCACGGTATTTTTTGGCCACTTGACTGTTGCATCTAACATCTCGCACATATTTTTTGGGGAAATATTTCTTAACACATGATAAATACACTGCCAAATTTCCACCCAATTTTTTACCAAAATTTGGGCTGATTCTAAATGCTAACTAAAATGTTGCAAGTTTCTAAAATGGTAATTCCAATTTATGCCTAGTTTTTATCAAAATACACGAGACCTAGGTAAAAATCCTATTATAGTGCAGTCCACAATTTTTTTGTTGCACAGTGCAATAATCATCAGTCGCAAAATCGCAATCACGATCGTGCATAGCGCAAGCCAACAATTAAAAAACTGAACCCCAAAAGATCGCCAGCAGTTCCTGGACACTCCCTTTTGTCGACTTTCCGTTTTACGAATTACCTGATCATTTCGTCGTTGCGCAATCGAGTGTCATTTTTCCCCGTTTTCGTAAATTTTTCGAATTCTGCGCCCGCCTAGACGTGACGACGAGATTCTCGCTTTGTTTTTCGCTTTTTAAAATTTCGAGTTTTTTCAGTTTTTGTAAAACATCAGGAAAAGGGCCGGGCCAGTTTTTTATATTGTAATAACACGATGGGTAACAATGGCCAGTTAAACTGGTAATTAATTAGCTCGGAAATTTAATGAGAACCTTATTTTGTGAAAAGAGGATTGATTTTGAAGAAAAAATGAGGTTTGTTTCGAATATTTATTATTACAACAATAAATAATATATACAAGAACAGAGTTTTTGAACGTTACGGCTTATGTTTTCGAATAAAATTAATCTGCATTAGTGCGGTCGAATCCATTGTTTGATCGTGGTTTAGTCCCTTCTTTCGAACGAACCCATCTTCACCTCGAATCGGCGATGCCAACTTTCCACAGGCGCGGTAGCCCACCTAAAGCAATATTTTTTGTCATAACTCTATTTACAGTAGCGGGATTGCCTTAAAATTTTGTGGCCAAGGCACGGATAGTACCATAATCAGTTTCTAAAAATCTTAGCTGATGCTTTGCATGCGTAACCGATATATTCAAAGGTCTTCGCTGAAAGGATTCTACGGGAAATGAGGTCGAAAAAAGTTCATTTTTTGCTTTTTTAGGCTAGAAATAGCAATCTAAACCTATCGCATATACCTTGTAAAATTGTAATCTCAATTTATTCCCAATTGCATCGCAATCGGACAATTTTATCCTTGCAAGGCCTTGGCCCCTTCGTTCTTGAAATTTCCTTCTCCAAACTTACTTTATCATCATTTGTCGAGAATATACTGAACACGTGGGATCCCTCATACCGCTGCTGACTGTTTATGTCGGCCAAGAACTCGGAATCGCAATGCAATCCATTTTTCCGATTGCACGTTCCAACAGGAATCGGGACAAAACATAAAACGGCACCTGAATTCGCTCCAGCCACACTAAGGAAAGTGTCTACCAACTCGGTGATCGGAGGGCCAATCACTTCTCGGGTGTCCACACAAAGACCTCCTAATATGGCTTTTCGAGCAATGGGAGAGCCCATGGAATACGCGATGATATCAACTTTGTCCCCAATGTATTCGTAGACAGCGATTATTAAGCTTCTAAAAAAATTTTAAGAAATTAAAATTTTTTTAGTTACCTGATTTGCTTGACATAGTCGCATTTCATCTCCACCAACCCGGCTGGTGTTACGCCACCATCTCCGTAAGTTGTGCCAAAGATCCCACCTTTGTATCCGTGACGGCGCAGCTCGTTTATTGTGCCCTGAAAAAGCCATGCGTTCAAGTATGGAAAACTAGGTATAAAGCGGTATCTGGGAAAAGTAGAATTTTGCTTTACAAGGCAGGCCCGGATGCTATGCGAATTTTAAAGACAAATAATGGAAAGTGAGGAGAGACGGTCAGAAAAAACTTTTTTTTGGCTAGGTCCCTGCAAATATTTGGCGAAAAAAGTAAGTTTTTGCAGAGATAGTGTACCAAAATTTTTACTTGGACCTTTCAAATCAAGCATTAACCTTTGGATTTGAAATTTTGGCTATTTTTGCAAAAACTCGGAATTTTCGATACACAAAGTAACCGTAGACCTTTACTCGAATTATCATCAAATTTACTTCAAGGTTTTCTCGATAAAAATTAGCTCCTTACCTGAAACCGTGAAACTTTGTTGGTAATTCCATGGACTATAATCACAGGCTGCCCTTTGTACCGTCCTTCACCGGCTTCATTTCCTCCAACTGAAGCGTCTTCACCAATATCCAGCCGTTCCAATCTTTGTGCAATTTCAATTCCATACCGATTATGGACAAAGGCCCGGAAATCACCGCCAAATCGGGCAAAAGATAAAGGAAATGTAAGAAATATGCAAAATAATATTGAAGATTGTGATGTCCTCATGTTTGCAATCTTGGCATATGTCCCTAAAATCGTTAAGCTGCTGATTTTATGATGACAAATATAAAAAAAAAGGTGATAAAATACGATCGCAATAATTTTAAGAGCATTCCAATATCACAAATCGCAAAGCTCGGGGCTTTATGACACGAATACAATCGGATTAGAACGTCCTCACAGAGAACGCTGCAGGTAGTAAAAGTCGGAGTGTTTTTCGCCACTCAAGGATATTTGAAATGAAGATGAGCGGCTCGGTGGGTTGGCGAAACCAGATCCTTTCGATATAAAAATCATCACGTTGATCGCTTTTTTCGCCTCAGGTCTTTTTGTGTGAGGAAAGAGGGGAAATTTTTAGAAGGGCATCTGAAGGAGGAAGCAGGTGAAGATCTATCATGGACGTGATTAAAGGTTGTTTTAGCTCCTGCAAGAAGCCCTTTTTAAAGACATAAAAGTCCCATGGACTGTGAGTCAAATGTACGTCTTGGACAGTTAGTAACATCTATTATCTAACATAGTTTGTTAGTTAAGTAGTTAGGGCAGCAAATACAATTCGCGTAATTGCGTCTCGGCCGTTTGCCGGACATCCCAACCTTATTATGGTCATGCTAACTAAACGATCAGTTCTAAACTGTATCTTTGCTCAGAAAATATCCTCTGAGGAACAATGGAAAAATGCCCTCAACAATTTTTTTAGCCAACATAGCGAACATATACATATAAAGGTGGTTATATAAGAATTCACAAATTTTCTTTCCCAAATCGCGATTTTCGGGGCACAAAAAAGTCGAAAAACTGGCGTCGACTTATTTTTTCTCGGCACCGAATTCTGAAATCCGGTGAAATTTTCTGTTTTTCGAAATCAATGCACAAAGTCTTAAGTCTGCACCGAAGACTTGAGTGCTTAAGTCAGCACCGCATTTCGAAATTCGGTGCTGAAAAAATTAAGTCAACGCCAATTTTTCGATTCGGGCGTCGACTTTTTGGTGCACCGAAAATCGCGATTTGGGCAAAAAATTTTTAAATATTTATATGACCACCTTTATATACATATAACATTGTCGCAACAATTTTTATCGAAAAGGTCTACAAAATCTCTCGACACAACAAAAATTAAAATCTCGGATACCCTGTGTCTTTACACAAACAATGATTTGATGGACGGTTCAAGCATCACCCTACACATTACGGAACACAAGAAATCATTCATTTTATACCCATGAAACATGACAATGCACCTTAGAAGGAAGTCGTCTGTACAAACATGAAAAAATTTGTAAAATGGACATCAAAAATCTATAGAATAGAGGGGGCTTACAGAATAAACACAAACAATAAATGGACATGCAAATAATACACATGTTTTGTGATCTATGTTTTATCGTGTTGTTTGATTTGGCAGTTGTTGGCTGAGCGTCTGATGGAATAACGAGCTGTTTTCTTGTCTATGAAAGTAGTGTTCATTTTTATAGTATTGTTTTTCGTGTGAAGGACAATGTCCATGCATCCATTTGCAATCAAGCCATAAAGTCTGTGAAGTCTGTACTTACCGCTCTAAATTAGCGCTGTCATAATCCCGTTTCCTCTTCGTATACTGCAACTTCCGCTCGTTACCACATGTCCTTCATCTCCTCGTTTATCCCCTTCATCGGCTTCCTCAACCGTAACTCAACGACAAGGAGCCGGAAAATGTGATTTGATAATCCGTTCGTTGTTTAATCCCCCTCCTCTTCAACCTCACTAATCCGCCCGCAAATCTCGTGTAAGCCCGTGGCCTTGGCTGGCATTTCAGTGGTCCGCAAAGTGCCCCGCCTCAAGAAAAGGTGGTATAAAAGCGGATGGCCAGAGGGGTCGAATACGATTACCATTCCCATCATGACCACCCTATCCCTGGCATTCCTCCTGACACTTGTTGGATTTGTTGCCGCCGCCCCCGCCACTCCAGTCGCCCAGCCCAACCACATGCGGAGTTTTGAGATGCCGCCTCGGCAACCTTACAGTATGATGGAAGGCTTCCAACCTATTGCGGTGCCGCCATACAAACGAAGTGAGCATTTTTGAGGGGTTTGGAGGGAAAGACTAGAGTTTTTAGAGGGTAAGAAGGCATCTGAATCCTTCATGATCTAGGAAAACTCATTACTTTTTGACATCTTTTGATTCCCTTGTTATGATGACGATGTTTCTTTAGAAAGAAAATCAAAAAAGCCTAACCATCTCCTTATCTCAACATGATTACTTCTTCTAAGCTATCAATTTTTCAGGCCCCTACCCCGAATACATAAACGCAGCCCCAGTTGGAGCCCCCGCATTGGCATTTGGCCCGTTCTCGGCCCCATCTTTCGGCCCTCGGCCCTTCGAGATGGTCCCTCCAGCCTCCAGCGCCTTCTACGGATTCCGCAGCTTCTAAACCTTACAGATATACTCTTGTTGTTGTGTGAGATGACTACTTGTTAAAAACGTGTATTAAAAGCAGTGTAAAAATCGTGTATTATAGGAAAATAAAGTCAAACCAGTGTTAATTCGGAGGAATTTTTTAAGTTTAGATTTAAAAAATAGTCAGAAGCGCTGTAAAAGTAATTACAGAAATTGAAAGTTCCAAAAAATATAAATACAATGGGCAAAATATCATGATAATTGAAACTGAGAGAAAGTCACCCTCATGGATTGTAAATTTAATGAGCTTTGTGTCTTGAAGTTCCCAGCTGAACAACTTTCCTGGTCTTGGCGGTCTGGGTTTTCCCAATGTTATCGATTTGTTCGGCTGTCAGCATTTGCCCACTTTTTGGGACAGAGTTAAAGAATGCCAGCAGCCCCAAAACTGACTGTTCCAGCTTTCGAGAGTCATAGATATGCTCGGACATTTCGTCGATCAGCATTTCAAAGTGCTTCAGACGGCGTTGATGGGCGTGCCGCTGAAAATTTAAGCGTCAAACTGAAGAAAAAGAACCAATAAAAAGGTCGATTTTCAACGACCTTTTTAATGATCTTTAAACAAGACATACCAATGTTCTCTCCTTATCCAATTCACTGGTTATGAGCCGCTGTTTTTGCCGCAAAACTTCGAACTCTTTGTTGCGCTCCTCCAGTTTTTTTATTGACTCCAAATTCCGCTGATTCTCTTCGTTCATCGTTCTCAGCATGGAATCAATCTCTTCTCTGGCTTTGTCCAGCTCTTCTTGAACATTGGCCAACTCCGTTCGAACGTCCGCCGTTTGGCTGTCCGCCTTTTCTCGAGCCTCCTTTTCGCGGAGTAGGTAGGCCTGGAAGAAAAAGGTTAGTATTATTATTATGTATTTTTAGTACAGTAAGGGACCTGATCCAGTGGCAAAAAACGTAACATTTTGTATCCGGGAAGCATCAAAAATGTGGCAAAATGCTTCCCTCTCCAAGTGAAAAAACTTCGTTTTGAAGGGCCCTTTACCTTACAAAAAGAGCGGGCGCGCGTTTGAAAACTAAATTTTTTCACTTGGAGAGGGATGCATTTTGCCACATTTTTGATGCTTCCCGGATGCAAAATGGAACTTTTTTTAATTGTACAAAGAAATGAGCTCGTCAAGTAAAAGTCAACCTGCCTTCAACTGTTTTATTTGATTGACATTTTCCTTGCTCTCATCTTGTGCTTTCTGCTTCATCTTTGCCAAACTCTTTTCATAAGCCTTTTTCTCATCACTCCGCTTGACCATCAACGCTTCAACCGTCTTCTCTAGCTTGTGTTTTTCATGTTTTAGATGTTTTATATCTTGCTGAAGACCTGCTTCAATCTTATGCCAACGTTTTTCCTCTTCTTTGAAGGTCCCTTTCATCTCCGCTAACTTTTCTTTAAAGTCCTCTTCAACGCCTTCCAGACGTTGCTGATTAAATTCGTCTTTTTCTAACGAAGATCTGAAAGGATTAGGTAATTTAGTATATTTTCAGGATAGTATAATTTTTTGATTACAAAAACGTAAGAACCGTAAAAAACCTTACTTAATTTGGTCGCTGACCAGTTTTTCGTAGTATTGCTTCTGTGTTTCCACTTGTTCGTCCATTTCTTTTTTCATTCTGGCAAATGATTCCTCCTTACTCGCTTCAATCGCTTCGTATTTCTCTTCGGCTCGCTGAAAACTCATTTTATTAAAAGGTAAACGGATCGCACCTTCATCTTCTCCCTCATTGCTTGTAGCGTTGTTTCTAGCTCTGTTTTGAGGTCCAAAATCTCTCCTTCTTTTGTGTGTTTGTACTCATCGAGGACTCCAGCTGATTGCGCTCGAATCAGATTGCATTGAACTTTGAGGTTCTTGATTTCTGTCTCCTGGAAAGGAAAGGGATAGTATAATATAAAAGCTATATTAAAAACCTAAAATTTTGATGGCTAACTGCAAGAGGAATGATGGTAAAACACTTACATACTGCTGAAGTTTCGACACAGCGCACAAAACATAGTCATTCGAATAGATCGTCTGATCATTGTCCTTTTCCTCGGCTGTCATCACCTTGAAACAAACCACTCTCCCGTCTTCAAATCCAACAAACAATTGATCTTCATTTGGATCATGAAACAACGTTGTGATCGCATTCTTATCCGGGCAGTTTATGAGATATGTTTGATCGGGATCGTCAATACTCACTCTATTTACATTACCTCCACTGGAGGTGACAAAATGAACTGTGTCAGTGCTCAATAGTGATGTGGATGAGGCTTTCAGCGAGATGCCTTCTTGATGAACATTGGTCGACTCCAATTCTTTGCCATTCTCCAGTCGACTCATCATGAATTTGTTTCCCATTACATAGACAGTCTCGGCACGGCAAGAGAGATCGACGAAAAAGCGGAGTTTGAAGTCAATTGTCCAGAGGAGACGTCCTAGAAATATTTGTCGTAAAAATGACATTGTATAGCGGGTAATCTTTTAATGTATCCCTGAAATGCCGATTTCGAGCAAATTGGCCAGAAATCGACACCGATTTTCTCTATGAAGTTTGGAAGATATATCCGAGCGATGCAAAAATAATAATCATGATAAAGCTGACTTTCAAGGCTTATATAAATTGGCAAATATCGCAAAGATACGACCAAAACAATGGTTTTTAATTCCCAGTCGGTCTATAGCTTCCTAACAATCAGTAATTTCAATCAAATAAGCTGTTCAAACCTTCAAGAATTTGTTTGGGGTCTTCTATCTACAGCCCGATAGCCCTTACCTTCAATAACATCGATCAAGCAAACCGTATCACTGTTGGATAAACAAGCAATCGTCTTATCGTCCGCTGACCATCTTAGGGCGACAACATTCTAAAAATCAGATTTTCAGCCAGCCAAATTAAGAATAATTTAATTTAAACGGCATTAATTGCAATTTCAGTCATAGGATTCTTCTTTGCATCAAAATTGGAATAAACAAAACAAGTTTTGAGCTCTTGGCAAAGTTTTTAGAGCCAGAGAGTCCGAATGCCCTTATAAACAATTGGAAGAAAAGGGTTTTACGATGAGAGGGCAACATCACTATAACATTGCAAAACAAAAATATAAATTTGCTGAATTGAGAGTTCAGTTCGATGAGATAGAGTTGTTTTTTGAAGCGAAGGAAACTTACTTCTTTTGAGCCAACAATCACATAACAGGTCTTCTGGAAAGTGCAGATATCGAGGACATACATTGTGTCTGTCGTGAGGACCGCCAGTTTTGTGGCTCTGGCATTTTGGGATAGCTGAAAAGATAGTTGTTGATGTGTTGTTTGGTAATAAATATTTTTCTTGTAATTCCCGATTAGAGTATTTTCATTGACGATTAAAGAAGGGCTCCGGTCATTTTCAATCTTTTACAGCCATAGGTTAATCTTTAGGCGGAAAGAAAGGCATAATGGAATAATAAGAAAAGTAGATTGCTTCTATAAATAGATGCCTTTATGGCATCCCACTTCTCGCGGCCCAAAGATCTACAGTAATCTATTAAAAACCGGTGCCCCATTTTGTCAAATTCTGGGTAAGGTCGTTCGTATAATTTTTTTCCGGTTGACTGACAGTTCAACTTCAACGTTTTTTCTCATACTTACCGCTAAGAACCGATGACTTTCCTTGGTCTCCATCACAACCTTTTCTTCAACCAGCGCTCTGCATAACACCCAATAAACCTGAAGCTTCAACGGTGTCATAATTAGGACTTTATTTCCTCCTTTCAATATCACTCCATTTATAATTTCGCGATCCAAATGAGTGGCTAATAACTTTCTGAAAAACGCCATGGAATCTTTGGCAACACCGAAAATAGTTATGGCATGTTCTTAACAATGCAATCTTACTTTGTAAGGCCACTAGTAATAATTACAAGTCCGCTTTCGTCCAGTGTCATCACTTCTTTGGAGCCCTCAAAATCACTGCTAATCGATTTCACAGGCTTGGAGTGTTGCGCCAAAATAAGTCGCATTCCATCCCGACACACCGCCTCCACATACTGCACATTGCAGTACCACAAACTTTCCGCGTCCACGTAGAACAATTGCTGCCCAGTTGAGTCCAGGCTGCACTGGAGACATGGGGAGTTTGTGTAGATGGAATCGACGACAATAGCGCGGGAATTTGTCCACCGATTAAAGTTCTCGTCGTCAGAGCGAGGAGGGAAGATGAAGATGACTCCGATCTCGACGCAAACAACTAGGCCGGCGTCGCTGGAGTCCATTTTGATTACGGCGCCTTTGTCGGCTTTTTGGGCGTCCAAAATTAGCCTAGAAGAGATTAGATGCTATGTTAAAAGTGAGTCAGTCATAGTAAAGAACTTTCTGAATAATGTCTTCAACATAGCAAACTTTACTACAGGGATATTTAAAAAGTAATCAATTTCTTGGACCCATCGGCCGATTTTAGGCCAAAATTAACTTGCAGTGGGGACCAGATCCAGTGGCAAAAAACGTATCATTTTGCATCCTGGAAGTGTCAAAAATGTGGCAAAATGCTTCCCTCTCCAAGTAAAAAACTCCGATTTCAAAAGCGCGCCCGCTCTTTTTGTGAGGAAAAAGGGCGCGCCCTTCAAAACGAAGTTTTTTCACTTGGAGAAGGAAGCATTTTGCCACATTTTTGATGCTTCCCGAATGCAAAATGGTACGTTTTTTGCCACTGGATCATGTCCCCCGCTGTATGTAACAAAGCCTATTCATTGTGAGAAACCTGTTTGTCCGCTGGCGATTCTTGGTACATGGGAAATGTCTAGCGACATAAAGCTTCCACAGCTTCCAAAAACGTCTCATTTTTTGGCAGTTTCATTGACCGAATTTTCGAATTAAAAATCCTTCGATCGGAAAAAAACATGCTCTTACTTTCCATGCATTTTCCCCAAGTCAATCGCTTCCAACGCGATACTCTCTCGATACAGTAACAACTTCCCTTGTGAGCTTCCAAACGCTAGTGTTACATCGTCCGCCCAAGCATGACAATTGAAGGTCTCCGCCTGAAAACATTACCATCTTCATTTCCTAAAACCCCTTTACCTGCACCGTGGAAAAAATCAGCAGCTGCCCAGGGATTATCCGATATAAATTTACGCATTGATCGGTCAGCAGGCAGACAACGTCCTCATCAGCTGGGCATAATGAGACTTCAAACTTTTTGCTCTTGGACTTGAGCTCGCACTTCACTTCGGCAAAGATTTTGCCGTCTTCGACGGTATAGGCGGTAATTCTGGCAACTGACATGTTGTTGTCAACTTCCAGAAGAACGATTTTTTTACTGTCCGGAGTGATTAGAACTTGACTTGCGGCCAAGCTGAAAATTCAGTAATAAGTGTAAAATTTATAAAAATTCTTTTTTATTCCATGACCTCATATAAGTAAAGGTTCACAAATAAAAATCCAAGGAATCACTCAAGCCTTACCCCACAATAAATGCCTTTTTTGTGACATGAAAGTCCTTCAACGACTTGATAAACAGCGTCGCTCCCCTCCGAAAGTCCACAACGACCACCAACATGTCGTTGTTTTCATTCAACGCCACGGCAGTCACCCTCCCATTCATATCAATAAAAGTTTGTTCATCAGCGCAATTGGCAAGATCCAGCTGACATAAAAATCGACCAGAAGTCAACAGGAGTTTGTCTTTCTCCAGAAATATTGTCTTCTCCAGCTCGAACCCGACTTGTGGCTGAAATTACGAGGAATGCTTTGAGAGGTTGTTTTAAATGGCATTGATTATATTGGACTTACATTGAATGTGGGTTGAGCCCGATTCAAGGCATCTTCCACATCAACTGCGGCCGGGTCCGTTTCTTTGGAAATACGCATAGTTACTGGAGTCGATGAAGACTTCCGGCGTTTCGGACGCTACTTTCTAAAAATTGTGGAATTTTAATTGTAACCGAAGAAGCCAATTGCTTTCAGAAGATGACAATTGTCAGCAAATCATGGCAAATGTTTTCAGCTTTCTCCAAATGATAAGCGACAGTGGTGGACCTGATCCATTGGCAAAAAAAGTACTATTTTGCATCCGGGAGGTATCGAAAATGTGGTAAAATGCTTCCAGCTCCAAGTGAAAAAACTTCGCTATGAAGGGCGCTCCCTTTCCCTCACAAAAAGAGCCTTGGAAATCAGTTTTTTTCACATGGAGAGGGAAGCATTTTGCCACATTTTTGATGCTTCCCGGATGCAAAATGGTAAGTTTTTTCCAACTGAATCAGGTCCGTCACTGTAGGATGTAAAGATTTCAAGTAATTCAGGCACTTTCAAAGCACTCTTTCTGCGTCTAACTAATTCTAAACTCACCCTAAACCAAGCGTCGCTGTACCTCCTCAACTGGAAGACCAGCTCTCCAATCGCCGGATGTCTGGTTCTCAACGCGTATACTGGCTCTCCCTCGTCACTTGAGGTGTCATCAGACGAACTTCGATGGCGGCCAGTGAAGACTGTACGAGTAATTGAGCGAAATCGACTTTTCGGATCCAGTGGGGGTTTGGCGGCTTCGGATTTGTCGTTAGGTTGCTTCAACTTCAAAGGAGGCAGCTTCTTGAGAGTTCCGGATTTGAGAGATTCAGTTGAACGGGAGAGACTGGAAAAGTTATAGGTTATGAAAGAACAAGGTCTATCTAGGCCATGATTTGTAAATCTGCTTCAGGAATTATCAAAAATTTCCCTATTTTACTCATGAATTTCACTTCAAACCCTCGAAAATCAAACTTTTCCCCACCTGAACTTCCGTTTGTTGGCCTGAAAATGCAAATTATCCGTGGAGAGTGAGGTCACAGCCAGCGTCTTCATCGATAACGAAATATTCCTGGAATGGCCCAACCATTTATTTCCTCGTCCCCCGAACTGAAACGTGTGGTCGGAAAGGGCCTTCGATTTGTTCATCTGGGCAGATTTCCGGTCGGAAATTATTTGACTGTTATGAAAAAAGGGCGCCGAAATAGAAGCGCCTCAGGCATTCGGAATTGTGAAGGGAAACGTCAAGTGTGCCGGAGGGCAAAGATCGCTGAAGCGGTTGTTGTAGCCAAAATGGGACTTTTTGGACTTTGATATTTGATTCCCATAAAAATGAAAAAAATCCGAGTTCAACATCTAAATTATCTTTATTTATCCAAGTCATTTCATTTTCAATATCATTCTCTCTTTTAAAAATCAAAAACATAACTTTTGACCCCGTTGAAAACAAATTTTTCATTATTTACTTTACACAATAGCTTCCGTTCGCTAATGACAAAACGCGATTTAGCTGCAAACGGAGGTTAATTTGCGCATCATTAAATAAATTTCAAATCGGAACTTGTATTTTTGACCGTTTTAAAATTTGTTTGAAAGACTCCCTCGCAATTTACGATCTCCAATTCGGTTTATTACAATAATCGAATCTGCTCAATTAGGAGTTGGCTGTAAATTTGAGGGTATAAAAAGAAAATGAGAGAACCGAATGTCGTATTCGAAGGTCAGGGGCTCAACAGGAAAGGTAAGAGGCCCAACATACCACAATAATTCCATTTTCAGCATCATGGGGAAGCTTGGCGTTCAAATCACCGCCGGAATCTCGGCCACAATGGTCTTGCTCAGCATCATTTCCGCCATCTACATCTTCAACGACATCAACTCGCTTTACGATGAGATCATGACTGACATGACCGTCTTCAAGGAGAACGCTGATGACGCCTGGACAGCGATGATCAAGGCTCGCCGTCAAATGGAGCCATCGTTTGAGCAGGTCATCAGCCGGCATCGTCGTCAATACGATGCCGCTTCCACCGGCGGTGGCGCTTCTCAAGGAGGATCTGGTGGATGTGGCGCCTGCTCTCGCAATGCCAACAACTGCCCACCTGGCCCACCAGGACCTCCAGGACAGCCAGGTGCTCCGGGTCAAGATGGAACTCCAGGAGATGCCGGAAAAGCTGGACTTGAAGGAGCAGCTCAAGTTGGCGACTTTGGTGGCTCTCGTGGCTGCTTCCCATGCCCAGCTGGACCAGCTGGCCCACCAGGTCCGGACGGACCTCCCGGACAACCCGGACCCGATGGACAGCCAGGCCAAGGAGGCAACGATGGACAGCCAGGAAGTCCGGGAACCGAAGGACCAAGCGGAGACGCCGGACCAGACGGACAGCCAGGCGCTCCAGGAAACCCAGGACAGCCCGGCAGCCCAGGCCAACGTTCTTCTCCTCTTCCAGGACCTCCAGGACCAGCTGGCCCAGCCGGACCCCCCGGACAGCCAGGGCAGGACGGCAGTGGAAACAGCGCTCCAATTCCTGGCCCACCAGGACCACCCGGAGCTCCAGGACAGCCCGGAAACCCGGGGCAAGATGGTCAGCCAGGTGCCCCAGGAGGCCCAGGATCCTCGGGACACGATGCCGAATACTGCCCTTGTCCACCTCGTGCTGGCGAAGCTCCGGTCAGTGGCGGAAGCCAAGCTCAGACCTACCCTGCCGAGGCAGCCCCAGCTCCAGCTGCTGCGCAGAACTATCAACGCATGACCAAACGTCAACGGTTGTTGCGTCAGCGGGCTCGTCAAGTTGCTCGCAACTGAGTTCCCGATGAAACCGTTGTAAAACTTGAATAATTTATGAAAATTGAATAAAAACTGAGAACTTGAATAAAATTGAAAACTTTCAGTCCGTTGTGAGAACCGTACAACCACTGAAGATTGTACAGAGTGGTTTTCGACTGTTTTATTCTACCATCTTAATGTAGCCAGCAGCGAAAGAAGGTTCGATGGGCTCTTTCATGGGATGGATTTGAACTTGAGATAATTCGAGCCGAGAACGGGAAAAAGACCAGCTCGACTATGAGGTTAAGCGCCCGGCCGAAAAAAGTTTCAGTTTTTATGCCTGAGGGGAAACTTGAGAGAAGGCTTTTTATAATCTCTATGAGTGAAGAACAAAAAATTTTTTTATTGAAACTAAGCTGCTTGAAACTACAAGTTTATATCTTCGTATCAAAATTTTTATTATAAACTAGGCGCCGAAAAATAGCCAAGTTTGTGAAGTAAAAAAATTTTCTTAATTTCAAATTTTCCAAAACAGAAAATCCAAAGATGTCGTCCCAACCTAGGGCCATACGGCGACTCAAAAGCCGTACAGGATGGACTTGGGTCCGTATTTTATTCCACCGAAACGTAACACAACACTGGCATCGACTGCCAATGGGGTCTCTGATGAGTGGAACCGAAATCGCAAGGTTTGGATTGCCAAGCGCGAGCACAAGCCACTCGGCTATTCGTTCGAAGGGCGCGGCGGTTTTCTTTTTTTATAGAAAGAAGAGGAGAGTGGAACATTTGAGGCCAAAGGGAAATGCATAAATTTGATTTTCAAGTTGACGATATGCCGCAAAAACATGCTAGTATATTTTATAACGTAATATTTTTGCAATTGCCGGTAAGATTCATAGATTTTCTTATCTTCCACTTGTAACTTACCGAGTCTTCCTACTAAAAATTCGCTTTTAAATTTTTTTCGTTTGCGCAAAATTTTCACTTTCATCCCGAAAAAAATCGCTGATAAAAACGCTTCGGAGTGAAATTGGAAATTTTTGAAACGACAAGGGACAAATAAAGGTGGGTTCCATTGTTCAGTGCAAAAAACTGGACACAAAAAAGTTGTCGCGCGCCGGGCAAACTCGTTCAGTTTGTTGTAAACTCGCCGGTTAACAATGTCATCGTCCCTCGTATATAAAGCGGTCATTTCTAGTGGGAGTTGTCAAATCCGAGCTCTCGGAACATGGGCAAACTCGCAGTTCAAGTGACAGCGGCCTTCTCGGCATCCGTGGTGATGTTCGCCATCATCTCCGCGGTCTACATCTTCAACGACATCAACTCCCTGTACGATGAGATTATGGATGACATGGTCGAGTTCAAAACTAATGCTGATGATGCCTGGACGAGGATGATGATTGCTCGCCGACAACTTCGTCCTGCCTTGACCTTTGACGAGGTTGTTGGCCGACACAAACGTCAGTATGATGCCGCTACTGGAGGCTCTGCCGCTGCCGGAGGAGCATCGGCTGCCGCTGGAAACGGGCAATGCTCCAGCTGTGCCCGCAACGTCAACAACTGCCCACCCGGACCACCTGGACCCCCAGGACAGCCCGGTCTCCCCGGCACTCCCGGAACTCCAGGAGAGAAGGGTCAATCCGGAACGCCGGGAACTGCTCAACTCGGAGATTTCGGAGGTCCAAACGGCTGCTTCCCATGCCCAGCAGGTCCAGTCGGCCCACCCGGCCCAGACGGACCACCAGGAGAAGCCGGAGCCAACGGACATCCAGGAGAGAAGGGATACGACGCCTTGCCCGGAGGTGTTGGACAACCAGGTCCAGTTGGAGATGCGGGAACCCCAGGCGTGCCAGGAGCTCCCGGAATTCCAGGTGTGCCCGGCGCCTCAGGACACCGATCCAACCCCATTCCTGGCCCTAAGGGACCTCTTGGCCCACTCGGTCCAGTCGGAGCTCCAGGCACACCCGGCCAAGCTGCTCCAGCTCCACTTCCCGGACCGCCAGGACCCCAAGGACCAATTGGTCAGCCTGGGCAGAACGGACAAAATGGACAACCAGGCACTCCTGGCCAAACCGGAATCCCAGGCAAAGACGCCGCCTATTGTCCATGCCCAGAGCGTGGCGCTGCCGCTTTGTCTGCCGCTGGAAAGAGCCCGAGCGCTGCTGTTGGAGGCGCGCAAGGAAACATTGTATCTCCCGCTGCTCCAGTGGCTCCAGCTGCTCCCGTTTCTGGCGCTGGTGCGCAATACAAGAGAAGAAAGATGATCCGTCAACGTGCTCGTCAGATCCGTCAATAGACAACAAACCTCCAATTGAGAGAATTTTTGTGCATAATTCGGAAAATTTTTTGCAATAAATCGATTATTTATTCAGTGATCTTGCCGCGGTACATTTTGAAAATTGAAAAATATCGTTTTCGTTTAACACTGCAAAAAAAATCAAAAAATGCCACGAACCGGGATCGAACCGGTGACCTTTAGATCTTCAGTCTAACGCTCTCCCAACTGAGCTATCATGGCGCTCTCTCCCGTTTTTTCCGGAACTCTTTTTATGGGAAAAGGGTTCAAAATAAGTGGAAGAAATGTTGTAAACACCAAAAAAAGATCAATTCAAGATGAAATTCGAATTCTTTTCGAGTAGAAAACATCTTGTCTACCTTCCTCTCGTATTTTCAAAGGCAGAACCCACAACTTCAGAGAGGGTTCCGTGAGTTTGCGTCATGTTTTTTGATGACGCTTTGGACGTTCGCTAACTCCTTTCATCATAAACATTTTATTTACGACGTTCAATGGGGGTGGGTGGCGGAAGAGATGCATAAAGGAGGAAGGAGAATCGTCCGCTTATTTCCGTGTTTTTTCGAAGTTTCGAAGAATGGTGTGAAAGTCGTAAACGTTGGGGATTTCCTGGGCGATATAAACCAAGAACCTGAAGGTGTTGTCTCTGCACCAAGGACATTCGGATCTTTGTATTTTTTTCTTATTTGTTGCGAGCTTTTTTAGCGAATTGGCTGAGAGATTCTGCTAATTCTTCAGTTGTTTGATACTCACATTTTAGAAAACCCTGTGCAATGTCATCAAAAACAAATTCCCTGTTAAGATGGTCATTTCTCCTTCTGCTTTTGGCCACACTAAAAATAGCGGCCGAGACGGATCTCAAAGAGTTGTGCTCCCAGTTTCCCGATGGGCATTTCCCCAAGAAACCGGAAAATGTCTGCGCATTTTCTGTAGCGTTTTCTGAAGACTCCTGTGATACAATTCCAAAGGATTCTGTGCAAAATGACATCGCCGTTTTTGACGAGATGGATCTGCCAGAGGAGAAAAATGAGCCGTTTTTGGAGGGATTGGATGCTCCGCCAGCTTCTGGAAAATGGTGCTTTATGGGTAAGAAGCCGCTAAACATAATATTTACATATTTCTTTGAGAAATTTACCATCTGTTTCCTTGAGAAGCCTACAAATTTCGCAAATCTTGCCTACAAATAACTTTGAATGCCTCGGCTAACTCTTCCAGCCCAGTGTTGAGGTTTTCAGTAACTTAAACGTGGATTAGGCAGCCGCGAAGAGTGAATTTAACATGAGTGCCTAGGATCAGACACTTCTTTGATTCATGGTCTAAATTTTCTTTCAAAAACCATGAACCCATGAAGTTCCAAAGCTCCTAGATTTTGCCCCACAAAAGAAAGAAATTTGCTTTGAAATTCTATAGATGACTAAACTGTCGTCGGCAGACAGTCTATTTGTCACCTCACATACCAAACCGATGTCAAATGACTTCTAATTTCAATAGACTCCACCTTTTTCTATGTAACAGCTGTAGACACCCTTGAAGCTGTCAGTTGTAGTACCTACAATGTGATAAACAGACAATTAACAACAATTTTTTCAGCACTCAAGTCCGATTACCTTCAATGGAAAAAACGTTGAGCATTTTCTTCAAATGAAACGAACTGTCCAGACGGACGATAATTATTTTTAATTTAACCTGTTGTAGGCTATCTATTCTTAATATACTGTACATATCATAATAAATTTCATAATAATATATCGTCTCAGTAACTGAACTATTAAAATATCCCCAAATATACTGTTTGCCAAGGAAATTATGTCCTAAAAATACCCTAAACCACACAAGGTTTAATCTGATGACCAACAAACTTGTAAGTAACCAAAATCATTCTTCCTCGGAGTTATTGCATCACACAGCAATCGATTTCATTGTTTTCCTGAGCCTCTCCGTAGACGCTGTAAGAGGGTTCAGCGAGACAATGACACTCCGTTTTTTTGCGAACCTAGCCTTGACCTTTTCTGTTTTGGGGAACGTGTTCCAACTAGTCGTGTTAGTTTAACCGGAGGGTTCGATTTCAGTTTTTTTGCGAGGAAGTATATATCTTGAATCTACTGTACTCTATTGATTTATAAGCCTACAAAATTTTTTTGCAACGTTTTAAGTGCATCAAGAATTTTGTCCAGGACAATTTAAACTGCAATGTATCATTGCAAAGGCTACTTTAAACTTTTTTCTTAAGGTCCTTGATAGAGGTTGCGAAACGATAAGCTTTTTTGGAATGTTTCAAATGGTCTTGAACCGGTGATTTTGGCTTTGTGAAGGGTATCATCGAGATACTTTTTTTTATTGTTAAAAATTTTTCGTGTTGACAAAGGGATATATTACATAGTACTTACGTTCCCAACAACCCATTCAGAATGCGGACGGCCCTCTTCTTGTCCCTAACCCTCGCATTTGTCACCGCTCAGGAGTCAACGCAGCCTCAGCCAACCGAAGCGCCAGCTATCGTCTTTACGAAGCTCTGCTTCGATCAAGAAGATGCGGAAGTCTTGGAGAGCACTGCAAGTTACTCCATTTTACTTTGAGTTTTAAAACATAATCGTGTTTTCTTGAAAAAATCAACATATCAAAATTTGTTCAGGGTACGATCTGCGCATTTGCCGTCCGCTTCCAACTGGCCAACAAGAACTGCGCCGAACTTGTAAAAGAAGCCTTGCCTGAGGGATTTGTTGCTTTCGGAGAGCCGGATGTGAGTCCGGTTGCATTCGAAGAGCTCACTTCTCAATTGACAGCGCCAGTGCGAGGGGGAAAGTACTGTTTCATCGGTAAGAACTAACCTCAATTTTTGCACAGCATTAATTGAAATAATTCAAATACGGTGGGGGACCTGATCCAGTGGCAAAAAACGTGCCGTTTTGCATCCGAGAAGTATCAAAAATGTGGCAAAATGCTTCCAGCTCTAAGTGAAAAAACTCCGATTTCAGGGCGCGCCCTTTAAAACGAAGTTTTTTCGTTTGGAGAGGGAAGCATTTTTCCACATTTTTTATGCTTCCTGTACTCAAAATGATACGTTTTTTGCCACCGGATCGGGTCCGTCACTATATTTCTTTCAGCTCAAGCAGAGGAATTGACACGGATTCGAGGATTCTGATCATCGGACGAAACATAAAGGTTTATTGTATTGTACAAACTATGGTTTTAATAAATCTCAAGGTTGGCAATTTGTCTAACTTTTTCAATTTACAAATCTCCCTTAAGATTTGGGTTATCAATAAGATGGTATCGGAAGCACTCCCGGATCTTGTCAAAGTCCCTCAAACAAGCCAAGTACTTGAAATAGTCGGTGGGCACTCCATTCGTGGTCTCACAATACGCCATGCAGCCGGGCTGGACTCCCTTGACGCGGCAGCAATGACTGTGATCAGCTCTCGTCGAAGCGCAATCCCACATTTGGCCAACAGTGGGCCCGCGAGGAGCGCAGGTTGAGAGGAAGAATAGGACCTGCAATTTAGGTTGAGGCAGTAGTAAAAAACAAAAAATTTGAATAACCTATGAAGCAGCAAAAAACGGAATTTCTTCCTTTCAACATACCGTGTTGCTCGAGAGGGCATTGAAATCGCAGAATCGATTCTTGCAGTCCTGATCGGCCTGTGGCAACTTACTGCAACAGGCCTTCAATTTTTCATTCGGACTCCGGCCCTTAGGCGTCTTAGGAGGCAGTGGAGCTTCGGCCGGCGTCTGAGGCTGGAATCCTTGCCATAGCGGGAAAAGCCCTTGCGAAAATACAGTATCTAGGCTTATTATCACAAGTAAGAAAGCCAATGTCCAAACGAATGTTTGCATCCTGAAAAAAATATATATTTTTGGAAAAAATAGCAAACAATGCCATGAAAAGTCTTGAAACTTTAGTCACGATTACAAATTATAAAGAGCTAAGAAATACGAGCTGAAAACAAGCCGTGAAGATCCTTCAAAATCCTCGCAAACTCACGCGATCGGGATGGAAATAGTTTTGATTTGGATTAAGGAAGCCCATTCATCTTATATGAAGTGAAGAGAGAACGATGACGTTCCACTTGAGAAGAAAATTGGAGATCATCCTGGGGGTTTCTAGTTTTGGTTAGTAATGTAATAAGCAGAAATTACAAGGGTAAATAAGGTCATCGGCTATTTTTAGAACAAGGGTGGTTTGTGTAAAAGCCATTGTTATCAAAAGTCATCTTTTTTATAGGAAGTTTCCTATAATAAAACCCAAATTTTTTTAAGTTTTTTGAAGCTTTTCGCTTGGCCAGAATTCCCATATTTGTCTACAAATCTCCTACGTTTCCCCAAAAGACGGTAGCACAACAGCCTTTTTTCATTTCCTCTAGTCATCAGATCCGCCTGTTTTATACCTCCAATCGACTGAAATCCCCCTGAGACCGACATCTAATCCCCCCATTTCTGTGATGCCATAATGATGACGATCCCCCTGATTTCCGCATAAACCAGTATGGAGGCCCATTTCCTGAACAAAAGCGCAGCGCCGACGAGTCTTTCGTAAAGCCTCGTTTAATTTCCAATCCGGAAAAAACAAACTGTTTTATATTGTAATGGGCATTGGAAGTAGAAATGGTAAATAAATAAGGGTTGAAGGATTGAAAACGAGTTTGAAATGGGTTCAAATGTCCAGAAATTAGATGAGTATGATGCGAAAATTATCATAAATTTTAAACTGTCATCAAATTCAAAGGCATTGCCAAAAAATAAACAAAAATAAAGTTAAAAAAACAGTTTTCAATTAAAAAATTGCTGATTTCTGATTGGAGGCATTACAGCAAAAGAGATAGGGTTGTAACTCTCTCGTTTAGTCAAAAACTTATGTTACATGACGTTTATATATTCGCCTTTCTGAAGACGTCAATCAACTTCTTCATCGAGCGAAGAGATGACAAATTGAAGGAGTTCCGAGCTTCCAAACATAGACGCACAATCAAAACATGAGTTCATGAAACGAGCTGGAGGTCATAATCATCACAGTGAGTCATTCATATCGGGTCACAGTAATGATGACTTCTTGAGGTCATGGATAATATTGGATAACTTTGATTGTCGCGAAACAAGTTTAAATGCTTGTAGTTTGTTCCAAGTCGGTTCTCTTACGATTTATTCTTTTTTGGATGACTAACTGTGGCCACGGATCGCCTATTTGTTAAAAAAACGAGTGGTCATTTGATTGCACTTGGGCCAAAAACTTTGTAAATGTTTATCTGATGTTCTCACGACCCTGCAGCAAATGCTAATGTTGTTTACAAAGTGTTGTTCCAGTGGAAAACGTATAAAAGAGGGGAATAATTGAGATCGGTTCAACTTGATAAGGCATACATATTATTAGCTGATTTTTTGAATCACACAAGATAGTATTTACCAGATGTCTCGTAAAATACCACTTGAAAAAACTTATTTTTCCTTTTCAAGACAATACTGGGTATCTCCCGTCGTTTCACGCAGTTTGCGTCAGTTTTCCAGTCGCAGTGGAAGACTTGTCTCGTTGAGTCAACTCTTTCCATTTTTTTAGAAAAATTTCTCGAAAATATTTTTTCGGCGAGTTTTTCCGTGAAATTTGTTTGCTTACGCCGGAAAATTACGTGTTCAAACCAATTGCAACGTTTTCAGTCGCTTGATTATGACGGATTCGTGGGATACTGTTGATAATAGTAAGTTTTACCTTATCTTTTGGTGGAAAAACTTGTGAAACAAGCGAAACCTTTCATTTTTGAACTAGTTCTTTATCAGACTTTGCTGATTCACTGTCGAAATTACTCTAAAACATAGTTTTGTGTGTTTCGACAAGCTGTTGTTTCAACGAAAATTTGGTTTTGCAGTTTACAAGTTCTTCCTCTAATTTGTTCCTCTTGTCTCCTAGGTTTCGTCTTTGTTTATCGTTCAGAACCTCTTTCATCCACGGCCTTGGATTATTTCGGTCATTTTGTAGACCAATCATGGGAGTTCGATGCGAACGCAAGCATCGCTGTCCAGGAAAAGTTCTTCAGAGATGGTCATGTCGGAGATCGATGTGAACTCCTAATTTCTCATCCATTCTACTTGGCAACTGGTAAGTTCTCTTGTTTTTTTGCTTTCTGAGTTTAGGAACATTTGGATCGGCAATGAGTGACCGAGGAACCATTTTTTTGAGTAGTAGTTTATATCAGACTAGGTCGTTCTAAAATTTGATGCAGATGTTGAAAATTACATCTTTTTTTACACAAAATCACTATTCATTGCCTGTTCTATGACGATAGATTACTCACAATTGCATATTTCAGGGCCTGGACTTGGCATGAACATTGAATATTGGAAAGACGTAAAATTTCTTTTGGTCAGAATGAAATCAGAGCACATTAGTGTCCAATGCACTTTGGATTCGGATGAGGTTGATGAAATCCTCAAGGATATTGATGGTAGATTTTAATGACAATATTATGCAATACGGAAACTTTTAAAAATTTATATATTGTTTATGTCTTTTAGGTTTAAAAGAGCTCAAGACGGTCAAATTTACATGCTTGGAGAGGCAGAAATCATGCAGAACAGAGACAGTCCTCAAGTATATCGGCGACAGAATAGTTGAGATCACTGCGGATAAGTCCATCATTCCGTTTATACACAAATTACCTCACCTCAAGGAGTTCAACTACGCTGAACCTGGAGAAGTCGGTAATAATAATTTTTTTAAACTTAAAATAATTTTTTTTGTGCTATTTCAGATATTGAGGCGGTCTTTGGCTTGGCTGTCCCATATTTAAATCTAAAACATACCGAATTCGTGAGGTTGACCGAGATCGGAGAACATCAGTAAGATTCAATTTTATTATTGCATTATGTGTTTAGGTTTACAAAGAATTCGACTTTGAATCGAGTGGATATCAACACGAAGTTGGGGGAGCTTGAAAAATTAGATGAGAAAGCAATTTTGAAGACATTTGAGGCACTAAAATCGCTGAATCCACATATTTTTGCCCATTTTCAATGTGATATGGTGTTCTACGACGAAAAAGATGAGGTGAGAGGATGAGTGATTGATGAATTGAGGGGATGAAAGCAAAAGAGAGATGTTTGAAGTTAATTTTAGAAGTTGGGATATTACACTTGACTTGATGACGACTTTTTGCTATTTTTATGCTTTAGATTGACATTTTTTGGTAGTTTTTGTAGTTTAGAAGGTGATTTATGAAAATTGCTTTATTTTTTTGATTTATTCCAGTGGTCGGACACCAAAGTTTTCCTCAAATTTTATCAATGTTCAATTGAAAAGATCACAGCTCAAGCAAAAACTGCCGACATCAAGGCTTCATTCAATGTCTCAGCGGAAGTGAAGGTAAGTCAAAACTAAACTTTTATTTATTTTATTTGAACTTTAGGACTATCCCGATAAATTTGATGAGTTTTTGGAAGCCACCTTCCCCGATGCCAAGATCACACTACAAGATGAGGATTATAGTCTGGATTATGATTCAAACGGCGTCAAAGTTAACTTTGGAGTTGGGAAGGAACAACCGATGATGTAATGGAGACAAGAACAGTATTTTTTATTTATTTATGGCCAGTTTTTATATTGTTTTACTTGTCACAAGCTTTATTCTCCTATTCAAACCGGTTCCTAAAGACGTGCCTTTGATTTTTAACCAATTTTATGTTGTTCTCGTGCTGTATACCAAAAAAATATAAAATATTGTAATTTGTATTGAGATTTGATTAATAAAAATCTTCATTTTTATATTATACTTACAGAGATATCCATCTAAAGAAAGTACCCCAAGTGCGACGCTCAGATTTTCTTTAAATTTTGCACACACGTCGGGTATGAACTTAATATAAATTCCTGAAAGTTTTAGCTCGCGCTTTGCAAGCGCCGCCGAGATATTGAACGATCTTTGCCGCCGAGAGAGCACAAAACGTGGAAAGCGGTCAGAGAGAAAAACACTTTTTGGCCGTAACTTTGCTAGTTTCGTGCGGAAAAAATTGATTTTTTGTGGAAACATTGCCCTTTGTGGTAGAAATAGGCATGAAACTCGTGCCGAAATTCGGTAAAAAGTCTTAAATTTTCGCCAAAATTTCGATCAGAAAATCTCGGTTGTTTCTGCAAAGAGCGAGCTAGAATTCTCGCATATATTTTAGAAAAGATCATTCTAAATTTGCGCCAAGTTTCATAAAAATCTGAGCGTCGCACTTGGAGTACTTCCCCTGCTAATTTAGAAAATACACAGCGGAAATGCCGTTTTGAAGATCGTGCCCTTTTCTCACAAAAAGAGCGGGCGCGCTTTTGAAATCGGAGTTTTTTTTCACTTGGAGAGGGAGGTATTTTGCCACATTTTTGATACTTCCTGAATGCAAAATGGTAGGTTCTTTGCCACGGGATCAGGTCAGTCACTGTAGAAAATTCCACGGTGCGACGAATCCATATTATTTTCCCGACAGACTGATAATTCCAGGCGCTGTAGCGGCAAAAACGGGAAAAGTTGTGCCGTTAAGTCCACAAGAACTCATCTCCTGCACCACGAACGCGAACGGCAATGACGGATGCAACGGCGGCTACTTGGACTTGGCCTTGAAATACGTCAAAGAAGAGGGGCTTTCGGCCGCCAAATCGTCGCCATTCGTCTCTTCGCGGGGCCGAATTCCTCAATGCCAAGTGGGCCGAAAAGTGGGGAAAATCAAAAATTACAAACAAATCCCAAAAAGACGCGAGGACTTGATGCAAAGGTTTCTCTACAACCAGGGACCGTTGAGTGTTAGTAAGTCGATTTTTCAGTCGTCTACGCTCGCAAAACGCCCCTTGTTTTAGCCATTGACGCTCGCCAACTCCGCCATTACAAGCATGGGGTTCTTCGGCCGAGGAAACCCGCCGGCGGCTGGCAAATCAATCATGCCGTCACGATCCTCGGCTACGGCGAGGAAAAGGTGCCGTTTTGGATTGTGAAGAACTCGTGGGGCACGGAATGGGGAGAAAAGGGGTTCTTCCGACTACTCAGAGGGCAGAATTCATTGGCCATCGGGCAGGAGAGCTACGTGGCGTTCGTTTCAAACGAAAATTAAACTTTTTTTGAATTGCAAATAAAATTTGCAAACTTTCTGAGATTTTTTCAAAAATCGAATTATGCTCCCATCGCAAGCTGTCAAAATTTTAGATATTTTGGGTTACTGTAGATGGATCTATGTGTTACAAGTCCGTCGGGAAAATAATGAGCACTCTGTCGTGCCGAAAATCGCATCGCCGCTGAGAAGATGAATTGTTCGCGGCGAAATCAAATTTTTTTTTCTTTTCAACTCCGTGTCGCGATCGGCGCAGCCACATTGTGCTCATTATTTTCCCGACAGACTGATGTTAGCGTTTTCATAAAGTGCGTGGACATTTTGTCACGGTCTGCACCGTGCACAAAAACCCCTCCATTTTGCACCGTGCATTTAATTTTTTTATGGTTTTCGCACTGTGCATCAAAATATTCGTGCAATATAAGCAAGTTTTGTCGAAGTCGCTGCGGTGGTGCTAGAGGTGGCAATCGGGCCGGGCCCGGCCGATTTTTGCGGCCCGGCCCGCGGGCCGAAGTGACCAGGCCGGCCCAGGGCTTTTTCAAATTTACTCAGGCCCGGCCCGGCCCGATGAAAGCCCAGGCCGGCCCGGCCCGGTTTGGCCCGCTAATACAGAAAAGTTGGATAAAAGTCTTTGCACTTTCTACTAGAACTTGTTATGCTTTCCAGAAGGTTTTTACATGTGTCTGCATGAAATTAAAAAGTCTAGTCGGATGACTGGAACATCCGTACAGGTAGCTAAAATCTAGCCAAAAAGTTGGATTGTGTTGAATTTTTTAATCCTATAAGAAGTTAGCTGTATAAAAGTATGGACGTAATAAGGTACATGGTTAACCAAAACTGTTTAAAAGAGAGTTTTTTACAGATTGAAGCTTCTCATAACAAGGGCCGGACATTTCGAAAAAACGACCGACTCAGAATCTTTTGATATTTTGCATAGTTGTTGTACCATGACAGCTGAACGTCAGCACGAATTTTTAGTTTCAGAAATTACCGTATACGGGGGTTACGGTAGGTACAATTTTTACAAAGATTGGGTTCGTGTGTAAAAACCGCAAGGAGTAACAGCACAAAACTCCGCTGTTTTACGTTTTTGACCATGGGGAACATTTTCATAATTGACAACTTTGCCGTAGGATGTAGTCTTAGACTACTTTGAAAAATACCAAGGTACCATATTGAATGTAACTTTTTTGCAGAGAACTTGTCTCAACTTTTGAAACCTCATAAAAACACTTTGACATGTATGTAACAACATATCAAAAATGCGCGAAAATAAAAGGGGGGGGGGTTTTGGAGTTACGGTACTTTGAATGTGGCCGGTACGGTATATCAAAAAATCATTTTTTTCAAAATCGGTGTAGAAGACCCGCAAAAATTGCCAAAATACGTTTTCGACCATGGCGAACATTTTTGTAATTGACACTTTTTTTGTAGGATGTAGTCTTCGCCTACTTCGAAAATGACCCACATACCATGTGTACTGTAACTCTTCGGCATTCTATTTGTCTCAACTTTTGAAACCTCTCAAAAATACCTTGATATGTATGGAACGACATATCAAAAATTTAGAAAAATAAAAGGGGGGGTTTTGGAGTTATGGCACTTTTAACGTTGCCGGTACGGTATATCAAAATTTCATTTTTTCTAAAATTGGAGTAGGACAACCGCAAACCTTGCCAATATACGTTTTCAACCATGGAGAACATTTTTGTAATTGACAGTTTTGTTCTAGGATGCAGCCTTCGACCGGTATGAGAAATGTCAAGATACCATGTTCAATATAACTTTCCGGCATTCAACTTGTCTCAACTTTTGAAACCTTTCAAAAACACCTTGACATATGTGTAACAACATATCAAAAATTTAGGAAAATAAAAGGGGGGGGTTTTGGAGTTATGGCACTTTGTATGTTGGACATACAGTACACCTCGATTTATTCTCGGCTTAACTTTACGTAGATTATTTTAAAAACAAAATGTATTGTTTTATATGTGTTGTACGACCCTCACAAACTATTTTCGCTAGGAAATTCAAAAATTTTAGTCCTAAGCATACTGTAACACATCGTGCGCAGATAAGTGGTTACTGTAACAACAAGATCAGTGATTTCTTATTTTTTTTGTAACGATTACCACGGTTTAGAGTCATGTGTACCATACCACGGTGGAATCTATCAAAATCGGATGTCAGCATCACAGAAAAAGTTCGGTGTACTGTATGTCCAACGTTCAAAGTGCCATAACTCCAAAACCCCCCCTTTTATTTTCCTAAATTTTTGATATGTTGTTCCATACATATCAAGGTATTTTTGAGAGGTTTCAAAAGTTGAGACAAATAGAATGCCGAAGAGTTACATTACACATGGTATCTGGGTCATTTTCGAAGTAGGCGAAGACTACATCCTACAAAAAAAGTGTCAATTACAAAAATGTTCGCCATGGTCGAAAACGTATTTTGGCAATTTTTGCGGGTCTTCTACACCGATTTTGAAAAAAATGTTTTTTTGATATACCGTACCGGCAACATTCAAATTGCTGTAACTCCAAAACCCCCCTTTTATTTTTCTAAATTTTTGATATGTTGTTCCATACATATCAAGGTATTTTTGAGAGGTTTCAAAAGTTGAGACAAATAGAATGCCGAAGAGTTACAGTACACATGGTATGTGGGTCATTTTCGAAGTAGGCGAAGACTACATCCTACAAAAAAAGTGTCAATTACAAAAATGTTCGCCATGGTCGAAAACGTGTTTTGGCAATTTTTGCGGGTCTTCTACACCGATTTTGAAAAAAATGATTTTTTGATATACCGTACCGGCAACATTCAAACTACCGTAACTCCAAAACCCCCCCTTTTATTTTCGCGCATTTTTGATATGTTGTTACATACATGTCAAAGTGTTTTTATGAGGTTTCAAAAGTTGAGACAAGTTCTCTGCAAAAAAGTTACATTCAATATGGTACCTTGGTATTTTTCAAAGTAGTCTAAGACTACATCCTACGGCAAAGTTGTCAATTATGAAAATGTTCCCCATGGTCAAAAACGTAAAACGGCGAGGTTTTGTGCCTTTACTCTTTGCGGTTTTTACACACGAACCCAATCTTTGTAAAAATTGTACCTACCGTAACCCCCGTATACGGTAATTTCTGAAACTAAAAATTCGAGCTGACGTTCAGCTATCATGGTACAACAACTATGCAAAATATCAAAAGATTCTGGGTCGGTCGTTTTTTCGAAATGTCCGGGCCATCCTTCGAGTTGCAAAAAACTCTCTTTTAAACACTTTCATTTACATCAAGGAATCAAAGTTACAGTGAAATTTTTAAATTTATCATAGAAAAATCGAAGATTTTTGCCCGACCCTTGCATATTTGGGTGGGATTTTACATATATAATACATATAATAAGTTACACATACATATACATAATTTTAAAAGGTAGTAAAACAGCGTAAAAGTCAAAAAAGGTTTAATCTAATTTCCATCCATTTTACAAAGCATTTGTGCTTTATTTTGCTGGTTTAGCATTAAAAATTTTTTACTTATCTACCTTCCGGGCCGGGCCGGGCCGAAAGTGTCGGCCCGGCCCGCGGGCCGAAGCGGTCAGGCCGGCCCAGGGCTTTTTCAAATCTGCTCAGGCTCGGCCCGGCCGGGCCGGCCCAGCCCGATTGCCACCTCTAGGTGGTGCCAGGAAATTGCACAGTGCAAACGGTTTTTTTTCAGGCTGCACTGTGCGAAAAAGAGAAAATGTCCATGCACTTTATGAAAATACTAAATTTCATATTTAAAAAAAAATTTCTTTTTTTTTTTGAATCTTCAAATTTCATTTTTTTTTTATATTTGCGATTCTCGAAAAAAAATTCAAAAACTTCCATGCACTTTATGAAAATACTAAATTTCATATTTAAAAAAAAATTTCTTTTTTTTTTGAATCTTCAAATTTCATTTTTTTTTTTATATTTGCGATTCTCGAAAAAAATTCAAAAACTTCCATGCACTTTATGAAAATACTAAACTTCATACTTAAAAAAAAATTTTTTTTTAAAACTTCGAATTTTAATTTTTTTTTAAAATTTTTGCGATTTTCGAAAAAAAAAACATTTCAAAAATTTTTTATGCAAATTTCCCCAAATTTCCTCATTTCCCCACACCTCCCTTCCCCTCATACCTTCTCGACGCTCACTCGTTGATCGGTTGCTAAGCTTGCACCTCTTTTTTGTCCCACTTCCACAGTAATCTGCGGGCCGTTGTAATGGAAAAAGAGAAAGACAAAAAGGGCCACGGAGTCGCGCAGGTCGGCGGGTTCTTGCAGCGTCTCAAGAAGAAGGCGCAGAACAAGTTCCGCGGAGGCGACGATGGGAACGGCGGCGTGACAGCTGAGGAGAAATCCGTCAAGGTGAGTTCCAAGCCCAAAAACATTGGTTTTATGGGGCTTGCGCAAAGTTTTTGAAATTTTCGTGTTTTCGTGGCGGGACAAAAAAAATTTTTTTTTTTTTTGAAACTTTGACTAAGCTTGGAAAATACTGAAAGTCAAGAATTTCTAAAGCATTTTCTGAGACATTTCTCGCCGGAATCTTGCGTAAGCCACCGATTTTTTCGTTGCAAATTATTGAAAAGTTGCTGAATTGCAATTTTAACGAGTTTTTTTAGAAAAAGGATAATCAGAAGCAGACGCAGGCCCGTAGGAAGAAGAATACGGCTACGAATACTCCCAAGGAAAGCAAATCAGATGATACCGCATCCTCTATGGTCATGAAGAAGAAAGACCGAGAACGCGACAAAGATAAAGAAAAAGAGAGCGGATTGGATGCCTCCAGAAGTGTTAAAAAGAAGAAGTGAGTTTGATTATAACACTACGGCAGACGTATTTTGCGTTCAAACCACTTCTGAGGCTTTTGCAACCATTTTGCGCCCTTGAAACAGAATGCCAAAAATGGCGGGAAATTCGAATTTCACACTATGCCTTTTTTAGTGGGAGATGGAGTGTTGCTATTTTACCCTTTTTTGAATTAATTCGATCCCTTTCGAGCCCCTGAAACACAATGCCAAATTTGGGCGGGAAATTTAAAATTTGAATTCTTTGGCATAATTAGTACGGTATCGAACTGAGACGATTGTGTTTTACTCCACGCTCACTTCCAAAGCGATTGGATCACCTTTTGAGCCTTGCAACAGAATGCCAGAATCTGTGGGAAAGAGCCGGAATTCAAAACTAAAATTTCGATTTCAGCCATAAAAAGAAAGCACCGAACGCCAACGTCACCGTAATGAAGGTGGTTGAGACGGAAACCCAAATAAAGGAGGTCCCGGAGACCGTCACCGACAAATTCAACTTCATTCCGACCATGTTAAACAAGGAGTTGAGCGGGATCCGAAAAGAATTCAACGACATCAAGGCCGAAGACAAGGCAAAGGTCCATATGGCCATGGCGTGTCAAGATCCCGCGAATGCGGACAAGAATCGCTACAAGGTGAGAGAAATCGCGGTGTTTCTTGTGTTTAGAGGGTGCTTTGAAATCTGCATGTTTTCGTGGTGGGACTCAAAAAATTTTTTTGGAAGTCAAAGCCTCTTGATGAAACTTTGGGGAAATTTAAAATAGAATTTTCCGAAGCATTTGTCAAGATTTGGGCTCTTACTGTGCAGGAATTTTCGATTTTTCGGCGGAAAATCAAAAAAATAAAAAAAAATTTTTCTCGCGATTTTCAGCGTGAAAAATTTGCATTCTACCCTAATTGGGGAGCACAATCTTTCTATGAAACATTGCTTTTTTCTCAGGATAATTCGAAAAGGTATAGCTGAAAACAATTTTTTTGACTCTCCTAATTTTCCATAGTCTCTCATCGGGAAAATTGTTGAATTTCTCGACTCTCCGCGAGAACTAGGCGCTCAAACTTTTAGCAATCAGTGGTTAGCCCATTGAGACTTGCTGTGCAAAATTTCAAGTCATTTGAGGCACTTGGGATACTGTAATTCGCACTTTTTTTCAGAACATTCTCTGTCTGGACGCATCGCGCGTCAGACTGTCGGATGGGGGCTACTATCACGCGAGTGCGGTGGATTCGCGTTTTATTCTGGCCCAGTCGCCCATGTTCAACACTACCGCGCAATTTTGGGATTTGGTTCAGAACGAAGGAGTCGAAATGGTCGGTTTTTATTGTTTTAGTCATCAAGTTTGCGATTTGTTTGAAGAATTTGAATATTTTTTAAAATTTTTGCTTATTTCGTTTGGTTTTCAGATTGTGCAGTTGCATCCATGTGATGAAGGAAGAAAGTGCGCTAGATATTACCCAGGAAAAGTAGGCGAAACCAACGACTTTGGAGTGTTCAAGGTCGCGAATTGCAGAGTAAGTAGGCCACAAAAAAGGTACTCCGCGAACTGCGCCCAAGCTTGGGCACTAAAGCTAGAAAAAAACGCTTCGACCTAGCTGGCACTGAATTACTATAATAGCTCTATAGTTTTAAGGGTACCTACGAAGGCTGTGACGACTCATTTAGTTCCATACGGAGGCAATAAGTTTAGCTCCGGACATGTTTCGCCAAAATAAGGAACTTTTACCAGTTGGACCTATTATTATCAACAATTCTTGGTTTTCAGATCGACGCCAGCCCTGTGGAGGAGCCGACCCTCCATTTCAGTCATTTCAAAGTTAGCGGCCCTAAGGGCGAGCAAAAAGTCAAGCATGTTTTCTGGTCCAATTTCCCTCCGGTGGGCTTCCCCGAGCCTTCGAACACGATGCCCTTCCTTTGGAAGCAAATCAAAGGCCACAGGAAAGTGTTGGTCCATTGCAGCTCGGGAGCAGGTCGCAGCGCCGTGCTGGTTTTTACTTGCCAAATTCTGGAAAGAATCCAGCATGGAGAAGAAGCGGATGCACCCAGGATGTTGAGGAACCTCCGGGAGAAGCGACATTGCGCTATCCGCAATGAAATGGTGGGTGGGGAGCGGGCAAATCAGTTCGCGTTTATAAAGCGTAACATTTGTTTTATTTTCAGCAATACGTGTACGTGATGCGCATCATCCTCTTCTACTTTATGAAGTACAATGCTGTGGAGATGTCGCAGAATTTGCTCATCTTCGTCGATGATTTTGATACCTATGCCAAAAAGTTCGAGAGAGAAGAGAAGGAAAGAAAAGAAAAGTGTCCCATTCCTGAGGCTACGGAACCCACCGATGAATTTCAGAATTGAGTTTCAAAAATAAATTTTTATCTTCAGGGAAATTTGCGATTTTTTTGTGGACTGGATTTATTGTTATTAATCTCAAAAATTTTGTTATTTTTTCTGATTGTTACTTTTTTCTTAAGTAGTAGTGTTAAAAAGTAATTTTTTGGAATTTTTCCAAAAATACTGGATTTAGGGGTTTTCGAGGGTGCTGATTTCGAAAATCATGTTAGCTTTCCTCTTCATAGTACTATCTGGTACTATACAGTACGAAGTGAAAATATGGCTTTTGGCGTTAATGGTGTTGTTTTGATGCTTGGTACTCCTCAAAAACACGTTTTAAATAATTGGTACTGTTTAGTACTGTCTGGTACTGTGTAGTACAAGGTAAAAATTTGGCCTTTAGGCGTTAGTGGTGTTGTTCTGTTCCTTAGTACTCCTATTTTCACCTTGTATTACATAGTACCAGACAGTACTAAACAGTACCAGTTATTTAAAACGTGTTTTTGAGGAGTACTAAGCATCACAACAACACCATTAACGCCAAGAGCCATATTTTCACCTTGTACTGTATAGTACCAGATAGTACTATGAAGAGGAAAGCTAACATGATTTTCGAAATCAGCACCCTCGAAAACCCCTAAATCCAGAATTTTTGGAAAAATTCCAAAAAATTACTTTTTAACACTACTACTTAAGAAAAAAGTAACAATCAGAAAAAAATAACAAAATTTTTGAGACTAATAACAATAAATCCAGTCAGATGGTTCAGATGGCAGGTCTAAGCCTCTTCTTTGATTTTTCCCCGGTTCCGGAAGTGTCACTGTTCCGCCATTCCGGAAGTGTCACTATTCCGCCATTCCGGAAGTGTCCAAATTCCGGAAATGTCGTGGTGCCGTATACCAATTTCCCGCATGGAAATTACGTGTGTTTTTTGTACCTCGCAAAAAATTTTTACCACCGATTTGCTCTTCCCGTAATTAGCATCTCCCTTTTTTGTGCTCCAAAATATTGTTCCTCCCGACGCACCGTGACCAACGGGCTCGTAAAAGTGCGCCAGTCTTCAATTATAACACCCAAATTATATATCCAGCAAGCGGATGGCACTGCGAACTCGTTTCTTGGAAGCGTTCGCAAACCCGTAATGGAAGGGCGAGGAGAACCAGCCTGTGTGTGCGGGGGGAATAAATAAATCCCCGGGAGGCTTCTTTTTTCGCAATTTCTGTTTTCCTCCGATTCTTGTTTGCAGCGACGCCTTCCTTGATTGGCTTCGATCCGCCGGCTAGATTGGGTATAAAGTCGACGCAGCGTCAGCGGATTTCCTCCAATTGTTCGCTGAGAGCGATGACTAAAGCGGCTACGCATTTGGCCGCCGCCGGAATCGGCGGCTCGGCCCTCTTCATTATTTGCGCCTTGTATTTCGTGGCCAATCTTTATCAGGAGATCAACCAGATGCATTCGGAGAGCATTGCCGAGTTGAATGAGTTCAGAGAGATCGCCAACGACGCGTGGAATAGCATGATGGACAGAAGAAAGCCGCAATTCGAGAGCATCTTCCGTCAGAAGCGTCAGTATGATGCTGCGGCCACCGGAGGAGACGCCGCCGCCAAGGGAGCTCAGTGCAGTAAGTTTTTTGGCTAATCCTTGCTATATAGGCTTCTAACTTGAGAGATATCTCCATTGTAGATACTCTAATGTCTTTAGATTTCCACTAATAATGAAATAATTTCCAGACTGCGCTCGCCAAGCCAGTAACTGCCCACCAGGCCCTCCAGGTCCACCTGGACAGCCCGGAGAACCCGGAACTCCCGGAGAACCCGGACAGGACGGCCAGAAAGGAAATGATGGCACTGCCTCTGCCGAAGGAGGATATGACCAACCCGGCGCCTGCATCCAATGCCCAGCCGGACCACCCGGCCCACCTGGACCAGACGGCCCCGCCGGACCCGCCGGCTCCGATGGACAGCCCGGAGAAGCGGGACACCCAGGAAAAGACGGAGAAGCCGGCCCACAAGGACCGCCCGGAGACGCGGGACCAGACGGACAAGCCGGACCCGCCGGACAGCCGGGAAAACCAGGAGAGGGAGCTCAACAAGCGACCCCCGTGCCCGGACCAAAAGGACCACCCGGACCTCCAGGCCCAGCCGGAGATGCTGGACCAGCCGGTGCTGCGCCACCAGCCGGACAACCAGGCCCACCCGGACCTCAAGGACCGGCCGGAAAGAACGGAGAACCAGGCAAAGACGGAGAGCCGGGCGCTCCAGGAGCTGCTGGCATCCCCGGCGCCGACGCCGCCTACTGCCCATGTCCACCACGTACTGGCGACGTTGCTGGCAATGCTGCGGTCGCCGAGAAAGGCGGCTACAGAGTGAGATTCGTCTAAGAACTCCCAGCTTGAAGAGCGTTTTTTGCGTTGAGTATGAATTTGAAGCCGGTAAAGGCTTACTGGAGAAAATAAATATCTCAAAGCAACTCGTGTTTTTCTTTAATTTATCAAATTTAAACGAAGCTGCGAATCAAGAAATGGGGTGCCGGATGTCAGGAATTCCCCGCACCGTTCGTGGTTGATGGCTCTTTTTGATTACTCAAGCTGTCAAAGATATCCATCTAAAGAAATCAAAGGGGTTGCGCTTTCAAAAATAAAGATAAGTGAGAAGAAAAAGATGATTTAGACAAACGTTTTTTTCAGAATTTTGTCTGTATTCTTATTTACAACTTCTTTACACTAATTTTTAGTCGAAGAGTCGATCCACCAGTTTTTTGTTACAATTAAACAAAACTTTAGGCAATTCAAAACAAAATTGATAAATGGGAACTTTCAGTTATCACCAGGAAGTATCAGTCCGTCTGGAAAAATTTCCCGGCTGACTATAATGTATATTATGACAAAAAGTTAGAATTGCTAAAAAATTGAAAGTCTAGATGCACTCGTGATCTATGTCTCCGGAAGGGTCTACTCTGCTCACAGTCATAAATAACAAGGACGTGATGTAAAGACCATGAAGACCAAACCCAAGTGATGAAAATTTGGTAGAGAAATTGGAAAAATCACGTTGTGATTTTTACTGACAAGGAGAGCTCTTTATGTGGAGAAAGCTTAATTTAATTACAGTCAGCTTAAATGTACATATATGCGTGCGTAAATATGTACATAAATCTTGGGTTTAAGTTTGTGCCAAGTTTCATAAATATCGGAGTGTAATATTTCGAGCATTTCCCTTCCGAACTCAGTCAGAAGAAGACGTTGCTGCAACAGGATTACAAAAAAAAAATCAAAAGTAAAAAGAAAGAAGCAACTTTCGTCAAGTCTACTCTTATTTTAATTTTGATTCCCTTGATCTGCGGAAATTTTTTGCAGAATTAGACAGCCTCTTGAATAGGCTATCTTAAATTTTTTGGAACGTTTTACATTAACGGAGTGCATGTAGACAATAGAAAGAGAATCAGCCGTTTTTTACTGCTATTACTCCATCAATTTTACTAATATGTATAGCTGGCAAATGTGTGCTCCGGTTATCATGATATCTCTACATTTTTAATATTCACACTTCCAATAATGTAACACATTTCAATTACTATTGTTTCTTATTAATTTTGGCCGAAACGGGAAGAGCAACGTTTCCAGTCTTCAATAATGAGAAGGGGAAGGAAATGATTTGTTGTTTACAGCGTTACATCCCAGAGAGCTTGGGAACTAAACGCGTGCTTTTCATTGTTACACACCCTTTCCTATTGATTTTTCGTTTTGACGGATTTGGCATTGAGAAATTGGAGCGATGTAAAGTGTAAATTGTCGGCCTCCGGTAGCTCTGTTTTTCATGTGGGAGTGAAAAAGATGGCGACAAAAGGGGGAGCAGACCCTTGGGGTTTCCAATTCCGATGATCAGTTTATTTTGTCTTAAGGGTTCGTAAATAGCCATGCGGCATTTTCAAATTAGGAAAGCTTTCAACCAAGTTTTTTTGGGTAATTCAGAAGTGGGAATTAGATACTATACCTATACAACTTTATGCGTCGCCTTTCGGAATATTCTACCTTTCAGAATATTCTACCTTTTGGGATACACCACCCTTCGGAATACTCTACCTTCTGGAATAGTCGACCTGTTGGAATAGTCTACCTTTTGGAATACTCTACCTTTTTGAATACTCTACCCTTGGGAATACCATACTTTTCGGAATACTCTGCCTTTCGGAATAGTCTACCCTCCAGAGTACTACACCTTCCGGAAAGCTCTACCTTTTGTAACAGCCTCCTTTTGGAATACTCTACCTTTTGGAATAGTGTACCGTTTGGAATAGTATACCCCTCGGAATACTCTACCCTTCGGAATACCATACCTTTCGGAATACTCTACCCTACGGAATACTCTAGCTTTTGGAATACTCTACCTTTCGGAATACTCTGCCTTTCGGAATAGTCTACCCTTCAGCATACTACACCTTCCGGAAAGCTCTACCTTTTATAACAGCCTCCTTTTGGAATACTCTACCTTTTGGAATAGTGTACCGTTTGGAATAGTATAGCCCTCGGAATAGTCTACCCTTCGGAATACTCTACCCTTCGGAATTCTCTACCCTTCGGAATACTCTGCTTTTCGGAATACTCAACCTTTCGGAATACTCTACCTTTCGGAATACCATACCTTTCGGAATACTCTACCCTACGGAATACTCTAGCTTTTGGAATACTCTACCTTTCGGAATACTCTGCCTTTCGGAATAGTCTACCCTTCAGCATACTACACCTTCCGGAAAGCTCTACCTTTTATAACAGCCTCCTTTTGGAATACTCTACCTTTTGGAATAGTGTACCGTTTGGAATAGTATAGCCCTCGGAATAGTCTACCCTTCGGAATACTCTACCCTTCGGAATTCTCTACCCTTCGGAATACTCTGCTTTTCGGAATACTCAACCTTTCGGAATACTCTACCTTTCGGAATACCCTTTCGAAGGCAACTCCCGCCTTGTATCCCAAAACAATACTCGTTGATCTTCGACTTTACAATTTTATTCTTCGTTTACAACCTTTCATTTGCTCGTAAATTTAAAATTGGGTTTTCCGTAAAAATAGAAAGCGAAACTAATGCGATGAACTTTTACATAAAATTGATCTGATTACTTCTCTCTTTTTTATAACTCCGAATTGGGAAATGTCCTGAAGATTGATGATGAATTCTCGAACATTTTATCATCGTTGGATCCTGATTACAAATTGGTAAATATTTTGCAGCCGAATGCTCATAAACTCTCTGAAATTTGATGATTTTTGGGAGTATACACAGGGCAGCGGGGCTAGGAAAAAATTGCTATTTTATATTTTATAAAATGCGATGCGGTGTCGGTAAGATTTTTCGATACGATAAGCCCATTTTTATTCAGAATTTTATTCAGAAAACTGTAGGCTTTTGCGGTATGTTCGTATGTTCCATATTACCAGTGAATTTTTAGTCCCAATGTCGGTACTGTAGCCGGAGTACTTAGCACATTCCAATGGTCCAAAAACAGAATTTCAGCATGTGTTCTAAACATATTTTTTGTTTTTTGGCCATAAAAACTGTTTTTAGTGCCAGCTGGGGCTTCTTATTCGAAGCCCGATTAATGGCCTCAGGCGGGCTTGGTGACCGTTGTTTAATGTTTTCAGCTTATTTTGGGACGTGACGGTAAACATTATAGCCTATTTTGAATCGGTATTAATTTGTGAAAATTCCTTTTGATTTTTTTAGTCCTGGCCTATGGGGATTTCTTTTGGGGTACTATTGGTACAATAACTAACTTGCAACGTAGTCAATTTCTCAGCATTTTTTGGCATTTTTTGTCATCTTTTTTTTGTCATCCTTCTTTTATTTTTAATCCCATTACTGCCCATCACACTCTCATTTCTTTGATCAATAGTACATTAACTTTGAAAAATCGATACGACCTTGCAAAGGGTAATCAATGGATATGCCTTGACTATCTTGTTTTTCACGTACTTTTGTTTTCATCTATTTGTGGAATTCCCCCGTCAATTTATCGACTTTTTGTTTTTTAAAAGTCGAGTATTGCTGTGCAATATTACGTGGGAAATTTAAAAAAATTATCAGAACATTAATAATGGCAGTGGTTTTAGTACAACGCCCAGATTTTTGTTGTACTTTGCGGACTTTTTGCAGACCCATTATGAAATTTGCACCATATAATTTATGATGTTTTCGGTTTGACTGACTTTTTTTGATCGTGTGATTGTCAATCTCCACCTTCCTAAACTACGAATTTCTTTTTGCTCACCACGTTTTTTCAGCTCGCGAAAGACGCTGTTAACGACGATTAGGTAATTGGTATATGCGAAGCGAACCATGGAAGAAGAGATTGTCCAATTTCTGTAAGTTTATCAAAGTGTAAAATGATGTGAGTGTTGGAATGTGAGTGCGATTGGGGAAGAACATTGTAGTAGACTACAATTCAAAGAGTTTGGAGGTTTCATTGGGTAAAAGTTCAAGGGTAAATATTTTAGGAGTTAGTAAAAATTTTTAAAAGAAAACTGACAGGGGAAGTACCCCAAGTGCGACGCTCAGATTTGGATGAAACTTGGCACACATTTAGAATAATTTTTTCTAAGATATATCACATATGCGAGTCTCTTTGACCGATCTCCATGTTTAGCGTCTCGCTCGGCGGCAAAAATCGTTCGATATCTCGGTGGCGCCCCCAAAGCGCGAGCTCAAACTTTCAGGAATTGATATTTAGTCCATACCTGACGTGTGTGTAAAATTTTAAGAAAATCTGAGCGTCGCACTTGGAGTACTTCCGCTGTTAGTAGACTACAATTCAAAGAGTTTGGAGGTTTCATTGGGTAAAAGTTCAAGGGTAAATATTTTATGAGTTAGTAAAAATTTTTAAAAGAAAACTGAGTTGCGACTCATATTTGTTGCAAATTTTTCACAAGCGACATTACAGCAAGTCCGAATTTTAAAAATTTTGGTTCACTCTTTTCAAGGCATCGATGAGGGAGTAGGCAAAGTGCGGAGAGTGCCCGGAAGGGAAAAGGTTTTTTGGTCGATTTGGCGCGGTATAATTGTATGTATGTACTACAAACCTTTTAGCCTAAAAACGTGTAAAATCTTTACCAAATCTTGGACTAAAAAGCTCGTTTCTCTCTGCGATGTACAGGCTAGGAATCTCGGAAATGACTTATAAAAAAAATTAAGTTAGGCTTTGCCGTTCCGATTGCATACAAGGCTGTTTTCGAGAGCACCATTTTCTCACTGTGCATGTTTTTAGACTTCAAACTTGATTTTTTGTCACCGTCGTTGATGATTTTCCATACTTGATTGCTTTGTTTTCAGAATTCTCCTTGGAATTGTAGCGTTCATTGGACTCATTGGCCTCTTATTCTTTCTCAAATGGCGACAAACCAAAAAATTTCAAGCGCAAGTTTATCAGTAAGTATTTCTATGATATCTTTGTCAATTTAGACGTATTTTAAAATACTTTTCATATTTTTATTTTTAATTTTTAGTCTTCCAACTCCTCCAGAGAAGACAGGAGTTTTGGCGGAGAACAATTTGCTGACTCAATCCGAGAAGATCCTCAAAGGAAAGCTGGACGGTCCCGAATCTGTTCTTGTTGAAGACGGTAGGACACAACATGCTTCAGATGCTTGAAAAGTTAAAATTGCTGATTTATATTTGCTGATTTTTAGGCACTCTGTACACAGGAACAGCGGATGGTCGGATTGTAAAAATTGTTGATGGAAAAGTTGAGAAATATTTGAATTTACGCGATGACTTTGGCACAAGAGGTATGTTATGATTGGATACGCTAAATACGCGATTTTTGGCATAACATCGTTGTTTATATTAGGTTATATACCACTTTATTTCAGGTAAATTCAAGACAGAACCTCATTTTGGTCGGCCTTTAGGCATTCGGCGACTAAACGACGACTGTTTGGTCGTTGCCGATGCCTATAATGGGGTGTTCAAGGTGGACTTGAATAAAGGTAGGGGATTAAAATTACCGCGAAGTTATTTTTCAGGCCAAGTCACCCATATCTTTTGCTCTCACACCGATGTTTGCGGAGTCAAATGCGGCTACGTCAACGATCTCGACGTTCTCGATGAAAACGTGATTTACTTAACGGATTCATCCGTCAACTTTCAGCGACGTCAATTCACAAATGTCATGCTGGAAAATGCGCCAAGTGGAAGGTAGAATAATACAAGTTTGATGATATCTATAATTCTTTTTTTAGGATAATCGAGATCAAAGTTTGGAGCGGAGACAGTCGAGTGCTCCTGGACGGTCTGTTTTATCCATTCGGAATTCAAATTCATCCGGATAAACAGAGCTTGTTGTATGCGGAAGCTGTCAAGTGCAGGATTATGAGGTAAAATTTGATATTATTCGGAATGGAGGGGTCTAACGATAAGAAATTTTTGACGATTTAGCTTGAGCTTTATAGATACAGTGGGGTACCTGATCCATTGGCAAAAAACGTACCATTTTGCATCCTGGAAGTATCAAAAATGTGGCTAAATGCTTCCCTCTCCAAGTGAAAAAAACTTCGTTTTGAAGGGCCTTTTTCCTCACAAAAAGAGCGGGCGTGCTTTTGAAATCGGAGTTTTTTCTCTTGGAGAGGGAGGTATTTTGCCACATTTTTTCATGCTTACTGGATGCAAAATGATACGTTTTTTGCCATTGGATCAGGTCCGCCACTCTGGAGCCATAATTTATGAAACGATGGAGTTTACAAACGCTTTTTCCGCTATTTTTCTTTCAGTTTCGAGCGGAAAATATATAATTTTTTAGTGGTATTCTAGTTGTTGTTAGAAATCTAGCTGAATCATTAAAATCCGCTTTGAGCCACTGCTAAAAACATCTAAGACTCGCTGGCGTGTCCGTATTTTACCCCTCTTCATTTCAGATACTTCTTCACGGGTCCAAAAGAAGGCCAACTCGAAGCCTTTGCCACCAATCTACCCGGAGTTCCCAACAACATTCGTCTCTCCGCGGACGGAAAGTCCTTCCTCTGCGGAATGCATGTAGCCCGTTTTGAGGACAAGCCAGCGCCCGTCGACCGTCTGAGCCCTCATCCGACGGCACGGCGATTGCTGGTCACCATGATCCCCGATGAAATTCTGGGCCGATTATCCAAAATCATCCTCCCGAAGTATGGGCTGGTCGTTCAATTGGACCTTGAAGGCAACATCATCCGATCGTATCACGACCCCAAAGGCAAGGTGAAATTCATCACGCATGCGGCGGACGATGAGAATTATTTGTATCTCGGCTCCATGCACAACAATTACATCGCACGAGTACCCAAAGTCGTTTGAATCTCAGCCATATTTGTGTAGTTTGAAGGGTTTTTTTATGATTCTTGAAGCCATAATTTATAAGCACATTGACATGCATAATAAAGAAGATATTTTGACGAGTTGCGGAGAAGGATAAAATGTAAAGTCTTGACTTTTTGGGAAAAATTAAATCGGAATTCCTAGCTCAATGTCTACTTAATCAACTGACGGCCCTCTTAAATAAGTTTAGTCTACAGTGACGGATCTGTTTCATTGTGAAAAAACTTACAATTTTGCATCCAGGAAGCATCAAAAATGTGGCAAAATGCTTCCCTCTCCAAGTGAAGAAACTTTGTTTTGAAAGGCGCAGCTTTTGAAATCGGAGTTTTTTTCACTTGGAGAGAGAAGCATTTTGCCACATTTTTTGAACTCCCCGGATGCAAAATGGTACGTTTTTTGCCACTGGATCAGGCCCCTCACTGTAGTATTTTTATCGGAAATAAAACAAACCCGCTAGATTTCTTTTTTTCAGTACATTCTTCATCCCTCTAGAAATCGACGCCCTCAAGATAGGGTAGACGAAAGAAAAATCTTAGCAAAGCACAACAATTTTCCATTATCCTTGCCAGGCTCATAGCATTGTTATTATAACATGTATAATATGTCATTATAACATGTGTAATAGTCAACCCAATTTCGTTCCGTTTTTTATGTTCACTGGAAATCGTCGTCGTACAAAGTGACTTTTTAACTTTCTATTTTTAAATTCCTCAACTCAAAACTGTTCAACCTGCTCTGTCGCTGAACTTTACAAATGTTTCAAGACGGTTTTTGATCTTTTTTGATGCAAAGTTTTTAAAGCGGAAATTCAGAAGATTGCATGTACATAGACAGAATACAAGAAGTATAATATGTAGATAGTGTGCGTGCAATAAATTTTGCACACAAACTTCTTTTGTCGTTGATGAGAAGGGCTAAAAAACCCCTTCCCTTTACAAAAAAGAAGGGTTTGATCGATGTTGGTGTTTTCCAGTTACGAAACCAATTTTGCTTTTTGTGGAAAGAGAAAGCGTGAAGAAGCAAAAAACCCTTCACGTCATATATATATATGTATAAGTTAACCATTCCAAAGTGAGCTACAAGGTTTCGCGGAAGTCAAATTAATGCTCGGAATGAAAGCAATTTTGGGTGAGTGAAAGTAATCGGGGAGTTGTAGTAACGGTTCTTTCAGTTCAGCCGGACTTTTGATATGCTTGGTCGTTGATCTTGTTCGTGGAGGGCAGATAAGCTATGATGGGGAATCGGAGCCAAAGATTGTGAGGAAAACAAGGCAAAATGGTAAGTTGCTCAAGAATATGTACATATTGATCTGAAAATTTATTTGTTATAAGTTAAACCTCCGGAAAGCGAGTTACAAGGAGCCAAAAAAAATTAATGATTTTTTATATAGAGGTTTAATTTGGCTTTACAATGGCGGACCTGATCCAGTGGCAAAAAACGTATCATTTTGCATCCGGGAAGTATCAAAAATGCAGCATAATACCTCCCTCTCCAAGTGAAAAAAACTCCGATTTCAAAAGCTCTTTTTGTGAGGGATAGGGCGCGCCGGTCAAAACGGAGTTTTTTTGGTTGGAGAGGGAGGCATTTTGCCACATTTTTGATGCTTCCCGAATGCAAAATAATACGTTTTTTGCCACTAGATCAGGTCCCACTGTATATGTATATTTTGTTCAGGACCTCCAGAATTTACCTGCTATAGAAAAGCGTTTCAATTGCATATATATTTTCTGTAATTATTCTTTTTTCTCAAACATTTTAGCTGTCCAAGTCAAATTCTTCGAGGAAGTCAAAACAACAGTCGTCCACAACATTGATAAAAATCATTTGGTTACCAATGTTTACCTTGAGGATTTCCACGACCTCGCAAATCTCACATCCTACCCTCAGATGGCAGAGATGACCTTGAATTTGGCTTTAGTGCCTGAGGGGAACTTCACCGAATTTTACTCAAATTGTATTGAAAACTTAAAGTCAATGGGGCCGAATCTGACGAAGATTCACTTCTCCGAGGCTAAAAACATGATTGTTGTCGAGGAAAATGTAAAAAAGTATTTTGTTGATGATATACAACAAGTAGTTTTAGGTGTATGAAAATCTGAAAAAAGAGCACGAAAAGATGATAGAAGATGCGAGGGAACTGAAAAGTTTACTGGAAGAGAAAGGGATTACAGTGAAGAGTATGAAGCTAATCACTGAAGTTGTAATCAACGACTTGGTGAGTGTAGTAAATTTTTATATTGTTGGCTTCGTTTGCAGAGGCAACCGAGATATTAACCGGTTTTTGTGGCTGAGAGAGTACGCGAAAGGCAGAGGGCGGTCAGAGATAAAATATTTTTTTTCGGCCAAATTGCCAATTTTGAATAGAAAAAAATTATTTTTTGAGGCCATTACATACTCTATGGTAAAAATAGGCATGAAAATTTTCATGCCAAAATTTGCAAAGAGAGGCCACATTTTTTCCGTCTTTCTACTTAAAAATCTCGGCTGTTTCTGCAAAGCGCGAACTAGGATTCTCGCATATGTCTAACAAGGAAAGTACTTCTATGGGGTGTGGAATTACCGGTCGAGATATATATCAAAAAATTCGCAAAAATTTTCTGATTCAGAATATATAAAAATTAGCTGCCTAATTTTGGTCTAATGACATGTTTTTGTCCTCAGAAGTTTTCTCGCGACACCATGCACGGCAACCCAGGGAGTCTCCCGCCTCGTTTCGGCGCTTCGCCCACCTAGTATCGGTTGAATTCAAACGAAATGTCAAAAATGAATTTTCGTGTGGTTTTCCGACCGAAAAATATTTTTCTCGGAATTATTTTATTTCTTTTGTGAATTTTGACACTTCGTTTGGACGAAATTCAAAAGTGGGCGGGAGACATTTTTGTTCTATTTTGGGTTGCCGTGCCATGCAAGTGTCTTTTTGACCTTGTTTTTACCAATAAAAAATTTTGTTTTGTGCTAAACTAAATTCTGAGGCCTTGACAAGCCTTAAAATATCAAATCGGATTACAACTACACTTTAAAAGTAGTTCCAATGTAAAAAATGGGATCTAGTGTGGCAAAAAGAGCCGAACCCGTTTCCCTCGGATTTCCAACCCAGCGCTCTAACCACTCGGCCACACCGCTCTCTTCCGAAGGAAGAGACTGAGCGCGGTTTTGTTGCCGCAGATTTTTTTCTTCGAGAAAAGCATTTATTGAAAAAACTCGCTGATAGACCAAAATTAGGCAGCTAATTTATATATATTCTGAATCAGAAAATTTTTGCGAATTTTTTTATATATATCTCGACCGGTAATTCCACACCCCATAGAAGTACTTTCCTTGTAAGAAAAAATTACTCTAAATTTACCTCAAGTTTCATCAAAACCAGAGTGTCGCATTTGGTCTACCTCTCCTTTAAAATCGGACCTAACCCTCTTACCTTTCAGGCGATGAAACTCGACGAGCTCAACGAAGTCTTTGATGCCAATGTAACATCCGAATTTGCTCTAGTTTACGGCTTTATTTCCAACGCATCTCTTGGCGAAATCAACCTACAACACACCTATGTTTTCTCAACAAAAACCCTCTTCAATTCGCCAGAGACAATGGCCAAGTATAAAGGTTCTATTCTTACCGAAAAGATTCCGTCTTCTGAAGCCTCTATGCGACGAAGAATCGAAAGCCGACTTCCGCAACGATGTCTGCGGCCGTTGATTGCCAATTCGATTGTTTGTTTGGCCAGTCCGGACCGAATGATGGTCACAAAACAGGACGGTAAAGATGAACAGAGCAATTTCTGTTGCGAATTCTTTTAAAATATGATATTTACTGCCCCTACTGATGTGCATAAAATAAACTTTAACCTCTTTTTCTGTAACTGATAAAAAATAAACCACAAAAGATTTACAACGTATTTCGTATTTTACATGCTAGGTATATCTTTGATGGATCATATAAACCACGAAAATATCCGGGCTCAAACTGAACTGAAGGATGTATGTAAGGATATGTTCAAAGAGAAGAAAATGGAACTACATAAAAAAGATGGAACTGAGACAAGACGAAGGAAGATGGGAACAACGATTTGGACACCCCCGTGTACACGACAACTTGGCCGCCCAAGAATGAGATGGACCGATGACTTTCGCAAACACCATGGCCCGCGATGGAAGGATCTTATACATACTGACGAGACAATGGAAACCATTCTGATCCACTCCATGCTTTTATCATGTGATTAGTGTGAATAAATTGAAATTGAAAGATTTACAAGCATAACATTTGAATTTGCAACCGAGATGCAGATTAAAGTCAACAAAATTCTTGGACACGGTAGATTCAGCAAATTGTTTGTTTTTGCACACCCACAACGAAGGCACGCGTCCGATTCAACGGCTGAGCAAATTGAAGAATCTCGATTTCAATTTTCAATGAGTATTTGGTTTCATTGTCATTCCCATCCGGAAGCTAGAAGTCCAAAATCTTTGCATTTGTTTCTGTGTTATTGAACTTTTTGATGAGTTTATGAAATAGGGGATATGACAAAGTACTTTCAAGCAGGTGCCTACGGAAAGGGAGGGGGTTTTTACCTCTATCTCTCATAAGGCCCTGTGCGAAAAAAGGTGGTATCTTTAAACTCTTATTAGGTAATTCTTGCAATGCAAGATGCCAAGAGCGTTTTTATGCCAAGCCTGTTGATTGTTAGCGGAAATTGAATGTTTCGTCCACTTTTGCTACTTTTAGACTCTTTTCATTTTTTGAATTTTAAATCTGAGACCTCACGAAACGTCTCTTTCCAGCCGCCCGTTGACGAAACCATCACTTACTTGGTGCCGTCTGCGCATTTTCAGATAATGCGACATCTTTAACCTAGTATTTGTTTAGTGGCGAACCTGATCCAGTGGCAAAAAACGTACCATTTTGCATCCTTGCAGCATAAAAAATGTAGCAGAATGCCTCCCTCTCCAAGTAAAAAACTAGGATTTCAAAAGCCCACATTTTTTGTCAGGGAATTTGCCACATTTTTGATACTTTCCGGATGCTACATGGAAAGTTTTTTGCCACTGGATCAGGTCCGCCGCTGTATAATCATCTGTAACCTTTGGATTAAACAATTTGACTCCGCTTAGACCAATTTCAGCCTACAAGCAGTAAATCTGTCCCCAAAAAAGCACGTTTACTACAACTTTCCCCGAAGAACTCTCAGTTCAATTCCTCGAACAGTTACACGTAGACAGACCTATAAGAGTGCATATTAATGCAAAAAGATTGAGTTTGTGCCCCAAAATCCATAGTCGATATCATTTCTTTTCTTGGAATCGATTATGCAAAGCGTCGCCGTTCTGTTTTTCCATTTTTTCATCAGGAAAGTAACTGCTTTGCTAAACGGGATTATCATAATTTTTCGAGGTAGATAAAGTTGAACTGATCGAAATGGAGTCATCCGTTTATAGTGGTTAGAAATCTTGATGTAGAAGCAGAGGATGTTTTGGGATGAATTTTTTTCTGTTTTTTGTCATTGTAAAATACGCGTGGTCGTCAAATAGGATCATTTATAAGAAAAAATGTTGCACTGTGCAGCGATCTCTGAAAGAAAAAAACGAAATTTGAGACTTTGTTTTTATTATTTTGCGCTGGGAATCCGAGCAGGAACCGTTCAAAAAAACCATGGCAATTTGCAAAGAAGAAAAATTTTTTAGTCGAGCTGGGACAAAAGATTATTTGGTCGAGCTTTTGTAATCTTATGCGGCTGGGCTTGTTTTCGAATTATGTTTTTCAAAGGTTTCCCAAAATTGGATGGTTGTGGATACGGTAATATATAAAACATATATGTTTATATCTTATGCGAGATTCCTAGCTTGCACTTTACTGAAACCCCGGAAATTTCTTGATCGTATTTCCATTGTGGCATGGACATGTACTAGTCCACAGCCTTTAAAAAAAGCATTTTTTCTGAGCTGATAGAGTGGGAGACTTGATCAAGTGGCAAAAAACGTGCCATTTTGCATCCGGGAAGTATCAAAAATGTAGCAAAATACCTCCCTCTCCAAGTGAAAAAACTCCGATTTCAAAAACGCGCCCGCTCTTTTTGTAAGGAAAAGGTCAAAACGGTTTTTTTAGTTGCAGAGGGAGGTATTTTGCCACATTTTTGATACTCCCCGGATGCAAAATGACACGTTTTTTGCCACTGGACCAGGTCCAGGTCCCCCACTATACAGCACCGTCATTGACGAAAACCGCGATTTGTCAGCGGTTTTCCTCAATGGTCAGTGAGGAAATGGCTGGTCCTTATTTTGCGTGCTCTCTCGGAAAAGTTGCATAGGAAAAGTTGCTTAACTTCGGTGGAAGCAAAGTTCAAAAGCACGTGTGCAAAATTTTTTTATCGCCGGATCTGCACGGCTTTGTTTTTTCTTTGATTACGTTTACAATTTTTCCAACTGCTCTTCCTGACCGAATTATAGAAGGATATGGCCCACCAAAATCAACTGACGAAAATCGAAATGATCATTTTTGATAAAGATCCTAGGCGTAAGTTGTATGAATTACATAATACAAACCAATTTTTAAATTGGTATGTTTATTATAAAACCGACCTCTTTTTCATCGGGCAATTTTTATTATTTACCATGATATTCTTCCTTTATTATAATATTTCCCATGAGATTCCTTATGTAATAATTTTTTCAAAGCAAACATTTTCTTCATTACGGCCGTGTTTATCTTGTAATTGAAGAAATATTTTTTATGAATGTTTTCAAAATTTTTGCAAAAATTTTATTTTTGCACAGTGGAGAGGTTTTATAGAATTTATATTTTTGGCCGTAATACTTTTAATTGAGGGATTCTGTAGCCAAAAGTACAGTATTTTTTATTTATATGTGCTCATATTTTTGGACGTTGAAAAAGAGGCAAAAAAAATTTTTAATTTCAAAAAAATTTTTTGCTCGTATTACAATTACAAATAATTGAAAAATACTGTAGAAAAAAGTATAAAAATTTATTGTTTGAAAATCGTTTAAACTTGACCTTTAAAAGTCGCCAATTCAACCCCAAAGCGTGGTCCAATTTGATTACTTAAACGCCGGAAATTGAATGTTTCGTCCACGTTGGCTACTTTTAGACTCTTTTCATTTTTTGAATTTTAAATCTGGGACCTCTCGAAACGTCTCTTTCCAGCCGCCGGTTGACGAAACCATCACTTACTCGCTGCCCTCTGTGCTTAACTTCTGGGATTGAATTTCCAATTTGAACAAACAGACCGCCGCGAGGAATTCGCCCGTTTCTTATTGGTATATGCGTGAAGATTGGCTTTCAATTGTTCGTGTCGCGGATTTGTTCGGCTTCCTGTATGCTAAGGGAGCAATTGTGCGCGATTATAGCGACATATAGGTTATGGTAGGGCTGTAACAAAGATGGGGAGGCATGGCGTGCTATGTGTGTCTGTTTTTTTTTATTTTGAGTTTCAGCACGTTTACGAGTCCTGATACGCCTCAAGGGAAATGAAAATGAGAATCTTGGTTTTGTGCGCAAGATAGATATAGGCGATAAAGATTCAGAGTGAAACGAAAATTGGCCATTTTAAAGGTACTATGGCCAAAAATAGAGCCTCCGTACGACTGGAGATTGTGAATCTTTTACAGCCTGATTTTGAATTTATAAGAGACGTACCTCAAATGCGACGCTCAGATTTTGATGAAACCTGGCACAAATTTAGAGTATTCTTTTAAAAAATGTATGGAAAAATTCTAGCTTGCGCTTTCCAGAAACATCCGAGATTTCTGGATCGAAAGAAACCTTTTCGGAGGTACAAAAAACGCACTAATTTCCATGCGGGAAATGGTATACATCATGTAGCGAACGTAGCAATCACCCTAAAAAATCATCGAAAAAAGTAGAGCAAAAATTCACCAAAAAAACCATATTTTGTTAAAACAGGGGAAGTACTCCAAGTGCGACGCTCAGATTTTGATGAAACCTGGCACAAATTTAGAGTATTCTTTTAAAAAATGTATGGAAAAATTCTAGCTTGCGCTTTCCAGAAACATCCGAGATTTCTGGATCGAAAGAAACCTTTTCGGAGGTACAAAAAACGCACTAATTTCCATGCGGGAAATGGTATACATCATGTAGCGAACGTAGCAATCACCCTAAAAAATCATCGAAAAAAGTAGAGCAAAAATTCACCAAAAAAACCATATTTTGTTAAAACAGGGGAAGTACCCCAAGTGCGACGCTCAGATTTTGATAAAACTTGGCATAAATTTAGAATAATGTTTTCTAAAATATATGGGAGAATCCTAGCTCGCGCTTTGCCGAAACAACCGAGATTTTTAGATCGAAAGTCGGCGAAAAGTTGACACTATTTGCCGAATTTTGGCACAAAAAGTTTCATGCCTATTTCTACCGTAAATGGTAATGTTTCTACAAAAAATCAAATTTTTCCGCACGAAACTGTCAAAGTTATGGCCAAAAAAGTTTTTTTTTCTTTTGACTGCTCGTTTAGCATACTCCCTCGGCGGCAAAGATCGTTCAATATCTCGACGGCGATTGCAAAGCGCAAGCTAAATCTTTCAGAAACTGATACTCAGTTCATCGCCGACTGGTGTGCAAAGTTTAAAGAAAATCTGAGTGTCGCACATGGGGTACTTCCCTTGTTAGAAGGGAAAATTAGAATGTCCTGTAAACTTGATTTTTTCTATTCGATTTTACCATTTTTTTGATTCTTTGTATGCACTTATCTACTTGTTAAATAAAGCCAAGCGGGGTTTAATTAAGTTCGTTCTCATGGTCAAGTAAATAGATCGGCTATTTTCTCTAAAAAGGTTAGCTCTAAATGCATTTATGCGTGTTTTTCCTAAATTTAAATAGATACATGTAGGTTAATCTCTAAACTCTTGGGATAAATAGTGATTTTTTGATGACTATGTCTAATTTCTGGTAAAATTCTTACCTCTATGCGATACTACAGTACATTTTTTATATTTTAATTTACTCTTTGTAATAAAAAATTCCTTTTATTAACCAAAAAATCCTAATTTCTAGGAAAAAACAACTGCCCTCAGCTGGTGTTGCCTCTAATGTTGTCATAAAACCGTCGTATTTTGTTTTTCTTCGCTTTCTGGATTACTGTAACGCTAACATTAGAGCAGTAAAAACTTCGAAGGCGGTTTCGAATTTTGTTTGGACTCCTCTATCTATGCATGGGAAAAGGCGTACGTAATGTTTTCAAAGGTCAATTACACGAACTTGAAGGGCGCCTTGAAAGAAAAATGGGAGCGTGTTTAGTTTGTAACAAATATTCAGGAAACTACAGTCTTGTTTGGGCCAAGAACTGACCAGTATTGTATTTCATTTGAAATAGGAGATTTACGTCAAAGTGAGGCTATAAATAAAGCATTTTTAGGGCACTTTCAGCCGTATTTTTACTAAAGGTTGCCAAGCTTTTGATGCGTTTTTGAAAGGAAAAATTTGGGAAAAGGACAATTGGGAAAATAAAATAATTTTTTCAGCTTTTTTGGCTAGCTAAAACCTTACTTTGCTAGTCAAAAAAACCCTACTTTTAGTCGCTTTGACTCGCCCTTTATTGGGCCCTGAAACGATCATACCCTCTGCAGGGTGCCCAAAATTTTGAATTTTTTTAAATTAATATCTAGCGTACGTTTCAGAGGTTGAGTGGATCAACTGAGGGTATGTCAGGAAGAACAAGACTTTATAAATGAAGCTTTATAGGATGGTCTTTTAAAGTATGGTTTTGACTAACCAAAAAAGCGAAAAAATGGTTTTATTTTCCCCAATTTTTGGACCTCAGAATCTTGCATTTACTGTCCCAAAAGTATTACTTGTGAACGCGTTCTCTTGACGGTATCATTTGTCTGATTTTCTCTATGATTATACAATTTTTTTGAGAAAATCTTTGAATGTTTTCCCGCGTCTATAACTCAAAAACTAAAATTTTCAAAATTTCAATTTTTTTTTTTTTTTTTTTGCAATTTTACTTTGCTCAAAAAAATCCCTGAAACTTTCGAACTTTCTCGTTAACGGTTACCAAAGCCTGTGTATCCACCTTCAGCTGAATCTTTGAGTAGATAGAAGACTCCTGTTTCACAGTTCCTTGACCTTACACCTTTTGTTATAGTATGTTTTCCTTGACGACGTTCCTTGTCCCCAGCTCGCACCCATTCGGAAATAAACTCACAGCACTCATCTTGCCGCAATTCCACGAAACAACAAGCCCGGCCGAAAATTCGCATGAGCAAGTTCGGCACTTGAAAACAAAAAAAAAGTTTTGATAAAAATAGGTTTAACATGCATATGCACTCAACTATGTAGTCTAGTAATCCTAAAAAACATCTTTTTTGGTGCGAAATTTGCAAAGATTCGTTAAAAAAATGTCTTGGTATCTCAGCGGTCATCGCAGAAGCATCTATGAGCATTGTAAAAAAGCAAATTTTATTTGTCCCTAAATTTTTCTTTTGTGGAATTCGCTGAACCCAAAATGACCTGAGGCAAAAAATATGAATCAAAGCGTAGAAAAAATAATGGAGAAGAATTGCGAATAATTTTTTTTGAAGTGGAAAGCAATTATTTTTACAAATCTTGTCTTTTTTTTTCTTGTATTACAAGTACATAATAGTCACAAACACCGGATAGATCATCGTTTTGTTTGAAGTCTTTACGTGGAATGATGTTTGAATAGGTGTCGATTCTATTATTAAATTAAATTTTTTTCGTTTTTCGAGTTTTTAAAATTTTAAATGAGATCATGGCCAATGTTTTTCAGGGAAGATGAGGTTCGACCACTATGAGAATGAAACCGTGGTGGACCTGGTGGAGGAATACGAACAGGAGGTGAGTTGGGGGTATTTTGATTTATTTAACAGGGGAAGTACTCCAACTGCGACGCTCAAATTTTCTTTAGATTTTGCACACACGTCGGGTATGGACTAAATATCAATTCCCGAAAGTTTGAGCTCGCGCTTTGGGGGCTCCGCCGAGATATCGAACGATTTTTGCCGCCGAGAGAGCGCGCTAAACATGGAAATCGGTCAGAGAGAAAAACGCTTTTTGGCCATAACTTTGGCAGTTTCGTGCGGAAAAATTTGATTTTTTGTAGAAACATTATCCTTTACGGTAGAAACAGGCATGAAACTTTTCGTGCCGAAATTCGGCAAAAAGTCCTAAATTTTCGCCGATTTTCAATCTAAAAATCTCGGTTGTTTCTGCAAAGCGCGAGCTAGGATTTTCGCATATATCTTAGAAAAAAATGTTCTAAATTTGTGACAAGTTTCATCAATATCTGAGCGTCGCACTTGGAGTACTTCCCCTGTAAGTTTAATTTTAAACACATCAATTTCAATTTGGAAATGTGTGGCATTGAGGAATGTTTATAAAATTTGGTACAAATGAAGCTGTCTGAGGGGGTTTACAAATTGCTAGCCTGCGCTTTACAAAGATAACTGAGCTTCTTAGGTCCCGAATTGCACAAAATTCTACAATTTTTATGGACTTGAAATTGTGAAAAATTACAAAACTTTTTCTCATATGATTTAAAACCTTGCACAGTATTATAATACCTTGCAAATAAATGATGATTTTTCAAGCGGATCCTCATGAGTAAAACCGTAAAGGGTTCTTAAAAATTTTCATTTTGGTTTCTGCAAAACGCGGCCTTACCCAAAAATGCTCTTAAAAAGCATAATATTAGTCTTGTTTTGGGCCAGGCGTAAAAAAAATTTGGCAGTTCAATCAGTTCCCTTGTAAAATACGCAATTCGAACCGATCATTTATTTTAATTTTCTATCTAAAGTTCAATGATAATGTGCCCTCAACTTTCTCCCATTTTCATTTTAAAATACGTATCGGTTTTCCATACTGTATGGTAAAAATAACGTCTCCGTCATTCCAAACGCCCGACAAAATTCAAGCCGGAAACTCCTGGCATATCGGATGTAATGGGCCAATTTTTTCCTTATCATTTAGGTCTTTGGACAGAAAGCATTGTAAAAAAACGTTTTTAAAATTAAAAACTTTTTCAGATATCACGTGAACAAACAATAATCGCTTGGTTTTGTGTGCTGAGCTACGTTTTGTCCACCGTCCTTTGCATTGTTTCGTTGAGGATTTTCCGGCAATATCAGTAAGTTATAAGATTTAAAAAATAAAAAAAAATTTTTTAATTTTTTTTTTATTTTTGAAAAAAAGAAATATTTTTTTCAATTTTTGACACTTTTTCATCGTTTGGAATTAACAAATTTTTTTTTTTTTGAATTTCAAATATTTCTCGGATTTTTTCTACTTGGACTCTCAATTTTCAGAAAGCTCTGGTGCCTCCGAAACGTGATCCATTTCAATTTCATCCTCTGCATCGCCATCCACAATGTCGCATGGCTTCTAGCGCTGTTCAGCAACTTCCTGGAGACCTGGAGATGTGTGGTGACCTTTGTTTTGTTCGAAGTCATCAAATTCTGCGTGACGTCCGGTTTTTGTTGGATGTTCGTGGAGGGGTTTTATTTGTACATGAGTGTGATGCATTGTTTGTACGCCTACAAGATCAATTACTGGCTGTGCGCCTTCGTCGGATGGGGGCTTCCGTTGGCGCTGAGTGGGCGGACCTTGTTCGAGTTCTTCATTACCCAGCCTTTGGAGGATGTTATGAAGTAAGGAAAATAGGAATAAAAAGGTGAAAAAAAGGTATCCCAAAGGGAAAAAAAGGGTCACAAAAGTATCAAAAAAAATGTAATTTGCAATCAAAAAGTTATCAAAAAATTTGAAAAAATATCTCAAAAATGATTGTTTTACAGCAAAAAATATTGAAATGTCATGAAAAATATATAATTCATGCCAAAAAATAGAGCCCTAATTTTCATGAAAGGTCTTTTTCAAGTCCTAAAAATTCTATAATACTTTGTTTGAAACAAAATTTTTGATATTTTCATCTATCTTTCCACATTTTCCTTGCTATAAAACTCTATGAAAATGATCATTCTGATGACCAAAAACAAACTACCCATATACTTTCAGTTGTGCCTACACGGATGAATCTTTGGACAACTGGTCGGTGGCTTTGATCATTGGCATCATCATGGTGAGTTTGGCCGGTTTTAAGTGATTTTTGTAAGGATGGCGTGGCCTACAAAATTGACATCAGACTTGTTTGGCGAAATTGGGAGTCCTTTCTCCTTGAAAATGAAGGGAACTTTGTCTGTTTCCCATATTTTGTCGCCGTACTTGAAGGTTGAAATGCCCTAAAGCAACGGCTGTTTCGCGGGCTACAAAAGTTTTTGGCAAAAAATCAAATTTTGTTTAGAAGGTTAAATTCAGTTCTCAGTATTTCCTAGAAGCGACATTATGGTAAATTTGAAGCCAAGCACAGTAGAAGCTCTGTAAAATATATTGGGTTGATGTATAATTATCCGGCGTTTATATTGGCGCGTTTTTTGTTAGTGAAAATTGGCGTTTTGTTAATTTTTTTCATAGAAATAATCTTCTCTATTTGTTAATAAAAATAAGAATAAAAATAATAAAAAAATTTTGTTTCGTTGCTGATAATTTGTTGTACAAAGGCGGCTCTATTAGGCCCCAACCGCCTTGCAATTCCCCTTGGATTTTATACATGAAATTCCTTCCAGATCAACCTCATAATCCTCGTTGTCATTATCTACGTTCTCATTGCAAAGTTCCGCAAAGTTGAGCAAAAGGAATGGAAAACCATCAGCCAATTACTGCGCGCCCTTTTGTTCCTCTGCCCTCTTCTCGGAATCAGCTACATCTTCACAATCTACCAGCCCCAAGAGCCGTTGTGGTTGGCAAAATTGGTGGTCTATTACACGTTGGTAATCAACTCAACGCAAGGAATCTTCATCTCCGTTTGCTTCTGTTTCTGCAATGATGAGGTGGGTAAAATACGACGTTTCTTTTGGATGTTCCTGATACGTAAAAATGAATATTTATTTGTTCTTATTGCAGGTCCGAACGTCTATTACTCGCTCAGCCCGTCAGACATACTACTCATTGTCGGTTCGAGTTCATGAGCTGCGGAGGAAAAGCTTGGATGGAAGTCAACTGACCTTCTTGGGAAGCCCATAAACCCCGTTGCGGGAAAGAGGCTACAGAACATTCGGAAGGGAACATATTTATTAGTTGTGTAGAATATCGTGTACATACATTTTTTTAATAATTTGCAATGAATAAAAAGTTTGAAAGCAAAAACTTTTAAGCATAAAAAAATGATGAAAGACGTACAACTCTCGGTAGAAATCTCACTTATATCTTAAAAAAATTAGAGCTAATTTGTCGCAATTATCATCAACATCTTACCGTTATATTACATCTCTAACATACCCCTTATAAGGCCCAACAACATTCTTAGATAGAAAATGGACCGTGTGTTGTATTTTTCGGGAGCTTTTGCTAATACCTTCCTGCTATGAAGACCCCCCGACCACTTGAGATTTGACGAGTACAGTGTCATCATAGACCCGCCACAATTTATTTTGAAATAGCACCCCCATTTGTGTCGTTTGCCACTTCAAAATTTTTGCTGCAATGCAAAATTTGGCCAAAAGTAATTAGTGGTGTCATAGATTTGTAAACTTTTTTCATTTGGATAAAGAAACTTTACAACGGGACAAACGTATCTTACAAGATTAGCTGCTGTCATGGATATAATTTCTCTAATTGTGACGATCCCACGAACTCCATCTGTACTTCCTCGAGTCTGTTTTTCCCAGTACTTTGGGCTTCCTTGCGCCTGTTTTATCCAGTACATTTTGTTCGATCCCGCTTTCTCACGGCAATATTCTTGTACCCCCATTTACCTCATGAACCCTTACGCAAATCTAATACCATGACAATCATATTTGCCTCTCACATTTCGCTACGTAAACAAATGCCTCGAAGCAAGTCGAATTATCGCGTGAGACATTTATTTTTTATAGTTTTTGAGCGGAATTATAGCTAGCTGAAGAAGTATATAAGTGTAACAACGATATTGTTTTGATCGGCAATAGATAAGGTAGTATTTCTTGAATTTTCAGGACCATCCAGTCCATAGAAGGTTTGGGAAGAGAAGGGAACCCTTTTGCGGGATTTTCTTTCCTTCCTAAAACCCTTTTACGGTTTTTTTCGATAACTGGATTATCTCTTCCGCTGTAACGGGGGTTGCCGGTACTATAAAAACAAAATCCAAAGAACTTCTAAGCGGATCATGCATGTCACGAACGCACTAACTTTTGAGGAAGTTATGACCATAAATGAGAACCATTTACCTTGCCGAATTACGTCACGATCCATTTGGGGTTGGAATGCCCCTACTTCGGAAGGTTGTAGCAACCTCAGTTTGCACTTTAAGATTTTGTTATTTTATGGACAAAAATTCATGTCGCTTAAAAATATATATGTGTTCCAAAAACTAAGTCGCTGCGCCGCCTCCGCCGGAAGTTATAGCCTCCGACTTTCCTTCGCGTTTTTTGTTAGACCCTGTCAAATGGCCAAATTATAAATGTAGGATTATGCTATCTGTTTCTTTTTCTTTCTAAACTATGTAATCCTAGGTCAATGAACTTTCGGATTATCGCTAAATTTCTATGTAATGCAATCCAAAAATTTCAATATGACAAATCCATGAACTCGCCTTTTTACTTGAAATTTCCTCCCACGAAAAACAAAAGTTTACAGTGTGATCGCCTTCATTAAGTCACATTTTAAATCTTCCGGTTCATCTTTATCTTGCGGCACTTGCGTGAAAGACCACCCAACTTTTGCCGGCGGCCCACCCTACTCTACGTGCAATCGTCCATTAAATTGTTGAGCTCTACAATTTAAATATGAGCGACGTCGATGTAAATTTAATTGACCTGCCCTATCGTATATGTATGTTAATCAACTTATTTTTAGGGTTTTAATATAATTTTTAAAAGTATTTATTTATTGCACGTCAGAATTAGAGGCTCGTCGATTATGAGTCTGTTTTTACTGGCTTAAAGTAAGCTTTGGTTTAACTGGGACAAGGTTTGGAGCGGGATTTTGTTAGACATCCGCCGAGATATTGAACCACACAAAACGTGGAGAGCGGCCAAAGAGAAAAACACTTTTTGGCCATAACTTCGATAGTTTCGCGCGGAAAAAAATTGATTTTTTGTGGAAACATTACTCTTTACGGTAGAAATCGGCATGAAACTTTTCGTGCCGAAGATCGGCAAAAATTGTCAAATTTTCGCCGACTTTCGATCTAAAAATCTCGGTTGTTTCTGCAAAGCGCGAGGTAGGAGCCTCGGATATGTCATAGAAAAAATTATTCTAAATTTGTGCCAAGTTTCATCAAAATCTGAGCGTCGCACTCGGGGTGCTTCCCTTTTAAGTTTTAGCGGCTTCGGCTCGCAACTAATTTTCAAAAACTTCGGGAAGGCATGACAAAGTCATTTCAGAATATTTTTGCCTGAAATTCAATCAGTTGAAAACGGCGAGTCTCAGCTCCAGAAAAATCTAAATTTCATGAAAATCGGCGGAGCCTCCGCGGAGAAATCTAAAAAAAGATTTAGATTGGACGGAAGCTTCGAGTGGCCACCCAGTATAGCCAAAAAAACTGTTTCCTGAGCAAACATTTCTAAAAAGTCATGAGTCATTCTGTCGGGAAAATAACGAGCACTCTGTCGTATCGAAAATCGCATCTCCGCAGTTTCTCTCAAATCAATTGTGTCACGGCAAAAAATCAAATTTCTTTTTGCTTCAGAGACATAACTGGCTCTGAGACCTGTGCTCATTATTTTCCCGACAGTCAGATAAATGGACCCACTTCCAGGTCTACACATTTCCTCTCATTATTCTTCATCTAGCCTCGATTATTCGTAATTTGTCCGGAAATTTCTTTCGTTTGTAATTTTGGTTCCAGAAAAGTATCATTACACTCTTTTCTAAAATGTCTATGGGCTCTCTGGAGACTTCAATAAGGTTAATAATAAGAACCAAATGGAAAACTGGCAGCAAGCAACAAACCACAAGATTCGGAGGGCCTAGATCCTTTCCAGAATTTTCCTAACACTCAAAACAACTTTGTTTTGTCAAATTTGAAGCCTAAAACACTTCAACTTCAGCATTTTAATTGTTTCTCTAATTGTCCTTGCAGCTCAAACTATATAATTCCCAATAACTTATGCATATTTTACCGTTCATTTTGAATTCTGTCGCCTTTCCCAAAAAACATGAACCCAAACACCACCTCACAAGACCGGCGAGTTCTTATTCTGAACAGCTTATAATTTGCCCAGACCTTACATCACTTCGTAAATGCCTTTCCCGCGAAGCGTGGTGCACATGTAATTGAGTGTAGGGGAAATGTAATTTCGGGTCAGGTGTGAGTCCTTCGGCCGCTTTCACCTGTCTTCGGCCGGGGCCGCTTGTTGTGCGAACGTTTTGGCGAGCTTTTATTTTTTGTATTTTCCAGCCATTACCGTTTGAAATGTTGGTTGTTATTGTGTAATTTTCACGGCGTGAGGGCTTTCTCGAAATCTTTTAGTATTGAAATTGTATTTTACAGGGCATTTATAGGCTTTTTCACGATCTCTTTTTAAATTTAACACTTTTTCTCACTAAAAATATTGTCATAATGCGACCTAAGTTCACCGAGGTTTTCATTGCTTTTTTTGTGTATATTCGTAACTTTATCGCCCTATTTGATACTTCATCGTTATTGTAAGCATCCTATATCCCGAAGAACACGGCCATCAGGAGTGCTGTGTGCGAATGATAATTAAGGCGTTATTATAAAACGCACTTTTGACTGGGCCGTTTTTGCACTAGTTTAATGGGCACGTCCGTGGAGTTAAATTGCCAGTTTTTTTGGGAGTTCAGAAGTAAACTGCCGACGCTTTTTGAAGAGTGCAGGTATGTTTGTAGGCTGACAAGGAAGGTGTAGTACTTGTGGGGAGCAAAACAGAAATTTTTAGTGGAGATTGGAAAGGCTATGCGATGATTAAAGTCTTCATAAAACTTGTCATAGATCATGATAAGACTTTGTTCAAAGACTGTTTTGGCATGGAATGTCTAGATAGAAAGTGCTTATTGCCTAGTCAAAATATACGTCCAAAAACGTATATTTTGTCTATGATAAATAATTTATTTAACTACGCCATTTGAGCGCCTAATTGATTGCGGCAAAACAACGTATGCTTTTTCACGGAGTTGGACGATTGGGGAAAAAGACGATTGGGGAAAGGGACGATTGGGGAAAAAGACGATTGGGGAAAAGTACGATTGGGGAAACCGAAAAGTATTATTTTTCTTCCATGCAAATGTCGAAGTTAGGATAATCGAGGGTGCTCATTTCGAAAATGACATTCATTTTTTTGATTCTTACTTTTTTCCTTAAGTAGTACTGTAAAGTAGTAATTTTTGATTTTTTTCATAAATACTCGATTTAGGGGGTTTCGAGGGTGCTGATTTCGAAAATCATGTAAATTTTTCCTCTAGTACTACATAGTACTATTCTGATACTATATAGTACGAAGTGAAAATATGGCTTTTGACGTTAATGGTGTTGTTTTGATGCTTAGTACTCTTCAAAAACACGTTTTAAAGACTTGGTGCTATATAGTACTGTCTGATACTATGTAGTACGAAGTAAAAATAGGCGTACTAAGCACCAGAACAACACCACGAACGCCTAAAGGCCAACTTTACACCTCGTACTACATAGTATCAGGTAGTACTATATAGCACCAAGTCTTTAAAACGTGTTTTTGAAGAGTACTAAGCACCAAAACAACACCATTAACGTCAAAAGCCATATTTTGACCTCGTACTATATAGTATCAGAATAGTACTATATAGTACTAGAGGAAAAATGAACGTGATTTTCGAAACCAGCACCTTCGAAATCCCCTAAATCCAGTATTTTTCGAAAATTTAAAAAAAAATTTTTTTAGTACTTAACAGTACTACTTAAGGAAAAAAGTAAGAATCAAAAAAATGAATGTCATTTTCGAAATGAGCACCCTCTATTATCCTGACTTCGACATTTGCATGGAAGAAAAATAATACTTTTCGGTTTCCCCAATCGTACTTTTCCCCAATCGTCTTTTTCCCCAATC